GTTTTTGTTTTGGGGTCACACCTGGTCATGCTGGGACTGGAGTGGCAGGACAGCAGGCAAGGCGCCGGCCTTGCACGTGGCTGACCTGGGTTCGATCCCTGGCACCCCATAGGGTCCCCTGAGCACTGCCAGGAGTGATTCCTGAGTACAGAGCCAGAAGTAACCCCTGAACATCATCGTGCGTCGCCCACAAACAAACAAACAAACAAACAGAAAGTCCAACAGCTATCAGGGCTCAGGGATCACTCGTGGCGGAGCTCAGGGACCCCTTTGAGGTGCCAAGCACCGAGGCGGGCACCTTCCATGCTGCCATGTCATCCATCATTCTGGCCCCCAGGGACACATTTTTGTTTCTGGGTTTCTACGTGCTGACCAGTGTGGGAAACTGGGGGTCCTCTGAGCTCTGAGGCAGCAGCAAAGCTGGACTCTCACACTAGCCCCTCCCCCCGCCCCGCCGAGAGAGGGGCATGGGTCAGCAGGGGACAGTGTCTGGGGGATAGGACAGTCCTGCTATTTGCCAAAGATGAAGGGTAGGACTTGAGGCTGAGATGGGGGATGCGACAGGGCTTCTGCAGGCTGGCTCCTCTCTGGGACCCTGTCCCCCTGGGGTTCTTTTTTGTGTGTGTGTCACACCTGGCGTTGCACAGGGGTTACTCCTGGCTCATGCACTCAGGAATTACTCCTGGCGGTGCTTGGGGGACCATATGGGATGCTGGGAATCGAACCCGGGTCGGCCGCTTGCAAAGCAAATATCCTACCCACTGCTCCAGCCCCTGGGGCTCTCCTTCTGAAGGCACATGAGGGGTGTACTCTTGGGATCAGGCAGGTGGGCTGCCGGGTGAGTCCCCCTCTCCTCCTGATACCCCCTCATTTAAGGTCATTAGCTGCCTGTTGTGTGTGTAGTCCCTGAAGGTCATGAGTTGTGGATCCCCCAGCACAGCCCTGCACCCGCACATTCTATGTCTAATCACTTAATATTCACTCGAAGCCATTTGTGGTGGACTCCTTACAAGACTTAAGCGTTTGGGGGCTGGAGCCATATGGGTAGGGCGTTTGCCTTGCATGCAGCCGACCCAAGTTCGATTCCCAGCATTCCACATGGTCCCCTGAGCACCTCCAGGAGTAATTCCTGAGTGCAGAGCCAGGAGCAACCCCTGTGCATCACCAGGTGTAACCCAAAAGCAAAAAAAAAAAAAAAAAAAAAAGGCACTGTAGCACTGTCCTCCTGTTGTTCATGTATTTGCTTGAGCGGGCCCATAATGTCTCCATTGTGAGACTTGTTACTGTGTCTGGCATATCGAATATTCGAATACGTCACGGGGAGCTTGCCAGGCTTTGCTGTGTGGGCAAGATAAAGGCTTAGGGGTGTGGGTGTGGGTGCCTCCTGTTGGGGGGGGGTCTTAGTGGTGCCCCTGAAGTGCATGTGTGTGGACGTGAGGATGTGCACTTGTGTGAGCATGTGGATGGGTGGGTATGAGTTGTGCCAGCGAAGCAGGGGTGGGGGACTAGGGGGTGGGGATCCCTGTCCCTGCGTTTGACCCGGAGATATCTCCTGCATGTGAGATGATCACTGCATTGGAAGGAGGGAGGAGAGGAAGGAAGGAGGGAAGTATCAACCTGAAGTTGGCTTCATCAAGCCCAGGGAGACAAATTCTTTTGTTGTTGTTAATATTTATTTATTTGGTATTTGGACCTCAGCCAGCAGAGCTGATGGCTTCCTCCTGGCAGGGATCCAGGATGTCTAAATGCCTTGTACCATCTCTCCAGCCCTAAGGCAGAAATATTTATTTACATTTTTTTTGGTCCGGGGGCCTTACCTGGCAGTGCTTAGGGCTGACTCCTGGGCTCAGTGCTCAGTGATCACTCCTCCTGGGTTCGGGGACCCTATGGGGTGCCTGGAATTGAACCCGGGTCTGTTGTGTGTAAGGAAAGTGTCCTCCCCACTGTCCTATTGCTTCAGCCCCAAGACAGTCTTTCTTTTAAAGTTCAATTGTCATTGTCACAGTCACTGTCCTCCGGTTGTTGTTCATTGATTTGCTTGAGCAGGCCCAGTAATGTCTCCATTGTGACAGTTGTTACTGTGTTGGCATATCGAATACGTCACGGGGAGCTTGCCAGGCTTTGACGTGCGGGTGAGATACTCTCCGTAGCTTGCTGGGCTCTCTGAGAGGGGCAGAGGAATCGAACTCGGGCCGGCCAGGTAGGCCACGTGCAAGGCAAACACCCTACCTGCTGTGCTATCGCTTCAGTTATTTTTTTTTTAATTTTTTTTGCTTTTTGGGTCACACCCGGCAATCAGGGGTTACTCCTGGCTTTGCACTCAGGAGTTATTCCTACCGGCTGTGCTATCTCTCCAGTCCCGTAAAGTTCAGTTATCTTTATTATTTTTTTCACAGTTACAAAATTGTTCCTGATTTGGTTTCAGTCATACAATGTTTCAACATCTGTCCCTTCAGCAGTGTCCATTTCCCACCACCAATGTCCCCATTTTCCCTCCCGCCACCCCGCCCAGCCTGCCTCTCTCTCCAAGACAGTCACATGGGAGAAGGAGGAGGTCTTAGTTTATGGCAGGCTGAAAGCAGACAAAAAAATGTCTGCTTTTTTCTTTTTAGTCTGGGGGAAAACCCAGTGATGCTCAGGGGTTACTCCTGGCTTTGTGTTCAGAAGTCATCCCTGGTAGTGCTCAGGGGACTATATGGGATGCCGGGGATTGAACCCCGGTAGACTGCAAAGCAAAAGCTCTTCCCTGTCAAACCAGACAAAAAGGTGTCTTAAGTATTTAGTCCAGATCAGGGTCTCAGGAACCTTATTATAATCGTTTTAAAATTATTATTATTATTAGTCTTTGGGCAATGCTCAGTCAGGGGCCACTCCTGACTCTGTGCTCAGGAATCACTCCTGGTGGTTGTTGGGGTACCCTATCGGATGCCGAGGATCGAACCCAGCGCGGCTAGGCACAAGTCAAACGCCCGAACACCCTCCTCTCTGTGCTATTGCTCCGGCCCCACCTTATTATTGTTATTATTATTGTTTTTTTTGCTTTTTGGGTCACACCCGGCGATGCACAGGGGTTGCTCCTGGCTCTGCACTCAGGAATTACTCCTGGCGGTGCTCGGGGGACCATATAGGATGGTGGGAATCGAACCCAGGTTGGCCACATGCAAGGCAAAGGCCCTACCCACTGTGCTATCACTCCAGCCCCTACTTTTTATTTTTTGACCACACCCATCTGTGCCCAGGCCTATTCCTGGCTCTGCAGTCAGGGATCACTCCTGGTGGTGCTCAGGGGGTCATAAGGGATGCTGAGGATCAAACCCAGGTCGGCCCTGTGCAAGGCAAATGCCTCTCCCACTGCTGTACAATCTCTTTGGCGCCTCACAAGTCATTTTATGGCTGTTAGTACCAACTCTGAGTCATGATCACTGTCACCATTGGTGAAGTGGGGGTGCAATTACATCAGGGTGTCTTGTCGGCACTGATGGGGCGTCCAGGGGGTTTCCGAAAACCAGCATTACTTTTCTTCTTCTTCTTTTTCTTTTGGTATTGGAGTCACATCCAGTGGTGCTCAGGGCTTACTCCTGGCTCTGTACTCAGGGGGATCACTTCTGGTGGGCTCGGGGATAGGGGGGGCATGTGGTGTGCCAGGGTTTGAACCCCGGGTTGGCACAGGGAAGACAAGCACTTCACCTGCTCTACTAGCTCTCCGATCTTCCCAAATCAGCATTTCTTAGCTAGGACAGGGAAATTCATCGCAAAGTCAAAGATGTGACACACTGACAGTGTTTCACCTACATAAGCAAAGTCGTGAGTTCAAAGAGTACATGTCATAAAATCAGTATATAAAAAAAAAATACAGGGCTGGAGAGATAGTACAACAGAGAGGGCGTCTGCCTTGCAAGCGGCCGATTTGGGTTTAATCCTTGATACTCCATGTGCTCCCCCAAGCCTGCAAGGGGGGTGGGGGGATACCTGAGCACAGAGCCATGAGTCACCACTGAGTACTGGGTGTGGCCCCCCAAATCAAAGAGACATAGCATAAAAGTTCGTTATTATAATTCACATATTACTGAAGAAAGGAGGAAGGAAGGGTAAGAAGCAGGGATGGCTATTTACCCCAGAGCTCGAGTCTTAGGAGTGCAGGTAAGTTTGGAGAAGAAGAGGGTCTGGGGTAGGTAGGGCGTTTGCCTTGCACGTGGCCAGCCAACTGGGTTCGATTCCCAGCATCCCATAGGGTCCCCCCCGAGCACCACCAGGAGTTAACTCCTGAGTGCATGAGCCAGGAGTAACCCCTGTGCATTGCCGGGTGTGACGCAAAAATAAAATTAAATTAAAAAGTTTGGAGAAGCAGATTCCTGCTAAAGGGTTAAACTTTTTTTTTTTTCCATTTATTTTGGGTTTTAGGGCCAGACTGGGCGGTGCTGTTAGGCACGTGTGGCCACCTGTCTCCCCGGGACAGTTCCCTAACGGGGCCCATTAGGTGCTTTCATGGGGGCGAGAGAGAATCGCTCTGACCCTGGGCAGCTTGCATGCATGTGCCAACCAAACAGGGATTAGCTCTGTCGCTCCTGAGCCATCAAGAACGACACACAGTCCCCTCTAGTTGCGGGTCACAGCGGTTGCTGGGATGGAAGAAAAATCACTCCAGCACGGGCAACCCCTCCCCCCCGCCACCTTGGGAAACGTTCTGGAAGATTCTGGAAGTTTCTGGAACGTTCTGGAAGGCGCCCGCGGAGGGCTTCGGTCTCGCTCGCGGGCGCCACACGGCGGGGTCCGAGGATCCCGACGGACTCGAGGAGGGCGCGGGGGCGGGGCTGGGGGCGCGGCCGGGCGGATCCCGCCCCCTCCCCCCGCAGCCGCGCACCCCGCCGCCCGCGGCAGCCGCCACCCGACGCGCGCCCGGCCCCTGGGAACCGCCCGCCGGAAGGGGCGGGCCCGGCGCCGGCGCGCGCGGCCATTGGCTGGCGCGGGGGGGCGGGGCGTGGGCGGCCCCGCCCCGTGGCGGCGGAGGCGGCGGCGGCGGCGGCGGTGAGCGCGGGCGGGCGCGCCGGGCGCGGGAGCTGCCGCCGTTGGGCCCCCGCGGCCTCCCCCCGAGCTCCGGACACCGTGCGGGGCGGGCCGGGCACCCGGTGAGCCCGGCGGGAGGTCGCCCCGCGCCGGCGCCGGGAGGCTGGGCCGGCGCTGAGGCGGTGGGGCCGGGCGGGGGGGAGGGGCGAACCCCGAAAGGAGGCTCACCCGGGGGCCGTGACCCGGCCCTGCCGCGTGGACCCCGTCCGTGCTGCGTGAGCCGCCCCCCGCCGCCGCCGGCGCCCCCTCCCGCGCACGGATCCTTCTGCTCTGCTCCCTGCACCCCGCTTGCTCGCCGAGCCCCCCTGCCGCTGCCTGGACCCCCTTTCTGGGCTGCTCTCCGCGCCTCTGGGCGCCCCGACTGCGCCCAGGACCCCCTCTGCTCACTGGCTCTCCAACTGCCGGACCCCTCCCTGCTAACCGAACCCCCCCTCCTCCAGTGCCTGACCCCCCCGCACCCCGCTTCTGCCCTCGCTTCCTCAAACCCTCCCCCCTTCAGCTCCCGGACGGACGGATGGACGGACGGACGGACCTCCCAGCCCTGCTCAGTGGGCGCCCCCCACCCCCATGCCTGGTCCCACCCTCTGCTTCCTGATCTGCACCCCCCCTTCGCCCGGCCGAACCTCTTTGGCCATTTCTACCCCCACCCCTCGATGTGCTGGAACCCCCCCCACCCCGCCGCTGCTGCAGTGAACCCCCGTCTTTGCCACGACCCCCCACCCCACCCCCTGTTTTGCCTCGGAGCCCACCGACTTCTTCTGGATGAGGTCACCGCCTCTGCAGCTGTCCCTGTCCTTTTCCGCCCCAGGCAAAACCAGAAGGGGCGGGAGTGGAGGGGGGGGGGAGAGGCCCTTCGCCCCTGGCTCTGCTAGGATCCGAGCCCAGAAACGCTTTAAGAATCCAACCCATCCTCACCCAGTGGAGGCCAATCGGCTGGGTCTTATTTATGGGGAGGGGAAAAAAAAAAAAAGCAAAGTAAAGAATGAATTCCCCCCTCCCCAGGAATCTGGCCAGGCCTGGGCTCAGTGTGTGTGGGGGGGAACCTCTCCCTAGGGGGGTTAGGGACCCGCTCTGACCGCCACCACCAGCCCTCCCTGCCCCTTCATTTGCAGGGCTCCTCGGCTGGCCTGTGAGACCTGGCCGGGCCGGATTGGCCCACAGCGCCTCGGTCACCATGGACGCCCAGTATGTCCTCTGCCAGTGGAGAAAGCGCCTATGGCCTGCCAAGGTGACAGGAAGACCCCCATCCCGGAAGTGCCCGGGGTTCCGAATGGCTTTTGGGTGACTGATGAAATCTATCAGGAGACCCCGAGTGTTTGCGGGGAAGTAGGCCTGTGTACCCTGGTGGTGAGGAGCTCAGGCCTGGGTGATGAACAAGTCGGGGCTGCTGGAAGTGGCTTTTTAAATTTTTTTCTCCCCTTCCTCCATGGGGCTGGGGAGACAGTGTTTCACCAGAGGCAGATGTCAAAAAAAAAAAAAAAGCCAAACCAGGGACCTGAGCAATAGTATAGCAGGGAGGGCGTTTGCCTTGCACATGGTGGACCCGGGTTCAATCCCTGGCATCCCATATGGTCCCCCAAGCACTGCCAGGAATGATTCCTGAGTGCAGAGCCAGGAGTAACCCCTGAGCACCATCAGGTGGGACCTTAAGCAAAATGACAGGTGATTGGCTCTCGGGGTGGGGTGGGCGAAGTTTGGCTAACGTGAATTTCTAGGGATCCAATATAGGAAGACTTGCCCGGTGCAGCACCCAGGCCTGGCCTGTCTCTGGCTGGTCCCTGAAGCCTCAGTTTTTTTTCCCTATGATGCCCTGAGGGGGAGTGTCCCCCACCTCCCCGGCCCCTGGGACCATGTTCCCACAGTTTGCAAGCTTTGTGTGAGTCCTGAAGTCCGAGTAACATAGATTCTTGTTTTTATTTATTTCTTTTTCTTTTTTTTTTTTTCTGAATGTAGGTCTTGGACAGACCTGAGACGTTCACCAAATCTCAGAGGAAAAAGGAATTTTTTCTCAATGTTGAAATCCTCTCCTTAGACAAACAGTTAAGTGTTGAGATGTGGATTTTGTTTTATGTTTTTTTTTTGTGTGTGTGTGCGTGGGGGGGGGTGTTAATATTTTTTTTTTGGGGGGGAGCAGCTTCTTCCTCTATGCTGTGGGATGGTTCCCTGATTCCTGGGGGTGCTCGGGAGGATCTTGCTGTGTGCCCCTGGATACCGTGTGTGCTCTGAGTCTGCCGTCAGCTCACCAAGATCTCTTGGTTCTTCCAGACAAATTTATCTTTTTCTTGAAAGGGATTTCTGATATGTGTGTTCCCACCAACAACAAAAAAAAAACCCATGAATAACGGAGCTCTCTGTGAAGGCTTGTTAACTGGAGTTTTCGCTGGAGCTTGAGATAATAAGCTTGAGTGTTGGGGGAATGATCATTTGGAAGTGGGTAAGCGCCAGACGCAGTGGGGTGATGGATGTGTGCGATCCCCAAAGTCCTTAGCACAGAAATGGGATCAATCCAAATATTTAGGGTTCACCTGGGGATGGTACCACCCCAGGATTTGTGTCCCCAGGGCTGGGGAGATAGCTCAGAAGACTGCAAAACCTCGAGTCTGCCCCATACCCCACTATGTATGGCCCTAAAAACCAAACCAAAAGCAAACCTATGAGCCGTAGTCCAGCGGGGAGGGCGCTGGCCTTGCATGTGGCTCCATCCCTGGCATCCCATTGGGTCCCCCGAGCCCCACCAGGAAGCCAACCCTGAGCACCTCCAGATGTGGGCACCCCCCCAAAAAAAATAAACGTGTGTCTTTGTTCCCGGAGACTTGGGTGACGGTGACGGGCTGTCACGTTGGAGGTTCCGCTCCTAAGAGGCAGACAAGGGGTCTCTGATCCCAGCCCACCCCCCCGCCCACCTAGGAAGGTTCCTGTCTATCCTCTGGGACCTCAGTTCTGCAGCTAATAAGGACCGAGTCCGGGTGGGGTCCCAGCCCTTCCCAGCTGCCGGCTAAGCCTTCTTAGACCCTTGCCCGCTGGTAGATCCCAGGGAGGTAACAAGGTAACTATGTGGGTGAGGGGGGGCACCCCCCTCCAACAGCCTTTCCAAGGCCAAACTTCAAATATTTTGATTTGGTTTTTGAGTCCCACCCGGCGGTGCTCAGGGCTGCCTCCTTTGCACTTTGTTTTGGGATCACTGCTGGCCGAGTTCGGAGGACCCTATTTGGGGGAACCCTTTGGGGTGCCCCTTACGGGGTGCTGGGGATCATTTTCCGGTCAGCTGTGGGCAAGGCAAGTGCCCTCCCTGCTGTCCTGGATCTCCAGTCTCCTGAATTAATTTTTTTTCTTTTTTTTCTTTTTGGGGTCACACCTGGCGATGCACAGGGGTTACCCCTGGCTCATGCACTCATAAGTATTGCCCTTGGTGGTGCTCAGGGGACCATATGGGATGCTGGGAATCGAACCTGTGTCGGCTGTGTTGGCTGCGTGCAAGGCAAACGCCCTACCCGCCGTGCTATTGCTCCAGCCCACTCAGGGATCATTTTTGTCCCCCACCCTATCAGCTGTAGGCCTTGCCGGCTGTACTAATGCCCTGAACATTGCATTTTCTTTCTTTTTTTTTTTTTTTGCCTTTAGGGTCACACCTGGCAATGCACAGGGGTTACTCCTGGCTCTGCACTCAGGAATCACCCCTGGCGGTGCTCAGGGGACCATCTGGGATGCTGGGATTGGAACCCGGGTGGGCCGTGTGCAAGGCAAACGCCCTACCCACTGTGCTGTTGCTCCAGCCCCATCCCTCTCTCTCTCTCTCTCTCTCTCTCTCTCTCTCACTCTCATGTTCTTTCTATCTCTATTTCTTTTTTTTTTTTTGGCCCTCACCTGGCAGTGCTCAGGGGTCACCCGTGGCTCTGCACTCAGGAATCACTCCTGGTGGTGCTCAGGGGGCCCTGTGGATAAACCCTGAGCACCGCCGGTTGTAACCCACTATTCCCCCAAAAAATAGTGGGGTGGGAGACCCTCCCCCCTCACAACCCCCTTCCTCTCCTCTTTGCCTCTCCCTGTAGACCCATGCCTTCTAGGCAAAATTGGGGGGTGCTTTTTGACATGAGATTGATTTTGTCCTCTGGTTTTTGTGTGACTGTTCCAAATTTGTGTATCATAATACTTATTTTAAAAATCATTCTCTTCTTGGGGCTGAAGCGACAGCACAGCGGGTAGGGCGTTTGCTTTGCACGCGGTCGACCCGGGTTCGATTCCCAGCATCCCATAGGGTCCCCCGAGCACTGCCAGGGGCAATTCCTGAGTGCAAAGCCAGGAGTAACCCCTGAGTATCACCGGGTGTGACCCAAAAAGCAAAAAAAAAATAATTAGTCTCTCCTTGCCTTAATCTTTTTTTTTTTTTTGCTTTTTTTTGGGGGGGTCACACCGGCGATGCACAGGAGTTACTCCTGGTTCCTGCACTCAGGAATTACTCCTGGCGGTTCTTGGGGGACCCTGTGGGATGCTGGGGATCGAACCCGGGTTGGCCACGTACCAGGCAAACGCCCTAACCCGCTGTGCTGTCGCTCCAGCCCAAAAAGGGTAGATGATGTGATTTTGAGAAGCACCGTGGGGGCTGGGGCGGGGGGGCTCACCTGGTACAACTCCAGCAGTGCGGGGGGGTTGGAAAATTGAATTGAATCCGGGGCCCGACTCGGCAGCTCCCCTTGGCCCTTTTGGGGTACGCGTCATGGTGGTGTCTGTTCCCCTCCCCAGACTTAAGGTGAAGAGCTCGGCGGTGCAGACCCTGAGCCGCTCTCGGATTGAAGACATCGCCTCGTCGCTGGGTGAGAGCAGAGACGGGGTGCGGGCCTGTGGGGGCCAGCTGGGGGCGTGGGGGGGCCCAGCCCACCTCCCCCTTTTCTCTTTGTTCACTGGCTCCGGGAGGGCAGGGGAAGGAGAAACTCAGCTGCTTCCTTTAGACTTTCTAGTTTTCCCCTCCTTCCTGGGGGAGGGGGTGCAGGGGGGTACTCTTGGGAGTCCCCCCAAGGCAGCGACAGGAGGACCCCCGGGGACCCCAACCCAAACGATTCCAGAGGCCCTTTGGAAACCCAGAGCTTGGATTCCGAGTGGAACTGGAGCTGGGGGACCCCCCCACCCCGAACCTTGCTCGATTTGGCCTTTGCCCCGTCCCAACCCCCACTCCCCCTGCTGTGGCCTTTTCTTTCTTGCCTCGGTGGGGGACGGGACAGCTTGGATGAGAGCTGGCCTGTGGGGGAGGCCCCGGGCAGGCCAGGGAGGGAGTGCGGCCAGCTCAGGGCGCCCGCCCGTGTCTCCCCTGCACGCAGCCTCGCCGGACGCCGTGCCCAGCTCGCCCGTGGAGGAACTGACCTACCGGCGCTCCCTGCGGGTGGCGCTGGACCTTTTGAACCCCAGCACTCCCAGTCCGCGAGAGGCAGGAGCTCCGGAGGAAGCCGGGACCCCCCTGGCCCCCGCAGCCGAAGCCACAGCTGCCGTCACTGCTGTCGTGCCGGGGGACGCAGCCGGGCCTGGTTCTGGCAAGCAGGACCCAGCGCAGCAGGACCCGCCGGGCTCAGCTCCTTGGGAAGAGGACCCCCAGCACCCCGCGGACCCCAGCAGGGAGCCCGAGAGCCCGGGGCCCCCCGGGGGAGACCATGGCGATGCTGGGGCCGGCCAGCCCCCCACGGACCATCCCGCTACCCCCCGCTCGCCTCCCAGAGCCCCGGACTGTGACTGCGAGTTGCCTTCAGGGGACCCTACAGGGCCCCTGGAACCCGGAGCTGGACCCCCCAAGCGACCGTGCTTGGACAGCAGCTGGGACCCTGAGCCGGCACTGTCTGCCGGGCAGGAGGTGAAAGCCGGCACCCCTCCACACAGCCCGCCGAGCCCCGGGCCCCCGACCTCCGAGAAGGTGGAGGGAGGTAAAGGCGCTGGTCTGGGGGGCGGTGGGGGGAGGGGCTGCACCCCAGACCTCTCTCAGCTCCCCCCGAGCAACCCCCCTCCCCAAAATAGACCCGGGGCCTCTGTGCTTGGTGGCTTTGGGGTTTCGGGTTTCTGTCTTTTTTGTTTGTTTGTTTGGGGGCCACATCCGGTGGTGCTTGGGACTGACTCCTGGCTCTGCACTCAGGATCACTCCTGGTGGTGCTCAGGGGACCCTCCGGGGCGCCGGGAAGGGGCCGCGTGCCAGGCCAGCGCCCTCCCTGCTGTCCCATCCATCCCTCTGGCCCCTGGCTTTATTGATTTATTTATATATTTTGCTGGGGCAGGGGAACGGGGCGGTGTGTAGTCTGGGTTGTCGCTGGTGCCATCGGGACCAGCTGTTCCCGCGGGCGCTGAGCAGGGCCACTCCCTCGGCTTACCTCGGGGTGACTCATGCATGCGTGCATGGAACCCTGTAGGTGTGTCGGCAGGAAGGGGCCTGCCGCAGTGCCCTCGCCCCCCGCCCCTCCTACCTCTGGCCGCGCCCCCTCAGCTGACCGGGCCTGTCCCTTGTTTCTGCATGACCAGCTGTGGTCAGCCGCTGATATGCCGGCACGGGGGAGGGGGCGGGGGCCTTGGGGACGGTGGTCACTGCCCCCCCCCAGCCTGTCTCCCGTCTCTGGCCCCCTCCCCGGGCCCCCAAGTTGTCCCCTGTCGTGGAGCGTGATGTCTGGGTTGGGATTGCCCGCAGGGGTGAGCCCAGGCGGCCCAGTGACCGGCCCCTGTGGTTCCCCCACTCGCTGCAGCTGCAGACTGGCCATCCTGCATGGAGTCCATGGAGCTGAGCTCAATCCAGTCTCTCCTGGAGGAAGAGGAGGACGACGAGGAGCCGCCCAGAATCCTTTTATATCACGGTAAGGGGGCGGGGGGGGTCCCGTGAGGGAACCCTCACAGGCAGAGGCTGTTCTGGGGGGGTGGGGGCCAGGACAGTGAAGCGTCCCAGAGGGGCTGCGGGTCTCCCCAGAGGATGCTCCCCGTGACCAGGTCCCCACACAGAGCTGCTGTAGGGGCGGGGGGCCCGGAGAGAACCGGGCTCCGACCTTCCTTGGCAGCTGTGTTGGTTTCGGGGGCCCCTCCAGTCCTTTGAGCCTCTTTGTTTGTTTTTTGGCCACACCCAGCGGTGCTCAGGGCTGACTCCTGGCTCTGTGCTCAGGGGACTCGTGGGACCCTGTGGGATGCCCGGGATGGGCTCGAACCCGGGTCGTGCAGGGCCATGCCCTCCCTGCTGTGCTGTCAGCTCTCACTCGGGCCTTTTTGTCCGGAAAAGCGGGTGTGCTTGAGCTCTCTGTCTCCACCCCCGCCCCCAAATCTCTCAGGAAGGGCAGCCCCTAGCCGTGGGGGCCCTGATTTGGGCCTCTGTGCAGGCAGCTGTTTCCCCACCTCTGCAGTGAAATAGGGAGAGACGCATTCAGAAAAACACAGTGGCCCAGGCAGGGAGGTGCTGGCCTTGCCGTCCCTGGCACTGCTTGGGGTCCCTCGAGCCCCACCAGGGCACGTACAGAGCCAGGTGTCACTCCCGGGCACCGTTGGGTACGGCTCCAAAATCACAACAAAAAGAGAAAAAGAGAGAATGACAGCATCTCTGGCGGGGAGAGAACGGAGGGGTCTCTGGAAGGCAACAGAAAAAAATCCCGCATGCAGCTGAGATGCAGGTGACTGCCGGGGTGGGGGACAGCGGCCGCCAGCGGGGGCACCGGGTGCTGGAAGGACTTGACGAGGGACCCGAGCTCTCATCAGTAAATGTAGAGGAAAGAGGAGGATTTGCTAAGGAGGGCCCGGTGGGGCCTGGGGGGAGGATGGTGGCGCCAGGGGTGGGGCTGGAATTGGCACATCGAACGCAGGAACCATGTTCCCATCAGCTTTGTTCCTTGGGTTTGTTTTGTACTGCTGCAGTCAGGGCTGAGTCCTGGCTCTGCGCTCAGGGATCACTCTTGGTGGTGCTCCGGGCACCCTATAGGATGCCGGGGGTCGAACCCGAATTGGCCTCCTGCAAGGCAAGCGCCCTCCCCACTGGACTCTCTAACCTTGTTCTCCACTTGTAAACTTAGGTGCTGAGATTTTGTTTTAAAAAATTAAATTCAGGGTCTGGAGCGATAACACAGCGGTAGGGCGTTTGCCTTGCACGCAGCCAACCTGGGTTCAGTTCCCAGCATCCCATATGATCCGCTGAGCACCACCAGGAGTAACACCTGTACGTTGCCGGGTGTGATCCAAAAAGCAAAAAAAAAAAAAAAAAAAAGAAGAATTTTAAGGACCGGAGTGATACTACAGGAGTAAAGCGCTTGCCTTGCACATGGCCGACCTGGGTTTGATCCCCAGGATTCCATAGGGTCCCCCAAGCATCACCAGGAGTGATTCCTGAGTGCAGAGCCAGGAGTGACCCCTGAGCATCGCTGGGTGGATTTATTTATTTATATATTTATTTTGCGGCATGGACAAAGAAAGCTCAAAGGACCGGAGTGATGCTTGCTTTGTGGCAGCTGGGTTCAAGCCCGACAACCTCTGGCCTCCTGAATACCACTGGGTTGACCCCCCGACCATGGAGCAAGCTGTTTTCCCCACCCACCACTGGGGTGGCATTAAACCACAATTTGGGGAAGCGATAGTCCGGTGGGGAGGGCCTTGGCCTTGCACACGGCCAGCCCAGGTTCGATCGCCAGCACCCCGTTGGGTTCCCCAAGCCTCGCCAGGAGTGGTCCCTGAGCATAGAGCCAGGAGTGAGCCCTGAGCACTGCCAGGTGTGGTTCAGAAAACAAAACGAAAATGGGGGGCTGGGGATGTAGCTCAGAGGGTGATCCCCAGCCCTGCCTGTTGTTCTTGGATAATAGAGACGCCTCAGGTATCAGAGTTCCCCCAACTGTTTCCCTGTGGGTGACCCCCCATGCGGTCGCAGTCCCAAATCCCACATCTGGCCCCCGTGGCCCTCGGTGTGGGGCTGGGATCCTGGCTTGGGGGTGCCCGCAGCCCCCCGCAGCACAAGAGTCATAAATCCCGCAGGGGCAGGGTTCTGGGGGCCGGGGCTTCGCACACCTCATCTCTGTCTGTCCCTGGTTCTCTGTCCTCCCACCCTTCCTCGTTCTAGAACCCCGCTCGTTTGAGGTTGGAATGCTGGTCTGGCTCAAGTACCAAAAATACCCCTTTTGGCCGGCAGTGGTAAGAGCGCGCCCCATCTGGGGGTGGGGGTGAGGGTCAGCAGGGTCCCGCAGGGCCTCGCAGGGCCTCGCGCCCCCTCCATCCTGCTCAGGTGGTGGGGACCCCATCCCATAAAGCTGGGTGTTTCTGCTTCTCCCCCTGGAAACGGCTCGCATTGCCGCACCCCTGCGCGGCCCATTGTCACTTTTATTATCCAGGGAGGGGTCTTTGTTGATTTTGGGGGGGATGTCCTTGTTTGGGGGGGCCTCTCTGGATGATTCCCCGGGAAGGCTACTCCTGGTGCTTGGGGTTGCTCCTGGCATGGGGGGGCAGAGGTGTTGGGGATCCACCCTGGGGCTCCCCTGTGCTCTGAGCACCTTCGGGAGCATGTGTGGTGCTTTTGTTGTCTGCTATCTTGGGGGTACATGGCCAGAAACCCCCCGGAGCAGAGCTGGGGGGGTCAATGTCCCCCTGGCTGCAGTGAGCGCCCCATGACAGTGTCCGAGTTTCGCGGGGAGGAGGCCTGGCCGCCACAGAGACTGACCCCCCCCCCCCCGTTCTGTGCGAGGCCAGACGTGTTAAAGGTGGGAGCAGTGTCATTTTGGGGTGTGCCTCCTGCACCCACGCCTGGACTCCTTCCCCTCCAGCCCAGACACACTGGCTCCAGAGCAGGGGCCCTCACCCCCAGCCCACCCCCCAACAGCTGCGCAGGGCCTTGTCCTTTGTCTGTGTCCTGTGGGACAACAAGCCGTGCTTTTGTTTTGGGGGCCACACCTGACAGTGCTCAAGGGTTATTCCTGGTGGGGCTCAGGGAACCCTGTGGGGGGCCAGGGATCGAGCCCAGGTTTGAACCCCCACGCGTGGCCCCAACACGAGGGTCTTGACCAAGCGCCACCCACCACTTCCTTTCTGACTTGGCTTTCGGGGGGCCGCCCGCAGGTCAAAAGCATCCGGCGCAGAGACCGGAAGGCCAGCGTGCTCTTCATCGAGGGGGACATGGACCCCAAGGGCCGAGGGTAGGGACCCGTGGCGCAGTTCAAGGGTGGGATGCGGGGGGCGGGGAGGGGAGGGCTGAGACCCAGCTGTGGCGGGCAGCAGCCCCCCTCGTCTCCTGAGCTTCCCCCCGGGCCTGTGTGAGTCCTGGGGTGCACCGTGCGGCCCCTCCCCTCCCTCGGGCGGGCGTTCTCTGTCCGCGGGCGCTGCGTGTTCAGGCCGCTGCCCTCTGCCCTCAGCATCGCTGTGTCCCTGCGGAGGCTGAAGCACTTTGACTGCAAGGAGAAGCAGGCCCTGCTGGTAAGTGGGGGCGCTGCCCGCTCCCCAGGGCAGGGGGGAAACGGCCGTGGGCATGCGGGGTGGCGGGATGGGTCACGTGGGACTCGGGCTGGCCAGTGGCAGTCCCTCGCCATCCCCATCATATCCCCCTTGTGGGGGGATGGGCCGGGCGGCCGCTCAGCTCACGGGGCCCAGCGCAGGCTTTGCAGAGCTTGGAGTGGGCCCCCCCACACCCCAAGACTGAGTGGGTGCGGGGCTAGAGGAATGGGACAGCAGGGAGGGCACTGGCCTTGCATGCGGCTGACCCGGGTTTGGTGCCCGGCACCCCATTAGAGTCCCCCGAGCCCCGCCAGGAGGGATCCCTGAGTGCAGAGCCAGGAGTCAGCCCTGAGCACTGCCGGGTGTGGCCCCCAAACCAAAAAAAAAAAACACAGAAAAACAAGGACCGGGTAGGGTAGGTGGGGTCCCGCAGACACCCCCCAACCCCACCCTGCTTGGGGCATTAGGGCTCGCTGGGCTTTGGGTCACGGGTGAGGGCCGGGGGGATGGTTTGGGGGAAGCTACCCCACACCAGGTTGGTGCTCCGCTCTGGGGGGATGCTGGGGGCGACCGTGACCACGTGGCACCCCAGCCTTGGGGAAGCACTGACTGAGAGGGGCATGTGGGGTGGCGTGTGTGTTTGGGAACCAGGGCAGGAGGCTGCTGTGATCCCTGGCTGGAGGGTGCCCAGGGTCAGCGCCTGCCCCCTGGGGGGCCCAGAGCAGTGGGCGCACGCCTTTCTGGGGGTGCCTCCTGGGGTCCTGCCTTCCCTGCACGTGACTTGTGAGTGCTGGGACATGGGTGTCAGGCCTCACCGGCACCCTGGGACTCGGCCTGTATTGGGGGGCGCTTCTGTTCCCCGCATTCTGGGCCTCCTCCCTTTGGAGATTTTTTTTTTAAATCACACCCAGAGGTGCTCGGGGCCCTGTGGTGCCAGTGCCGGGGCCCAGGCGGGCATCCCCTCCCCCAGCAGAGCCCGAGCTCCAGCCCAGCGCCGCACTCGGGGGCCACAGATGCGGGAGGTGCTCCGGGGCCCCGCTGAGGCTGCTGTCTGCCCCCCTAGACCGAGGCCAAGGAGGAATTCGAGCAGGCCATTGGCTGGTGCGTGTCCCTCATCACCGACTACAGGGTCCGCCTGGGTATGTGCGGGGGGAGGGGCGGCTCAGGGCGGGGACTGGGTAGGGGGTTGGGGGGCTCGGGTCCTACATGCAGGATAGTGGAGGGTGGCTGAGCATTTCCTTCCGGCCAGAGTCGCCTCCTCCTCCCATTCTGTCTGTCCGTCCCGTCTGTCTGTCCCAGCTGCCTGCCTGTAAGAGACCTTTAGATCAGTGTCTCCCGCACTCAGTGCTTAAACAATCCAGGGTCGGCAGGTGTGATTCCGGGGTGCGATTTGGGGCTCCTTCCTGCTTGTCCGCTTAAGAATGCCCTGGATGGACGTGCAGAGTCACGAGGGGGTGGGGGGCTGAGTGACGGGGGTAGGGCCTGAGTAACGAGGTGGGTCTGTGGGGGGGGGCTGAGTGATAGGTGGGGACCTGAGCAACGGGTGGTGGGGCTGGGCGACACGTAGGGGTCCTGAGTGACGGGTGGGGCGCTGAGTGGGCTCCCTGCAGGCCCGGCGGCTCGCTCCTGAGGGCCAACTCCTGCCTGGGGTTCTCCCAGGACCCCTCCTGCTGACCTCTGCTCCCCTTGGGTGGGGGCCGGTGAGGGCATCCCCATCCGTGTGGGACTGCGACGCCCACCTTGGCCGAGCCCGACTTCTCCCCTCCCCACAGGCTGCGGCTCTTTCTCCGGCTCCTTCCTGGAGTACTACGCTGCTGACATCAGTAAGTGGCTGCACCCTTGGTGGAGGGGCAGGGGGCTCCCCATCCCTAGGAAGCGGTGGGCTCCTGGCCCGGCCAGTCTTTGGGTTCTGCCGGTGGCCAGCTCACAGCAGCTCCCCGCGCTCCTGGCTGGGCCACATCCTTGACTCCGCAAGCCCCACGGGTCTGGGGGTTCTGCGGCGCCCCTGTCCTCCGTGCCCAAGAACTGCGGACTGGAAGCCGGCAGGCCCGGGGAGAGGGACCCTTGCGAGGAAGAGGGTCTCCCCGGGACCCGGGTGCCCCCTCCCACACGCGGCGTCCCGTCCCTCCGCGCAGGCTACCCGGTGCGCAAGTCCATCCAGCGGGACGTCCTGGGGACCCGCTTCCCGCCGCTGAGCGCGGGGGCCCCCGAGGCGCCGGCCGAGGGGAGCCCGTGGGGCCGGCGGCCCCCGTGCCGGAAGGTGCTCCCCGACCGCTCCCGCGCCGCGCGCGACCGCGCCAACCAGAAGCTGGTGGAGTACATCGTGAAGGCGCGGGGCGCCGAGGGCCACCTGCGCGACATCCTCAGGAACCGCAAGCAGTCGCGGTGGCTCAAGACCTTCCTGAGCTCGGCGCAGTGCGTGACGTGCGTGGAGACGTACTTGGAGGACGAGGCCCAGCTGGACCTGGTGGTGAAGTACCTGCAGGGCGTGTGCCGCGACGCGGGCCCGGGGCTGCTGGCGCGCATCAACGGGGACCGGATCCGCTTCATCCTGGACGTGCTGCTGCCGGAGGTGCTGGGGGCGGGGCCTGTGATCCGGGGCGGGGCCAGGGCGCCGGGGCGGGACTTAAGGAGGGGCTGGAGGGGGGCTGGGGCGGGGTGGAGCGTGGGGGGGGGTAACAACCAAGGGGGCGTGCGTGCTCCTCTGCCACTGGCCACAACGGGTGGGGGTCACAGCTCAGTCCTTTGTCTTCTTTCATTCTGGGAACACAGCCAACAGTGCTTAGGGCTTACTCCTGGCGCTGAGCTGGGTGATCACTCCTGATAGGGGGTTCAGGGCCCTTCACGGGGTGCCAGGGGTCAAACCCAGGGTAGCCGTGTGCGAGGCAAGCGCCTGCCCACTTCCTCTGTCTCTCTGGCCTTCCCCAAAACATATAATCTATGTAACATTTTGGGTTTCCACGCTGTACCTGGAAGTGCTCAGGGCTTACTCCTGGCTCTTCACTCAGTAAGTGCATCCTGGCAGGGGTCCGGGACCAGATGGGGTCAAACCCAGGTCGGCCGCGTGCAAGGCAAATACCCTCCCCACTATACCTGCTCCTCTATTTGTTAATATGATAAACCTGCTGCCCACGACATATGTGTGCAAGAGTTTGTGTGTGCGCACATGTGGGTGTACATGTGTGTGCATCTTCCTGCTCGGTAACACCCAAACCTCGATACCACCAGAATTGGGGTACAGGGGGGTTGTCTCCGAACCCCAGACTGTTGCTCAGTACTGTGCTTCCTCCAGGCGGTCATCTGTGCCATCTCTGCCGTGGACGCTGTGGACTACAAGACAGCTGAGGAGAAGTACATCAAGGGACCCTCACTCGGATATCGGTAGGCCTCGGCCCCCCACCTCCCCCGCGCAGCTGACAGGGCTCGCCTGACCCTGTCTCTCACCCCCTTCCTTGTGGAGAGCCCCCGGGAACTCCTCCTGAGCCGTGACACCCCAGCTGGGCTCCCCGCGGCCTTGCCGAGTTTCCAGAGTGGAGCGTGGGGTTGGGACAGACAGACAGTGACACAGACGCCTAGGCCCCAGCCTGCTAGCAGCCGAGTCCCAGGACACGGGGTGATCAAGACGTCTCAGGTCTGGCAGCCCAAGCCCAAGCCCCTAATCCCAGTGCTGGGCAGGTTGCCAGGACCCGTGGCGGGAGCGGGCGACAGTGACATGATGAAGACTCATTCAGGTGGGGGTCTGGGCCTGGCAGGCTCAGCTGGGCATGCTGCCAAGGCCCCTGCCCAGGTTCACGCCAGGAGGGCGCAGGGGCCCCTTGAGGCACTGACGGGGCAGAATTTTCTGGACCCGAAGCGCTTGTCTCCAACAAGGAGTTTGTTATCAACACAGCTGCTGCTGCTGCTTATTTTTTTTTTTATTTTGACTTTTTGGGTCATACCTGGCCATGCTCAGGGCTTACTCCTGGCTCTGCATTCAGGAATCACTCCTGGTGGTGCTGGGGGGGGGGCGCTATTGGATGCTGGGGATCGAACCCTGGTTGGCTGAGTGCAAGGCAAGTGCCCTCCTTGCTGTACTGCCGCTCGGGTCCCCATCAACACTTCTTTTTTCTCTTTATTTTCTTGTCATTTGGGCCACACCCAGCTGCACTCCGGTCTTTTTTCCTGGCTTTGCAGTCAGGGATCACTCTGGCGGGGATCGGGGGACCTTACGCGGTGCCTGGGATTGAACCCAGGTCTGCTGCGTACGAGGCAAGTGCCTTGCCCGCTCTCTGGTCGTTGAAGGAGTCTCGGGAATACAGGAACCCCAGTGCGTGCAGTGCGTGACCCTCCCCACCAGCATCTTCGGAATGTTCTGCGAAATAGCCCAGCAGGCAGGGCACTCGCCTTGCCACCTGGGTTTGATCCTGGCACCCCACAGAGTCTCCTAAACCCTGCCAGGAGTGATCCCTGAGTGCAGAGCCAGGACTGAGCCCTGAGCAGCGCTGGGGGTGGCCCCCGAACAGAAGGAAACAAAAACAAGGTTCTCCCGCGGCCCCGTGGGAACTCTGTCTCCAGGAAACAGCGCAAATCGTTCGCTGGCCCCCTCCCCCCCCTCCGCCCCCCTCCCCCGTGTGCCTGGACCCCTCAGCAAAGCCTCTTTCCCTCTTTGTCTTTGGCAGGGAAAGAGAGATCTTTGACAACCAGCTTCTGGAAGAAAGGAGCCGCCGAGGCTGCTGAGGGCCCAGGCTGGGGGTGTGGGCTTGGGCCATCAGCTCCGCCCACGCCCTGCAGCGCCCCCTCCTGACCACCCTGACCACCGTCTCCCCCACCCCCACCCTCAGGCTCGCTCCCCTCACCGGCGGGCCTCAGCTGCAGATGCAGATCCTGGGGGCTCCCCGTGGCAGGTGGCACCCCTCGGGTTCTCTGTTTTCCAGCACCATCTGCCGCTGCCCCGGGATTTCCTTTCTGGAAGGCTCTGAAGAGCCTGTGTGTTCTGGGGCAAAGTCTTGACAATCCGCAGTCCGCCGGGACACTCACAGCTCCGGGAATGTCAGGGAACATCCCAGAAGCCGACCCCCCCAACCCCTGCACCCCACCCTCTCTTGCCTCCTGCCGTGGCACTCGGGGGTGCCACCTGATGTGTTGGAACCCCAGTACCTCGGATCACCCGCCACCCCATTCCCGTGACACCAGGACTGAGCCGTGAGCAGCGCTGGGGGTGGCCCCCGAACAGGACTGTAACCGCCGGATACAGGCGTCTGTTTACCCTGGAGTGAGCGGGGCATGGGCCTGTCGAGACCCCCTCCTCCCTGCCCGGGAGATCCTGATGGACACCCCACCCGAGCTCGTGGATTGTTGATTCTAGCTCATGGGGGTCGGGGGCTCTATCTTCCTGGGCGCGTCTCAGGCCTGCCCCCCAGAACCCTCCCAGTGGCCTTGACTCAGATCTGAAAGCAGGCGGGTCCACCTGGCAGGGCCACCCCAGTGCCTGGTGATTGGGGCGGGGCTGGTGACACCAGCAGGGGCAGGGGGACCCAGCACCACCGTGTGCGCCTGGGGAGCCCCTTGCTGTGTGCCTGGGACTGCACGGTTAAGTATTTTTTTATGCTGTTTTCTTTGCTGCCCTGCCTGTGGTTTTTGGCTTTGACGTCGGAAGGACTGTTCTTAAGGAATAAATATTGTTTCGGATTCCGGTTTAACTTTCTCACCCACCTGCCACCCCTTCTATCCTCCCAGATTACCCCTTTGGGGTGCACTGCGGGGCTGGGGGGGGCTGTTGATGCCCCACTGGCTGCTGGACAGTCGATTAGGAAGATGCCCTTTTGGCCTAGATGACCTGCCAGATGGGGAATGTTCTAGAAGATCCTGCAAAGGCCGAAGCCGGCATAGAAGCTACTTTCAGAACCATAAGAAATGTCCCCCCTCCTCAGCACCCCTGGAGCAGCAGGGGCACCTGCGGAACCAGGCCTCCCCCCAACACCCAGCGCGGCTGACCTTGGGCGTGGTCTCACCCCTGGGCCGTTCACAGTGCGGGGTGCAGGCCGTGTCCCCCACCTATGCACTGGAGACTGAAGACCACCCCCCAACGCCCACCGTCAGTTTAGAAACACCGTCTGCGCCGCGTGGGGCTTTGTCGTCCAGTGTAGCACCCCTCCACTTCCCCCCTCCTCTCTAACATCCTTCAGCCCCCAAACTGAAGTGGGGTCCAGGCCAGGGAGCAGGAGGAGGAGCGGGGGGGGAGGGGAGAGGGAGGAGGAAAGTGGGGGTCCAGGGCTTCCCACCCACACCTCTTGTCACCCACACCTTTGCCTCCGTCTTTCCTGGAGAGCTCTGGGTTCTGACCCGCCGATGCCTGGCGGTTCCTCCTGGCTCATGCACTCAGGAATTACCCCTGGCCAGGGGACCATACGGGATGCTGGGAATCGAACCCGGTCGGCTGTATGCAAGGCATGCGCCCTACCCGCTGTGCTATTGCTCCAGCCCCTGGTTTTGTGTTTTTGGGGGGACACACCTCAGAGCTTACCCCTGGCTCTGTTCCGGGGATCACTCCTGCAGTCTCGGGAACCCTGTGGGATGCCATCATCGAACCCGGGTTGACCCTCCTGCTCCCCCCACCCCAAGCTTTCCTCCTCCCTTGCCCCTCCCCCCAGTCTCTGCTCCTCCTCCTGCTCCTGGGCCTGGACCCCACTTCCTATCAGCCCCTCCTCCTCTTCTTCACCCCCCTCCACTCCCCTTTGACTCCTTCCTTGCCCTCAGGCACCCCCATTCCGCTACTCACCCATCTCCAGAAATGGGCCCCCTATTTCTCTGCACACCCCAGGTTCCTAATCAGTTTTTGCCCCCCTCTTCTAAGCGTATTTGCTTTTCCTGGGGGCTCTTGGGGACTCTCAGGCAGTTGCCATCAGACAATAAGCTTGTCTGTGTGTGTTAATCAGGGGTCATCCCCTCAGGGACATTAGGGGCCGGGGGGGGGGGGGGAACTGCAGCACAGCTTGGATGTCAATCACGGTTCAACTGCTGGCTGATGTGGGGTGAAGCTGGAGGCTATGTAAACGCTTTCTATGCAGCAAACACTCAAGTACAGACTATTAACATGAAGTCACAAACCCAGGACGGTCCATTTCAGACTGCGGTGGGATATGTTGGCACAGCTTTGGGGGGCTTGTTGTGGGGGGCCAGGGCAGGGGGGACTCAGCCTGTACCTACCCAGCCTCTGGGTCCCTGGGGTAGCTAGCTGGCATGCACCTGGCAGGCCAGTCTACGAATTGCTCCACTCACCTGGGCTTGTAAAGCCTGAGTTTCTCCAATACACAAAAAAGGGTATCAAGGGGCTGGAGCGATAGCACAGCGGGTAGGGCGTTTGCCTTGCATGCGGCCGACCCGGGTTCGATTTCCAGCATCTCTTGTGGTCCCTCGAGCACCACCAGGAGTAATTCCTGAGTGCAGAGCCAGGAGGAACCCCTGAGCATCACGGGGTGTGACGGTGTGATGGAAAAAAAAAAAGGTATCAAGCAGGGATGTCAAAGTTAAACTTTAACCATTATTTTCATTTGGGTGTTCAATTCTTAGCAAGTTTCCACCTTAATCCTTTAAAAAATAAAATTATGGGCATATGTTTAAAAACCTTGGGGCCAGAGAGATAATACAGGGGTGAGGGCTGTTGATTTTCAGTCAGCCAATCCTGCTTTAATCCCCCACCACTGCGTAGGGTCCCCCAAACCACTCCAGGAGAGATCCCTGAGCACAGGTGACCAGGAGTAGGCTCTGAGCAACGCTGAGTGGGACCCCCGGAAAACAACCCAGCATAACTCTCCTCTTTCAGGACATGTGCTGAGCACAGTTGGAAAAGGCATGCATGGAATGGGTTTTTAAATAATTGGCCAAGGGAGAGGGCGACAGCTGTGTAGAGATGATGATGACAGGCCACTGGGACTCTGTTTATTCATCACAGGAAGGACACTTAGATTTTATTTTCGAGCATGCTGAGACCTTACAATAATAGATAAAATTTATTTTGATGAAATAAGATAGTTCTTCTTGAAACTTGTTTAAAAAGATTAAAGGCGAGAGAAACAGTGACAGAACACAAGCTTTTCCAGAGTGGAAACAAGCAAACAGGGTACGTGTTCAAAGGATATTGAAGAAAGCCCTTAAAATGCGTTTCTGGGGTAATCCCAGCACCCTCCGAGATTATAATAAATTCCATTTACACTTATAGGGAGGAAAAGTCCCCAAACCAAAACACCTGCCGAAACCCGGGATCGAACCAGGGACCTTTAGATCTTCAGTCTAACGCTCTCCCAACTGAGCTATTTCGGCGACGGTATCGAGCCTGCTCACGCCGTAACTCCGCCCCGAGTCGCGCCCTTCGTGCGCCGGCGCAGTGGCCTCGGCGCGAGCGGGCCGCGCATGCCTCGTAGGGAGACGCGGTCGGGCACTCGGCAGCGTTGTCTCTGTGGCGCAATCGGTTAGCGCGTTCGGCTGTTAACCGAAAGGTTGGTGGTTCGAGCCCACCCAGGGACGCGCGCCTAGTTTTTGCTTCCGGGCGGGAAGGAAAGGTCGGGTGACTCTCCCTGCTTTTGGCGGGACCCATCTCCCTCCTCCTCTTTCCCCTCGAGCGGCGAACCCCAAAGTGGGGCGGAGGGAGCGTTGGAAAGGAACGGGCACGAAGAGAGCTGCGCGGAACGTCCGGACTTCCGGTTCCGGCGCGCCTTACGGCCCCTTTACGGTGACGGACCCGCGGCCACCCGGAGCGCTGTCGCGGAAGGACCGCAGAGGTTGTCTGAAGGCCGCGGCCAAGATGGCGGCGCTGGCGGGTGAGCGGACGGCGTGCGGCGGGTCCCGCTGCTCCGGTTCCGGGTCGGCCCGATCGGGTCCCGGTCCCGCAGCCGGGGCTGTAGGCGGCGATGCGGGAGCCGGGGCGGGTCGAACTGAGGCGGAGGCCAGTAGGGGACGGGCCTCGGCGGGACGCTGCCCTTGACATTCCCGGGAGGGAGAGGTGACCCGGGGCCTCGGGGCGCCGACGGACAGGGAAACTGAGGCTCGGAGACGGGATGGGGAGCCCGGACACCCCCCGGAGAGCGGACCTGGCCCGCCGCAGCCACTGGGTCTCTGGGGTTCGCTCTCCGGGTGCTCGGAAATCGGGGCGCGCCGGGACCCCCCGCGCTGCCTGTCAATCAATCACGCCCCGACGGCTGCAGGCTGGTTGCGGGGCGGGTGGGCGTGGGGTCCGCGCCCCCCAAAGCCGGGTGGGAAACGCCTGTGGTTTGGTTTGGTGCTTGGGGCAGAGCCAGCGGTCCTGCTCTTCATCGCTGGTGACGGACGCGCTGTCCAAAGTGTCGCCCGCCCCCCCCCCCCCAACTCCCCCCACTAGCACCTGGGCGGACGCGGGTGCAAGTATCTCAGCCCGATTCTCAGCGGTTGCCCCGTGGAGAATTTCCTGGCAGCAGTAGGGAAGGGAGATCGCGCCTGCAGGCGGGAGATCGGGGTTCAGGCTGGGAAGGACCCCCAGGCTGAGCTCAGAGTAGCCCCCTCCTCCCCACCCCTGCAATGCCCGATGTGCATGCCCACCTCCAGCCAAACATCCCTAAAGTGGCCAGGATGTGGCTCCCGGGTTTTTGTTGCTGTTGTTGTTTTGCTTTTTGGGCTTTGCACAGGGGCTACTCCTGGCTCATGCACTCAAGAGTTACTCCTGGAGGTGCTCAGGGGACCATCTGGGATGCTGGGAATCGAACCCGGGTCGGCTGCGTGCAAGGCAAACACCCCACCCGCTGTGCTAACGCTCCAGCCCCTCACGGGTTTTTTTGTTGGCTCTGGCTTTGGGGGCCCCACCCACAGTGCTCAGGGCTTACCCCTGGCCTTGTGCTCAGGAATCATTCCTGGGGGACTCCTGGGCCTTGCAGAAGATTGAACCTGTTTACCTGTGTTGCACCAATCCCTAAAGAGATCAAGATGTCGCTCAAGTTTTTTTGAGCGATACCCAGTAGTGCTTGGAGCTTACCCTGTGCTCAGGGATCACTCCTGACAGGCTCAGCGGGCCTTATGGGGGGCGGGGCGTCAACCTTAAGTTGGCGGGGTGCTTGGCAGGCGCTGTGGCATCTTCCCACTGGTGTCCCCATGCACCGCATCCCAGGTCTTAGGTCCCTGCAGATATTTTGTTTGTTTGGCGACTGCACCCAGTGGTGCTCAGGACTTTACTCCTGACTCTGTGCTCAGGAATATCTCCTGGCAGGGCTGAGGGGACTCGGGGGTGGGGGGTGCCAGGGATCGAACCCAGGCCAGCTGTGAGCGAGGCAAGCGCCCTCCCCACTGTCCTCTCTCCGACCCTCGCTTGGTCCCTGAAATACCTGCAGATTGGGGGGGGGGGGGTCTCTGTAGGGTGGCGGGATGGCAGGGCCAGACCCCAGGGACTGAAGGTTGCCGCGTACCGTGGCCGGTGCGTACCACCCGTGGCTCACACTTGTGGCCTCATGGGGTCCTGCGCTGTCCAGCGGGATTTGAGGCAGACTGAGGGGGACCGGAAGTTGTGGTTAGATCCTGGCCCCTAACTCACGCCTGCCGCCTGTGGTTCTTTCTGCAGCTACCGGCCTGCTCCGCCCGCTCCTTGCGCTGCGGTGAGTGTCTGCCTTTCCCAGGCTCCGGCAGGGATTGTCCTGTCCTTAAGACTGCTACGCGGGTAGGGGCATGACCCCTGCGGGAGCCTGTCCAGATGGGAACCTCAGCATGTCGGACCCAAGGCCAGGGCAGCTCTGGAGAGAGCCCGCCTAGTGGAGGGGGTTCGGGCTTGGAGGCGGGTTTGCGCCTGGCTGGCTTCTTGGCTTTGGTATTTTGTTGTTTTTGGCTTCTGGGCTTCCTCCCGGTGATGCCCAGGGGTTGCTCCTGGCTCTGCACGCTGGAATCACTCCGGGTGGTGCCCCAGAATCGAACCCGGGTCGGCCGCGTGCAAGGCAGTCGCCCTCTCCGCTGGACTATCGCTCCAGCTCCAATAGCTTTGGCATTTTGGTTTTGGGGCCGCAGCCAGAAGTCTTTAGGGCTGAGTTCTGGTTCTGCATCCCTCCTGGCAGGGCTTTGGGGGGACTGTATGGGGAACCAGGGATTGGGCTTGTGGAGGCTGCTTATAAGGAAACACCCTCCCTGCTGTAAGCTCTCTCCTTTTCTTGGCTTTGTTAACTTTTTTTGTGTGTGTGTGGTGGGGGGGACACATTGGCCATGCTCAGGGAACCCTGTGGGATGCCAGGGATTGAACCCGGGTCTGCCGTGTGCAAGGCAAGGCCCTCCCCGCTGTCCTATCGCTCTGGGCTTTGATTTTTGATAAGCCTGTCCTTAGGGCTATTGAGCCCCTCCAGGGAGGAAAGGGGGGAGGCGGGGGAGGGGCTTCCCTGGCAGGGGCCAGTCCTCTGTCTTGGAGCCTGGGGCACCCCAGCCTTCCCCACTCCCACCCCTCACACGTTCTCTGTCCCCGCAGCCCCGGCCTGGGCGCCGCTGTGCAGACACGAGATGTTCATCAGAGCGCAGCTGCCGACAGCCCGAGCAGGTGAAGACCCCCCCTCCCCACAGCCCCCCTGGAACAGCAGTGGCCTGTGGGGAAGCCAGGGTGTGTCCGCAGAACCCCCTTTCCAGGTGGGGAAACTGAGTCCCACTAGGGGCCTGCTGGGGCCCCTGCAGGACTGGCCGAGGTGTGTGCCTGCAGGCTCCCTCTGCCTGGTGCTGGGGGCTAGGGGGGCGGTCACAGCTTGTGTGTGTGTGTTTGTGTCTCTGTGTGTGTGTGTGTGTGTGTGTGTGTGTGTGTGTGTGTGTGTGTGTGTGTGTGTGTGTGTGTCTGCGCTGCTCACCCTCTCTGTATCCCTCGCCCAGCACCTCGCCTGCTGGAGCCGTGGTCCCCAAACGCGCTGCGCTCCCCAGCAGCCGGGGCGAGTATGTGGTGGCCAAGCTGGATGACCTCATCAACTGGGCGCGCAGGGTGAGCCCCCCGCCCCCGCCCGTCCCCGGGGCCCCGCCTCGCCCACCCCCTTGCTTCCTGGGAGCTGCGAATGCGTTTACACCCCAGGACAGGAGAGTGTCCGGGGTTACAGCCCTGGGTGTGTTCCAACTCTGTGTGATCCCTGGCACCGCATCAGGTCCCCAAAGCACCACCAGGGTCCCTCCTAAGTGTCAGAAATTGCCCCTGACCTCCCCTGGGTGTGGTGCCACCCCCCTGCCCCCCCCCCCCCAAACAAGTGCTGCTGACTGGGAACATGAATGAGGCCCCACCAGTGGCCGACATCCCAGCCTGCCCCGTCTCCCGCTGACCACGTGTCCTGCTGCCTTGGACAGTGGCTCTGTTCAGTGTCCAGGGACTTGGCCAGCTCGGCGGCAGTGGGCATTGCCCCAGTGATGGGTGCCAGGCTCGTCCTGTTGCCTGTGAGGAGCCAGGCCTCCAGGAGGACTTCCTGGAGGAATGGGCATTTGGCTTTCTTAGACACCCAAAGGCCCCAGGAACCCAGATCGACCCTGCACCGGGCAGCGTTGAGCTTCTGTCTGGACTCAGGTGGTCGCCAGGCACCTGTGCAGCAGCTGGTGCCGCTGGAGGTTGGCACTGGGGCGTCTTGGGGCGTCAGTCACCGGGACACGCTTGTGTTTGTGTGTCGAAGGGTCTCACTGAGCCCTCAGTGCAGGGTCGAGACTTAGCCTGCCACGTCAACGGTGGCACCGGGCTCCCTCTCCTGGTCCTGGCACCCAGTTTTCACTCCTGTCTTGGTTTTTGTTTCCTTTCGGGGCCCACACCCTGGTGGTGCTTAGGGCTGACTCCTGGCTCTGCTCTCAGGGTCCCCTGGAGGTGCTGGGGGATCCTGTGGGGGCTGCCTCCTGCCTTCTCGCTCCAAATCCCAGGGGCTGTGGGCCTAGGCTCGCCTAGGGCTCGCCTCTCCTTCCTGCTGGCGGCCCGGGGCCAGGGGCTCTGCCCAGTCGTGCCCAGCCGTGACATGTTGGAACGCACCTGTGGGGCCTCCCTTGGCGGGCTGGGTAACGCCTCTGTGTTATTTTGCCAGAGAGGCAGAAATTACTCATTTTGGGGCCAGAGCGATACCACAGTGGGTAGGGCGTTTACCTTGCACACAGCCGACCCGGGTTCGATTCCCAGCATCCCATAGGGTCCCCCGAGCACCGCCAGGAGTAACTCCTGAGTGCAGAGCCAGGAGGATCCCCTGTGCATCGCCAGGTGTGACCCAAAAAGAAAAAAGAAATCGACTCATTTTCTTACGGGCCATGCGTGCTCAGGGCTCTGCGCTCCGGGAGCACTCCTGGCGGTGCTCAGGGGACCCTCTGGGGTTCCCGGGATCAAACCTGGTCGGCCATGTGCAAGGCCAACGCCCTCCCCGCCCTGTGGCCCTGGTCCTCCTTGCTTTTCTTGTGGGCCCACACCCTGCAGTCCTCGGGGATGACCTCTGGTGGGACCCTGCAACGCCCCCCCTGTGACCCCCCTGTGCGCCCCTAACCGTCCCCCGGCCCGTGCATACGCAGAGCTCGCTGTGGCCCATGACCTTCGGCCTGGCCTGCTGCGCCGTGGAGATGATGCACATGGCCGCGCCGCGCTACGACATGGACCGCTTCGGCGTGGTCTTCCGCGCCAGCCCGCGCCAGTCGGACGTGATGATTGTGGCCGGGACGCTGACCAACAAGATGGCCCCGGCGCTGCGCAAGGTAGGCCGGTCCGGATGCGCACCCCCCCCCCCCATGCCCCTTACGCCTGGCCCCGGCCGCACTGACCCCCTCACGCCCACCCCCCTCGTCCAGGTCTACGACCAGATGCCAGAGCCGCGCTACGTGGTGTCCATGGGCAGGTAAGGGGCCCAGATGAGCCCTCATGGGGCGGGGAGCAGGGGAAGGGGGTGCTCAAGCCTGGTACCCCACGGAGGGACATCACCCCCCAGCCCCCCGTAATCCCCAGCATCCAAGCAGCATCGCCAGACAGCTTGGCGGGGCCCGGGGTGGGAGGTGGCTTGCAGGCCCCCAACAAAAAAATCAAAAGGCATCGCCCTGGAAGTCCTGCCCCACTCAGGGCTGCGCCCAGGGGTCGCTCCCTCGCCCCGTGGGGCTTCGTCTGCTGAGAGACTGGGGACCCGTGTCTTGCAGGCAAGTTTGTTATGGTGCCTGTTGGGGATTTCCATCCCGAGGCCCTGTGTGGGGGTTCAGGGCCTCCCCCTCCATCCAGCCGTTGCCCTTTCGTGCCCTTGCCTCCTGCCGTCTGCCCTCTCGGGCAGCCAGGGCTGGGGTGCCTGCTCGCCTTTTCGGGGGCCTCACCCCCCTCCCCACACTCCTTACAGCTGCGCCAACGGCGGCGGCTACTACCACTATTCCTATTCGGTGGTGCGGGGCTGCGACCGCATCGTGCCCGTGGACATCTACGTGCCAGGTGAGGCCGGGGGTGCTGGCCAGGCCAGCTGCGGGGGGTTTGGAACAAGTTGTTCTTTTGGGCCCCGTGCTGACTCCTGGCTCTGTGTTCTGGCTGACTTCCGGCGGGGCTTGGGGACTCTCTGGGCTGCTGGCAAAACCCTCCTTGCTGCCAATATTGCTTCGGACCAACCTGGTGTTGATTTGAAGGGAAATGTGGTGTGTGTGTCTGTGTGTGTGTCTGTGTCTGTCTGTGTGCCCTCCTGAGCCCAGGAAGCGGTCATGTGCCTGTGTCTGTGGTGCTGACCACGTTCAGGTATGACCCAGCCAGTGCCCAACAGAGCCAGGCTGGGCAACAGCCCAGACTCTACCTCCCTGGCCCCAGGCAGCCTGATTCACACCTAGAAGGGGCCCAGAGATGCTCACAGGGGACCCCAGCCTCCTCCCTGCAAAATCCCTGAGAACTCGGAGTGAAAGTTGCCAGCCCCTGCAGACACCCCTTGACTCCCGGCCATCGAGAATGACTAGGAGACTCCCTGGGTCCGAGTAGTGGAGCTGCAGCATGGAGGGCCATGTAGGAGTGGCGGGGGTCACCATAGAGGGGCTGCGTGTTATGTGTCTGCCGTGAAGGGAGGGGCCGGCCAGCCCAGAGGTGTCCCTGGCTGGCCTTGCTGTCTGCTCCATGCCCGCTAGGGGGCGCTCAGGGTCAGGACTCGACAACAGCCTGTCCGGGGGCACCTCGGAAGCCCCAGAAACCAAGATGTTACCTTGGATGTGGGGAGATTGGAAAAAGGCCAGTGTTTTGAGCAGTATCTGCCAGTTTGGCAAATATCTGCAGTATTACATTATGGGCCTTGTGTGGGCCCCACAGGGGCCTCAGCCACAGGGCAGGTTGTAGGGAAGCCCCCAGACTTAATTCCCCACTGTACTGCTACTGCTGCCTAATTCCCTTGATAGCTCTAAGCCCTGGCCTTTGAGGGCTTTGAGGGATGCATAGGAGTCCACTACGGAGGGCTGTTCGTGCTAGCTGCTGCTTGTTTTGACTTGCAGCTTTGGGGAAGTCACTTCCCACAGCCTCAGTTTCCCCATCCAGCATATGGGGCTGTTATTTAGCCTGGGGCCAGAGTGCAGTGGGAGGTAGAGGACCAGGACAGCTGGGTGCCCAGTGGTCACTGTGACCCTTCCAGGTATACCAGGTCTCCATCAGCTCAGTCCTGAGAGTGTGTGTGTGCTCTAAGCCCTGGCCTTTGAGGGCTTTGAGGGATGCATAGGAGTCCACTGCGGAGGGCTGTTCGTGCTAGCTGCTGCTTGTTTTGACTTGCAGCTTTGGGGAAGTCACTTCCCACAGCCTCAGTTTCCCCATCCAGCATATGGAACTGTTATTTAGCCTGGGGCCAGAGTGCAGTGGGAGGTAGAGGACCAGGACAGCTGGGTGCCTAGTGGTCACTGTGACCCTTCCAGGTCTCCATCAGCTCAGTCCTGGGTGTGTGTGTGTGTGTGTGTGTGTGTCCCTTGAGTGGGTGTGTGTGTGTGGGTGTCCCCTGGTTGTGTGTGTGCCTGGGTGTGTGTGTGTGCACAGGGCGGGGGTTAGGCATGTGGATGTCAGGTGTCTGTGGGCCCACCCAGTGTCCAGCCCTCTTCCCTGTCCTTTCCACGGGCCCACCCTGGGGGGGCGGACCTCAGCAGGCCGCTCCTCCCAGATCCCCTAGCCGGGACACGGCGCCGCTCATTCTGGGGAGCATGTGGGCACGGCCGGGGAAGGAGGGTGGGTGCCCAGGGCCCAGAGTCCCGGGGGGAGGTGTGTGTGTCTGCTGAGGGCCTCGATGGGGCCTGGATTCTGAGGCGCGGCCGCCCCCGCCCCCAGGCTGCCCGCCCACCGCCGAGGCCCTGCTCTACGGGATCCTGCAGCTGCAGAGGAAGATCAAGCGGGAGAAGAGGCTGAAGATCTGGTACCGCAGGTAGCGCCCCGAGCCTCCTGCCGCTGGCACCAATAAACCTGAGAACCCGAGTCGGGTCGCACAGTGGCCTGCCTGGTGTGTGGGGAGGGGTACTTCCGGCGGTGCCCGCAGGGACACCAGTGTCAGACCCCCCCACCCCCACCCCACCCCACAGATCAGGGCCAAGGGGGCTGCGGGCATTTCCACGCTCCCTAAAGGCGCCGCCCTGGTCTCTGGCCCCACCTGCTGGGCAGCCGCAGAACTGCAGTGCGCGCCCCCTCGCTGCATCCATCCAGGCAGCCTTTATGTGGGGCCGGCATGGGGGGGGTGCCTTGAGCCCCCGGACACTGGGAAGAATGACCGGCTCAGATGGACACGCGCTGCTGATTGGCCAGGCCCCACCAGCGTTTATTCCCCCTCCAGGGCTGGGGGGTGGGAGCAGAGCTGCGGAGGAGGGCTCCAGCAAGGGACCCCTCAGTGCTTGGTGACCAGGGGCGTGATCATCTGCGGGCACGAGTAGTAGCGGCAGTCGGCGGGTGGCACCAGCTCCAGGACCTGCGTGCGGATGTGCTCCCGCCGGAACCCGGCCTCCAGCAGCGCCGGCACCTGTGTCTCCTGAGGGGGAGGCATGTCACTGTGGGGTGGGCCCCCCAGCCCCCATCGTGAGCCTGGGTGTGAGGGGCATCTCCGGTGCCCAGCAGCTGCTCCCTCCCATCTGTCCACCGGCAGCGCTCCCAGCTGGACCCCAAAGCAAGGTGGCCACTGGGAAGGCGCAGACAGCGACCTCGGGGTTGGCGGGACCCTGCCCAAGGGGAGGGGTCGCCTCTTAGCAGGCGGGACAGGAGACCACCAGGCCAAGCCCACAATGATTTGGGGGTAGGAGGCCCCAGTGCCCTGCAACTCACCTGCAACTTGGGGTTCTAAATGGAGCCTCGGAATCCACCCTTGGCCCCAGGAGGGCGTTGGCCTGGCACCTGGCCCACCCCGGCCCGACCCCACACCACAGAGGACCCCTGAGCTCTGCCAGTTGTGGGCCCCACCCCTAAAGATGAGCCCTCCGGGGTCCCAGGACATGTTGGACTCTGGCCGCAGCCCCGGTGAGGGTGGGGGCCCACAGCTCTGGCACCTCGAACATGGTGGTCACGTCGGAGTACCGGGATTTCATCAGCTCCCCCCACGACGTGAGGTTGCAGTAGCTGAGGACGCCCCCTGGCTTCAGCAGGCGGAAGGCGTGGGCCTGGGGGAGGGGCGGCAGTCAGGAGGCGGCGGTGAGGGGGGGAGGCAGCACCCCTAGCCCGTGTCCATCCACGCCCACCTGAATGAAGTTGAACTGGTGGGTGTGCCATGTGTCCTCGGACAGCGGGTACGTGTCGTACAGGATCCCTGCACGGCGGGGAGGGGACCCCAGAACCAGGTGTCATCTGGGTCCTGTGGGTACGGACCCCACCAGGCTCCCTCATGGGGCCCACCCAGGGGCTTCTGAAAATCCCTCCAGAAGTAAAGGGGGGGGTTAGATGGGGATCAGGCACCCCCTCCCCCTGCCAGCCCCCGTCTCACCATCAAAGTGATTGTCCGGCAAGGTGGGAGCCACGTCCTCCCACAGGCCTTTCAGGGGCACGACCTTGGGGGTGGAGGGGAGGAAGTGAGGTCAGAGAGGCCCCCTCGGCTCATCCCCACCTGCCCCCCCACCCCAGTGGCTGAAGCAGGCTGACGGGTGTGGGGTCTGCAGACCGAGGCGGGCACCTTATGGGGCTGCCCGCGGGCCCAGTCCTGGAGCCGCTGGAAGACGCCCTCGTTGCACTCGATGACCCAGTGCTCGTCGATGGCGGCTTCCTGCACCTTGGAGGCAGCGATCCCCATGCCGAAGCCCACCTCCAGCACCCGGCCCCCTGGCGGACAGAGCGCGGGGCTGGGCAGGCTGCCTGGAGGAGGGGGCCCGGCAGCACCCTGCCCCAGAAACACCCCCCAGAGGCCCAGCGGCCCAGAGCAGGAAGAGCATGGGCCCTGGCCGGAGGCCAGAATGCAAGGGCCTGAGTGACCTCAGGACGGGGGGACGGACGGACGGGACCCTGAGTGACCCCTTGGACTTTGAGCCCGCCCTGCCCAGTGGCGCCTTATCCTCACTTGGTTACTTTGCTGGCTGCTCTGTCCACTCTCCCACACTCGGGCCGGACAATGCAGTGCTCACAAGGCCTGTCTGGAACCAGGCCCTGCCTGCCTGCCACGGAGGGAGGGGGTGGGCAGCGCTGGATCAGGGGCACTCTGGCTGGGACTGGAGTGCTGTGGGCACGGGGGGCGGGGGCCCCCACCCCGCAGGCGCTGCAGCCAGCAGCTGGCCGCCACCCTGGCTTTCCCAAGCTATTCTTAGCCGGGGCACCGGGCCCCACGTGCGCGCGGGGGGGGGGGGGGCGCCTCCCAGCCCGCCCCTTCCCGCAAGAGGGTCCAGCCTGCGGGGCAGTGGGGAGCGGGGCCTCTATAACCCCCCCAAGTTCTGCGGACTGGGGGGGGCGCCCACGGCGTGCATTCCCGTGCTCGCAGCCCGCCCCCCCCCGCTATAGAGTCCGCCCCTCTCCAGCAACCCCGAGTTTGGGGCCCCCCTGCAAGGGGCGCGGGGGGCGCCCCCAGCCTTGGCCGCCGGGGCTACCTTTGGAGGTGGCGGCGGCGGCCAGCGAGTGCATGTAGGGGGTCTCCCAGCGCTCCATCACCGGCTTGCCCAGGATGTGCAGGTGCGTGTCGTCCGCGTCGTAGGCCGCGGGCGCCGCCCGCCACGCGGGGCTGCAGTTCTCGCCGGGCGCGAAGATGGGGGTGTCGGCGGGCGCGCTCATGCCGCCGGCTGGACTGGACGGCGCGCCCCGGACTCTGGCGACTCTGCTGGGCCCGGCGGGGCCTTCTGGGCCGGGGGCGGGGGGCGGGGCCGGGCCTGGGGGCGGGGCGGGGCCGGCGGCCGGCGCGCCTTGGCCCGGGTGGCCTCTAGTGGCCGCTGCTCGCTGCCCCTCGGAGACCGCCCCGAGGCGGGGTGCGCACCCCAAATCCGTCCCCTCCTCACGGTCTCCTCCACCACCCACGGGCGCCCCGTCAGGCCTCTAGCTCCGGGAGGGGGGAGGGTGGGGGTCTTCCCCGGGCCTCGCCTGGTCACCTGCCTTGGTTTCCCCATTTTGCCGTATCTCTAAGCCACCCCGTCCGGCTGGCTTGTGAGCAGGGCACCATTTCCGGGTGCGCTGTCAAGCCCCGAAAATCTTTTCTGTTTTTTTTTTATTGCGGGGTGCCACCCTCGGTGTTCAGGGGTCACTCCTGGAGGTGCCCCTGGTGGCCGCGGTGCTAGCGCTCAGACCCGGGTTAGACTCATGCAAAGCCAGCACCTTACCCAGACTATATATATATATATATATTTTTTTTGATCCTCTGGGGTGGGGTGCCCCTAATTTTACAGGTGGGAAAACCGCCTCCACAACCCAGACTGATGATCACGAAAGTGGGGTCCTAGGATAAGAGCCCCTCTCTCTCTGGGGGGCAGAGGAAGTGCAGACTTTTGAGCCAGAACCCCTGGTTGGATTGCAGCAACTCAAGATGTCCCCCCCCCAAAAAAAAGGACAGGTACAAGAGAGATGGTACAGCGGGGAGGATGCTTGCCTTATACACAGCCCACCCAGGTTCAGTCCCCAGCATCTGATATGGTCCCGCGGCCCCTCCAGGAGTGATTCCTGAGCGCCACCAGGTCTGGCCCAAAAGCCAAAAGTATATACTAGAGACCAGGGTGCAGCCCAGTGCCCACAGATGGGGGAGAGAATCCACAGCATGTGCCCACCCTATTTTTTTTGGGGGGGTCACACCCGGTGATGCACAGGGGTTACTTCTGACTCTGCACTCAGGAGTTACTCCTGGCGGCGCTCAGAGGACCATATGGGATGCTGGGAATCGAACCCGGGTCGGCCACGTACAAGGCAAACGCCCTACCCGCTGTACTATCGCTCCAGCCCCCCACTCTGTTCTTGAACATTCTCAGCCATAAAAAGGAAGAAGGGACCAGTGCAATAGCACAGTGGGGGGGGGCATTTTCTTTGCACGTGGCTGACCCAGGTTTGATCCCCAACACCCCATATGGTCCCTCACGTTCTGCCAGGAGTGAGCCCTAGACACAGAGCCAGAGGTAAGCCCCGAGCACTATTGGGTGTGGCCAAAAAAGAAAATGAGGAAAACTACTCAGACACTCTGTCCCTCGCTGCAACACAGCAAGGCAGAGAGCCAGGGAACAGGAAGCTCAGGGACATTAGGCAAACACACAGGAACACATCCTGAGGGAGCCCCCCATCTTAGGCGGAGCCCCTTCAGAGATTCGGGGAGTTGATGGGGGGGCAGAGCTAGAGCGGGGAGTGTTTCCTGGGGACAGTTCTTTTTTGGTTTTGCATCACACGTGGCAACGCTCAGGGATCATTCCTAGCTCTGTGCTCAGGAATCACTCCTGGTGTTTCTTAGAGGACCCTATGGTGATCAAACCCTGGTCGGCTGCATGAGCACGACCATCCTGTTGTTTGTCAATTTCCTCGAGGAGGCACCAGTAACGTCTCCTTCGTCCTAGCCCTGAGATTTTAAAAGAGCCATTTCAATGCTCTTTCAGGATTAGGAGAACGAGACTCATCATTGTTACTGGTATTTGGCATATTGAGTACGACATGGGAAGTTTGCCAGACTCTGCCATGCGTACTTTTGGTAGCCTGCCAGGTTCTCCAAAGGAAAAAATAAGATAATAAGATGTCGCGCGGCCACAAATGCGGCCTTGCACTTCCGGGAGCTGGGTTTTATAGTCTCTGCGTCTTGCCCGTTGATGGGACCAACCTGGTGCTGGCGGCAGCTGGTGGGTGTGACGCCTACCTACTGGAAGATGGGGGTTCTGGTTGGAGAAGGCCCAGTCCCCATCTGAGCAGACTTGGAGTAGGTCGGCTGCATGCAAGGCAAATACCCTCCCTGTACTGCCCCAGTGAGCAGAGTTCTGTGGGGAAAGAGAACATTCTGGAAACAAGGCTGCGGAAGAGTTCGCAGTCCTAGAAATGGTTTTCTGACGAGGAGGCCGGACATGGGACAACAGTGCATTTATGATACATAGATTTTATCCCGGACGAGAACAGTGCAGTCTTCTGCCCCCGCACCTGGGTGTTCCTTCCCGGAGCCCCTTGGAGGGGAGCGGGTTGAGCTTTCCTCCCCGCCCCGACCAGGGCTCCGGCAGCCGAAGACCTCCAGGACCAGCCACCACCATGCTGAGACCACTCTCCGCACACATGAAGGTACTGGCAGAGGGACAAAGCCACGCGGGTTCCGGGGCCGAGACCTCCAAGCCTACTCGAATTGGAGTCGAGCATCTTCCACCCAGATCCTCCAAATTCCAGTAGGCGGGGGTCACACCCACCACCTGGCCCCCTGGCGCCGTGTAATCCCATCAGCGGCCAAGACTCAGAGACTATAAAATCCAGATCCCGGACGAGAGCAGTGCAGTCTCTGCCCCCGCGCCTGGGTGTTCCTTCCTGGAGTCCCTTGGAGGGGAGCGGGTTGAGCTTTCCTCCCCGCCCCGGCCAGGGCTACGGCAGCCAGAGACCTCCAGGACCAGCCACCACCATGCTGAGACCACTCTCCGCACACATGAAGGTACTGGCAGAGGGACAAAGCCACGCGGGTTCCGGGGCCGAGACCTCCAAGCCTACTCGAATTGGAGTCGAGCATCTTCCACCCAGATCCTCCAAATTCCAGTAGGCGGGGGTCACACCCACCACCTGGCCCCCTGGCGCCGTGTAATCCCATCAGCGGCCAAGACTCAGAGACGATAAAATCCAGATTCCAGAACCGCGCGGCCGCAAATGCGGCCGCCCGACATCTTATCAGAACCTTTTTTTATGACATCTTATTGTCTCATTCCTACTTTGGACAAACTTGCAGGCTATCGAATGTAGCCTGCCCACAGGGCAGAGTCTGGCAAACTCCCCGTGGCGTACCAAATATGCCAAATGCCAGTAACAGTGATGGGTCTCATTCTCCTAAAGAGCCTTGAATATAATCTCAGGGCTAGGATGAAAGAGACGTTACTGGGGCCTGCTCGAGGCAATCGACGAATAACAGGATGATGAAATGAAATGAAATGAAGATTTTATCAGGATAAATATATTGCAATCCAGACATTTTTGTGGGTTTTGTTTGGATTGGGGAGGGGCATATTGGTGATGCTGACTATATGGGATGCCAAGATTTGAATCCAGGTCGGCTGTATGCAAGTCAAGCACCCTCCCCACTATAGTACGACTCTGGCCCCAAAGTTTCTGCTTTAAAACATAGATCGGTCCCCTGAGCACCGCCAGGAGTAATTCCTGAGTGCAGAGGCAGGAGGAACTCCTGAGCATTGCTGGGTGGGTGACCCAAAAACAACAACAAAAAAGATCCACAAACATCTTTGGTTGTCATTTGTTTGAGGGCCATACCAGTTTGCATAGGTAGGCCACTGACTGTTCTCAGAGAATCCGCCTGGCATTGTTCAAGGGACCGTAGGTGGCACCAGGCATCAAACTGACCCAGGTTGGGTGCTGCAAGGCAGATGCCTTTGCAGCTGTACAATCTCTCCAGCCCCATTAAAACACAAACTTTTATTCATTTATTTCTGTTTTCCTTTACTCCGCCACTTCCTGAGGTCTGGCATGGGAGTCCTTCCTTCTTGGCCTGAGTGTCCACTCCTTATCCAGAAATACACGTGATGGGGCCGGAGCCATAGTATGATGGCCACTTGCATGTGGCCAACCCGAGTTCGATCCTGGGCATCCCATAGGGTCCCGCCTGACAGGAGTAATTCATGAGTGCAGAGCCAGGAGTCAGCCCTGCGCATCACCAGACTGTCGCCCCCAAACCAGTCAACCAAACAAAATGGAATACACCTGTGGGTTGCTTCCTGTTCCTCTCATCTTGGGGTGCCCCTTAGGAATCTGTCTGCATCCTGGGGGTTCAGATTTCCTTGGTTTTGGTTCGGGGGCTACATAGTGATATTTGAGGGTTGCTCTTGGCTGCCATGTGATCACTTGATCACTTGATCTCCTGTTATTCATCGAATTACTCAAGCGGGTGCCAGTAACGTCTCCATTCATCCCTGTTGCGTGCTAGCGTAGCTCAATGGCATCTGTTCGTTCTGGGAACATGCAGAGCCTCAAACCGATCATTCAGGGTCTTGACGAAGAAGTCTGACCATCTTGTAGGTGGGCGTCCATGCGATCTTTTGACGTCCCGTGGAATTCAGTCAGTAATGGCTCTAGTCCAGCAGTTGTCTGTAAACCTCATTACGTGTCCAGCCCATCTGATTTTTGATGCCTTGCCAAATGAGACAGCGTCCCTGATTCTTGAGCGTTGACGGAGACCAGAACTCCGGATTCTATCTCTCATTTGAGTGAATCGTGATATTCCAAGCATAGCTCTTTCGATTCCTCTTTGAGAGACCCGAATAGATTAAAAAATAATTAAAAAATTTAAAAAATAGGCATTTTTTTTTTGGCATTGGCATAAAAAAATGCCATGTGATATTGAGAATTAATCAGGGTTGGGAGCAATTCTGTTCTCTCTCTCTCTCTCTCTCTCTCTCTCTCCCCCCCCCCCCCGAAGTTGGCATTTGGGGGGCAGATTTCCCCAGGTGGAGGGGATGAGCTTTCATCATTATAAGAACAGCATTGCTCCTGCTCTTTTTTGAGGGGTTCACACCTGGTGGTTCTCAAGAGTTTGCTCCTGCTGGTGCCTAGTGGGGAGTGTATCTTGTAGGGTAACCAAGACACCAGTTCCTGCCACAGTGACAGTACAGCGGGTAGGACGTTTGCCTTGTAAGCAGCAGACCTGGGTTCAATCCCCGGCATCCCATATAGTCCCCCAAGCACCGCCAGGAATGATTCTTGAGTGCAGAGCCAGGAGTAACCCTTGAGCGTCGCTGGGTGTGACCCGAAAAGAAAAGAAAAAGAAAAAAAAGACTCCAGTTCCTTGAGGCAGCCCTGCCCCACTTCCATATTTTCTCATCTCATTACGAAACTGAACCTCAAGTTTCCAGGAGGTGATGAAGGGCTACTCCTGGCTCAGTGCTCAGGAGACTGCAAGTCCCCACATGCAAAGACTCTGCCAACTCTGATCTTGTTTGGTTTGGGCCACACCCGGTGGTTCTCAGCGCTCACTCACTCCCGGTGCTCCATTCAGGGATTGTTCCTGGGGGGAGGGAGGGCTCAAGGAACTTACGGGGTCATGGGGATCCAACCCAGGTCAGCCACATGCGAAACAAGCACCCTCCCAGCTGAATTACCTCCATGGGCCCACACCAGCTCTTTGAGCTGACTGCCATCTCTTTGACTGATTTATTTATTTGTTACTGTTGTTGTTTTGGTTTTGGGTCACACCTGGCTCAGGGATTCTTCCTGGCTCTGCACTCAGTAATCACTCCTGGCAGTGCTTGGGGGAAAGATATTTTTTTTAATTGAATCATTCTGATGTAGATCCTTACAAAGCTGTTAATTTTTTTTTTGGGGGGGGGCTTTTTTGAGTCACACCGAGAGATGCTCAGGGGTTACTCCGGGCTCTGCACTCAGGAATGACTCCTGGCATTGCTCAAGGGACCCTATGGGATGCCGGGGGTCGAACCTGTTCTGCTGTACACTATACACAAAGCAAGCACCCTCCCCACTGTACTATCGCTCGGGCCCCTGCACCCGTTCTTTCACTCCTTCCAATCATTTGGTTTTACGATGAATCCAGGAAGTGATGAGTTAGCAGAGAGGCTGTGAGCATGAAAAGACATTGCACAGCAGGGACCACCAACCGGCAAGCCGCAGGTCAGCACATCGCTATTATTTCTTTAATTGTTATCATTTGGGGGAGGCGGCCACACCCGGCAGTATTCAGGGTTCACTCCGGTATCACTCTTGGCGGTGCTCAGGGGACCGTGTGAAAAATGCAGGGATGCAAGGCAAGCGGCCTCCCCGCTATACTATCGCACCGCCCCCACCTCATTTAGGTCAAGCTTCGCCTTCCCGGTTGACGCCCGGAGCGGGCGATTCTGGGTCCGTGGCGGGGGCGGGCGTTCCCGCAACTTTGCAGGATTCTTCGCAGTGTCCCTGACCTCACCCACTCACTAGATGCCAAATAGCACCTGCTCCCCTCTTCTCTCCCTGCGGGGTGGGACAAGCTGCAGCAGCCACGTCCAGCATCCCTCCCCGCAGGGTTGCGGGTGCCTCGCGTGGAAAATTGAGGACAGACAGAGGGCTTGGCGCAGAAGGCAAACTCGGTACGTTTCCAGAATCACTGAGCCGACGACCAAATAAAGGAGTCCGCTTTTCCCCTGGGTGAGTCACCTTGGACCTGCGACTGCGCCTCCTCGCCAGTCGGTCTCAGGGAACCGGGAGCAGCTTGCACGCGGTGCGCGTGGCCCCGAGGGGGATGCGGGGCCTGATGCCCACCTCCCCGCACACACCCAGAGTAGCTCCCACGCCCTCCCGCACCTTCCTTTCCAGGCGGGGGCGGGGGCCACCGCGCCTGGCACCCGCAGGCAGCCCGGGCCGGAGTGCCCGTCGCGCGCGCGCAGGCGCATGCACGCTCACCCGGGCCGCCAGGCGCGCGCACCCGGGCCGCCAGGCGCACGCGCGCGCACGCAGACAGGGCGGCGCGCGCACGCCGCCGGCGCGCGGCCCCGCCCCGGGAGCGCGCTCGCCCACCCGCGGCCGGCGGGACTCCACTTCCCGGCGTGCCCCGCGGCACGCACGCACGCACGCACGCGCGACGCAGGGCGCGCCCCTGGCCCCACCCCCGGAGGCCCCGTGCGGGAGCGCGCCCGGGCGTGCGCAGGGCGGCGGCGCGGGGCGCGGGGCCGCGCGGTGACCGTTGGCGCTGAGGGGAGGAGGCAGCGCGGCCGCCGCCGTTGCGCAGATCCGGGCGCGGCTGTGGAGAGGGCGCCGGGGCCGCTGACCTTCCGGAGGCGGGAGCGAGCCAGGGGGGCCCGGGGACGCCGAGCGCCGCCGCCGCCATGAACAACTCGGGCGCCGACGAGATCGGGTGAGGACGCGCGGCCCCTTCCCGTCAAGGTCACGCCGCGGGCCGCGCCGGGGGCAGCGGGGGTCCCGCCGCGTCCCGGCCCGGGGTCCCGCGGGGCGCCGGGCGGCCGCGGGGGGCGTCCTGCGGGGACCCGGGGCGCCCGGGGTGCCCGCGAGGGGTCCGAATTGCTCGGAGGCGCCCGCGGCGGGTCGGGGGACCGGGGAGCCCGAGGGGCGCCGGCGCGGCCGGGCGGGGGGCCCCGGGGGACCCGAGCGGGGCCTGGGGGTGGTCGCACGGCGCTGCGGGGGCACCCCGGGCTCCTTGCGGGCCGCCCCGCCTGGGCATGCTCCCCGCGGGGACTCCCGGGGGACCCTGGAGACGCTCCGGTGTCGGCCCGGCTCGGGTTTCTCCTGGGGGACCCCCGCGCGGGACCCGCTGCTGCCTCGGTGCGGGTGGGACCCCCCCCACGCGGGGGGCTCGCGGCCGGGCGCCGGGGGGCTGCTGGGGGCTCCCCCGGCGGGCGCCCGAACTCCGCGGCGGGGAGGCGCACGTGGCGCGCGGGGCCGGGGCCCGGGGTCCGGCGGGGCCCGCGCCGCCCGGGGCGCACCCCCAGGAAGGGCCGCCGCGCCAGGGGCTTGGGGAATCAGGACCACCTGGGACCCCCCTCCCGGGACGGGGGAAGTTGTGTTTGGCGGGGGGCGGGGGGGGTCCCCGCATCTCAGCGCCGCAGCGTCCGCTGGTGGAGTTTGTAGTTCGTGGGTGCACCCTCCCCACCCCTGCGGGATTTACCGTAAAGAAAGAGGGACCCTGGGGCGCACGCTGCCGGCTCTGCTTCCGGGGTTTGGCTGGGTCCCCCCCTATTGGTCAGGGGCGGTTCCTTCCTGCCCCCCATTCCCCCCCCCACACACACACCTTTGGGAAGACCCTGCCTGGTGCTGCAGGACACGGGGCGCCCTGGGAAGGGTTCTGAAAGGGAAGAGGGGTCTTTTGTGCTGGGGGGGGGTGGTCGTGCACCCCCTCCCTCCTTAGGGTTCATGCTTCTTCCTGCCGGAGTCTGCGGCCCCGAGGTGCATGTCGGCGTCCTTAGCTCACAATCTGTGTTTACAATTTGACACCCCCACCCCCCCAGTGGCAGCCCCTAGCTGCAGGTTAGGCCTCTGCCATCCGAGGGCTCCCCAGAAGACCCCCCACCACCACTTAGAGGATCCAGGGAGCTGGGGGGCCCTTGAGGCAGCTCCTCTGTCCCCCCGGCCTGGGGAAACCCGCTAGTCCCTCCACTTGACAAGTTCTGGGCTGTCTGGGTGTTTGGGGCTGGGGGGCTCGGCCGAGCAGCCCGTGGCGATCTCCAGGAGGGGGTGACCTTGTCCGTGTTCCTCCCAGGTCCCCTCCGGCCCTTCTCTGTCCTTAGGTGGCAGGGGCGAAGAGGGGAGAGGGGCCGCCGGCCGAGTGGCAGAGCTGGGGGCGTCTCAAGCTGAGAATGGGGGATATTCGCAGCTGCAGTCCTGAGGGCGGTGGGGCAGGGAGCCCCCCTGAGTCCCTTCTCTGGCCTGACAGATGCAGCCCCTTGGCCTGGGATTGGAAAGTCCTGAATCATGGGTGCCCCGGCGCCCTGTGTGAGGCCGAGCTGCCACCAGGAGGCCTGGCCGGGTGCCCGACAGTCTCCACCGGGACCTGGGCCTGGTGACGGGGCCCGCCCTGCTCTGGGGGGCCTCTGAGGGCGGGGGCTGGCCCGGATGCATCACGGGTGGGGTGGGAGCCTTTGACGGGAGATGGGGGGTGCCCTGATGGAGCCTCTGGGTCCAGAGTAGGTCCCACAGTTGGGGGGCGAGAACCAGCCAGCCCCCCCCCCCCATGCCTCTTCTCATTTGATATCTGCATGTGGGGCCCGAGCCATGGGGCCCCAGAGGACACAGCCGTCTCTTGGGGGTTGGGGGACAGGCACCCTACCTTGCCGGGAGTGGCCCTCAGGCCTCCGAATGGGGCTGAGCCCCGCCCCCCGCCCCTGCCCGGACTCTAGCAGTCTGCGGGACCCCCAGGGCCTGTTCCCAGTTCGCAGATGGACGCGGGTACCCAGAGGCCTCTGGGGCGGCCGGCTGTGGTATGGAACCAGAGAGAAGGCCGTGGAAGATTTTATCTGTCACGCTGGGTTCCATTTGCGTCACCCGGGGCTGGTAAGAGGGACATGGGGGCCTGGCCGCGGGCAGGGGCGGCAGCATGGGGGTCTGTGCAGCTTGGTGGGGGAGGGGGCATGCCAGGGCATCCCTGGGGCCGCAAGGCTGGGCCAAGTGCCCTTGTATTGGATTGGAGGGAGCGGGGCCTGGAGGACCACAGCGCAGGCCTCGAGCTGTCGGGGCGTTCCTGGGGGGTAGAGGGGGGGTCTCTCTCTTCTTGAGCCCTTGGGATGGTGATGAGGTAGGGCTCCCCTTGGCCCCGAGGACCAGGGAGTGGCTGAGCAGCTTTCCTGGTGTCTTGACCGAGACCCCCAGAATATACAGCCAGGGCTCTAAGGCACAGAGGACTGTCCTCATGACATGCCCTCAGGGCACAGCCTGTCCGTGTCTCCAGCAGGAGGCCTGTAGCATGGGTCCCTATTTGGGGGAGGGGGGCGGAGTGTTAAGACCCAGTGGTGCTCAGGGCTCACTTTTGGTGGGGGGACCCTCTGGGGGTGCCGGGGCTCGAACCTGGGTTGGCCATAGTCAAGGCAAGCGCTCTCCAGGGTCCCTGCCGCTTAAGGGGGGGGGTGTCACACCTCTGAAAGTGGGAGTCATGAGTGGTAGCATTTGAAAATAAATTTCTTTCTGTCTCATGACTAGTAAACTTTTGGCTTGTCGGCCCAGGGTCACTGGAAGGAGAGTTCCCAGGATGTGGGTTCCATCCCACAGTGCAGGGCCCTGTAGGCGCGTTTGGGGTGACATCTCCCCCCCATAAAGCAAAGAAGCAGAAGAATATGCTCTCGGTGCCTGCTGGGGGTCCCCTGGGATGACAGGAGCTTCGGCCACTGTCAGACACCCCCTAAGACTCAGCGCTCTGCTTTGGCCTGGCCCAAGTTCTGCCCAGCTTGGGGCCTCGTGGTCACGGATGCGGGACTGGGCCGGCGTCACAGGGTTTGGGGGGGGGCGGGGGACACACTGGTCACTGGGAAGGTCTGGGCATCCTCCATCACAGCTGGGGGTCCTGGAAAGAGGTGACCTCCCTCCTCCATGCAGGCTGCTGGGGGTCACCCAGCCCTCCATGAGGCTAGGCAAGGGACAGACGCGGCCGTGCCACCCTCCAGCCTCTAGCTGTCCTTTGAGGCCGCTCCTCGGTGGGCTCCCAGGGCACTGGACTGAGGATGGATCCCCGCACCCCCCCTGGGCACTGGAGGGAAAGCGGGCAGTACTAGCCTCGGTGAGCAGGAGAGACTGTGGGCTGCCTCCTCTCGGAGGAGATGCCAGGCCTGCTTCTCGGGGTGCAGGCCCCGGCACGCCAGTGTTCTGGGGCCCCTACACTTCCTTGCCGGACTGGAGGTCACCCAAGTTGCTGTCGCCCAGCCCCAGAGGCTCCTGGGAGGGGGTTGTGGGTGAGGACTGTAGGCACCATGCCCCCCCCCACCCCCCCAGGCTGGGAGCCCCGCCTCTGCAGGGACCCCGTGTCGTCACACTGCTCCTGTGGGCCAGGCCTGGGATGCTTCCGGCCACAAAGGCATCTGTATGTCTGGGGCCACCCATACGTCACCCACCCCACCTTGTTCTATCTATAGGGTTGCAAGCCTGGGGCGCAGGTGGTGGCCAGGTACAGCCTCTGGAGACCACGGCTGCCCCCAGGAGTCAGCTGGGCCTCCTGGGACCATCTAGAACCTTCTATCTGTGGGCCGTGGAGAATGTGCCCATGAAACAGGAGGACAGAAAAAAAGGACCCCGGGGGGCCAGAGCCGTAGGACAGCGGGGAGGGCGTTTACCTTGCACGCGGCCGACCCAGGTTCGATCCCTGGCACCCCAGAGGGTCCCCCCCCGCCCCGAGCACTGCCAGGAGTGATCCCTGAACACTGCCAGGTGTGGCCCCAAACCAAAATGAGCCCCAGAGCATCCCACACAGCCTCGTTCTCTGGAGCCTGTGTCCCTCCTCTCCTGTCCTAGTCAACAAGGCGGGCCTAGGGGTGCAGCCATGGGCGAGAGAGAGGCCCCGGAGTAAGGCCCACGTTCTCTGCTTGTGGGCCCTTCCCTCAGATGCCCGCACCACCCCCAAATCGAGATGGTTGTGTGTGGGCACTGAGCTTTGTGTGACCGCTTAGGGACTGTATAACTACTTTGGTTTTGTGTGGTTGTGGCTTTGTGTTGATGTTTTCCACGTGTGTACACCAGGGTGGAGGCGGGGCGTATCTAGACGCAGGTTGTGGATGTTTCTCAAAGAGCTTGGGCTTGGGGGCCAGAGAGAAAGTACCATGGGAAAGGTATTTGCGTTTGATCCCCAGCACCCGATAGGTCCCCAGGCATGCCAGGAGTGTCCCCTGAGTGCCAAGAGTCAGCCCCGAGCACTGCCAGTGTGGCGCATAAAGGGATAAAGAGGGCGTTTGCGTTGCACGTGGCTGGCCGGGGTTTGATCCCCAGCATCCCATATGGTCCCCCGAGCACTGCCGGGAGTCATTCCTTAGAATACCCAAGAGTCACCCTTGAGCAGCGCAGGTGTGATCCAGAAAACCAAAAAGAAGTAAAAAGCTGGAGAGAGAGGCCAACAGGGAGCACCCTTGCCTTGCCTGTGGCCGCCCGAGGCTCGGTCGCTGGCACCCCATATGGCCCCCTGCGCTTGCCCCGGAGTACAGAGCCCGGGGCGCTGCCCCGTGTGGCCCCCACAAGGTTCAAAAAAAGAAGTACTTGGTTCCCTGCGCCCGCGCAGCCCCCGCTGGCCAGTGAGGGCAGAGCCAGCCCCTATTCTTGGCCAGCTGGTGCCGGGGCTGGCAGACACCCGCCACCCAAGACCTTTCAGATCTCCCTAATAGCCGCCCTTGGCCGTGCACAGCGGGACTGGTCAGACCAGTTCCTTCCGCCCGCCCTGCGCGGGCGCCTGACGCCAGGGCCAGGTGAACCGCCGCCTCCTGTGGTTTGGCCCTGAGAATGGCGAGACCTGCTCGGCGCCAGCCCCGCTTCCGGCCCCTACGCCCCGCCCCCAGGGCCAGGGCCACGGCCAGGGCCTTCCTGCCGAGGCTGGTGGTGCCCAGCTGGGGCCGTGCAGGCGCGAGCTACACCTGGCCTTTGGGGAGCACCGACCGCGGGGTGCTCAGCGAGGCCTCAGTCTCACTTTCCCCCCTGCTGGATCAGCTGGTTCTTACACCTGCCCCCGCAGGTTGCAGTCCTGGGGCCGGCCACGTCCTCAGCCTCTGAGACAGGCTTCGGCCGTGCTAGCTCACTTGGTGTTCACCTCATGAGTCAAGATTCTGGGGTGCCAGGATCAGAGCCAGGGTCTCACTCTCGATATCCTGCGTGCCCTGACACGCGCACGCGCGCGCGCGCGCACACACACACACACGCACACACTTCCTGGCCAGCTGCAGCCTTGTGTTCTGCCCAGACGGGTGGTCAGTGACTTGCTTATCCACGGGGGTGAAACATCTTGGGTTTCCCCCTTTTTCTTGTTGTGACCAGGGGTGGACTGGGAGCTCACATGGGGCTTGCACTTGCCTGCCGGACTGGACCCAGGGGCCCCTTGCAGGCAGGGCTGTTCTCAGTGGCTGGTCTCCTGCCCTCCTCCGAACCCCAGTGAGCATCGGATTCAGTCCCCTTGGACACATGGGCCTGGCTTTTGTTTTGAGGGGGTGGGTAGGGAGGGTCTTGCTGGGGGGCCCTGTAGTGCCAGCGGTGACAGGTACCAGGCACTTGGTTTCCTTTGGGTGGTGCTGGGAGTCGAACCCAGGACCTCGAACATGCCGGGCAGGTGCCCTACCGCCAAGCCACCTCCCTGGCCCTCCGCACCTTTGGAACCGTTTCCATGCCTCCTTCGCCTGAGAGTTTAGGGGGGAGGGGGGCACGCGGACTGAGTACCATAGCCGCTGAAGCTCTTCCTCTGCTGCCCCTGGGGATTTGGGGGCTCTCGACGGACGCCCGTTGGAGTCCGCTGTGCTGCCATGAGCCGGGGGAAGCGGGGCCAGGCCCTGCCCGTTCAGTGAACAGCCAGAGGGGAGGACACTCATCCATCCCAGGGTGCTGTGTGGGCACGGACGGGGTGGGGGCCCGCGCGGTGCGGGGAGGGGAGACCCTCCTGCCCGTCAGCCCTGGGCCCACCCTTCCCTTCCCTCTCTGGGCTGCCTGAGCCCTGCAAGCAAACTGGGGGTGGTGGGGGCGCAGCTCCCAAGCCGCTGGTCACTTGGATGACCCTAGACGGGGCGTCTCCCCGGGGGCCTCAGCACGTTGGGGGCCAGGTGTCCCGGCCCACGGGGTCTCCTGGCCGGCACCTGGTGGTGACGTGAGTTTGGTTGTGTTGCAGGAAACTGTTCGTGGGCGGTCTGGACTGGAGCACCACCCAAGGTAGGCGTGGGGTGACGCTGGGACCCCCCCCATGGGGCACTGAAGCCACAGCAACGGTCTGGCTTTCTGGGGTGCCCTGAACTCCTCCAATGGGCCTCCAGTATGAATGGAGGGGGGGATGGTGGTGTACCCCTCCTTCCCACGGCCACCCAAGGGCACTGGCAGTGTGGCTAGGGCTCACTTTTCTGGCCATGCCCTGCCAGGAGGGCTGGGTGGGTGTGGGGGATGGGTGGCTGGATGTGTGTGTGTGTCTGTCTGTCTGTCCATCCATCCCTGCAGCACAGTGTTCCGCCCAAGTGCCTGTGTGTGTCCATGTCTCTGTTGTCGTTGTGTGTGCATGTCTGCGTGCGTGCGTGCGTGCGTGCGCGCGTCCCCGCGGTGTGGTGCTCAGCCCCGGCGCCCGTATGTTCTGCCCCGGCTCCGAGCAGAGACTCTGCGGAGCTACTTTTCCCAGTATGGAGAAGTCGTGGACTGCGTCATCATGAAAGACAAGACCACCAACCAGTCCCGAGGGTTCGGCTTCGTCAAATTCAAAGACCCCAACTGTGTGGGGACGGTGCTGGCCAGCAGACCACACACCCTGGATGGCCGGAACGTGAGTTGGGGTGGGGGGTTGCTCTGGGCGGTCAGCCGGTGGCGGGGGGTGCTGGCCGCGCCCCCAGCCTGACACTCACCCCCGCTGCCGGCCTGTCCTGCAGATCGACCCAAAGCCATGCACACCTCGAGGGATGCAGCCGGAGAGGACGCGGCCCAAGGAAGGCTGGGTGAGGGGCAGGGACCGGGGAGGGCGCACACTGGGGCGTGTGTGCGGGGGACACTGAGCTTTCCCAGCTGGGGTGGTCTCAGGGGACCCTGTGGGTCCCTACAGGGCTACATTCTGACCCCCCCTCGTTGTATGATCACTCTGGCTCTGGGTTATTTTGGGGGACTTGTGGGGGGCACACCCAGCAATGCTCAGGGCTTACTCCTGTCTCTGCAGCGAGGAATTAATCCTGGTGGGGTTCGGGGTACCCTCTGGCGGGCTGGAGAACAAACCATGGTCGGCCGCATATAAAGCATGCGCCCTCCCCGCTGCCCTGTCGCTCCAGCCCCTGGCCCTGGAATGTTCTTGGTTACAGATTTTTTTTGGGTGGGGGATTGCACCCAGCAGTGCGCAGGGCTTATTTCCGGCTCTGCGCTTAGGCGTTGCACCTGTTGGAGGCTACAGGGGACCTTGTGGGGTGCCAGGGATCAAACCCAGGTCAGCCTTGTGCAAGGCCAGCGCCCTCCTCACTGTCCTGCCGCTCCAGCCTGGGCACCTTCGTATGGTGGAGCTGGAAGTTCCTCGTTGGCCCTGAAAGGCAGCCACCGAGCCCCACCTCCCCCCCAAGAATTGCTGGTGGCCAGGGCTGAGCGCTGATGGCCACCCCTCCGCTGATGGCCTGGTGCTTGGGACTGCAGAGCCATGTGAGCTGCGGGGGTGGGGTGGGCGGTGGGTCCCCATCCCCCTGCCCCAGGCCACTCCAGTGCTGTGAGTGCCACTCAGACCCTGAGGACTTCTCACAGTGGGGGTGCCCCCCACATGCCCGGCCTCTGCCCTTCTGCTTCCCACGGGTGTCCAGATCCAGCAGAAGGCAAGGCTGGTATCGGGTACCTGGACATTTGCGGGGAGTTTGAGCCCAGGGACACCCCGGCATCCTTATTCCCCACCCCCACCCCCGTGAACCCAGTCGGCTGCACACAGGGGCGGGGAGGGGGCTCTTGCTGTGCATGCGGCCAGCCTGGGCTGATCCCCTGCCCCCCCCCATGGACACGCGCAGTTCCCTGACAGGAGTGCTCCCCGAGCACCTCCGGGTGCGGCCCCCGCCCCAATAAAGCCAACTGCTCTGGGACTAACTTCACCCAGGAGCTCCGAGGAGAGGAAGATTGGGGGGGTGGGGGGGACGGGGTTGCAGGAGCCCAGCCAGATGTGGCCCCCTGCGGTGACCACGCTGGGGCGGGCATCACACCTGAGCTGTGCGGCCCCCTGGGGCATTCGGGCTGGGAGGGGACGATGGCGATGAAGAGGGTGGATGGGACCCCGGCAGCATTCGGCCTTTTCTCCTTCCCTCCTCCCCGCCCTGGTTCCCAGCCCCGCTCCCGGCATCATTGAGGGCAGTAGGACCCGGAGTGCCGGTGCCACCCTCTGCGGCCATCGGCTGAGGGGGGCCATGCTCGGGGGTTCTTGGGGAGGGGCATGGCTTGTCGCTCTGGCCTCCAGCCTGCATCCCGGGGCCACCCGAGGGTGCCCCCCCATGGGAACTAATTTTGCCTCTCCTTTCCACGCCGCAGAAAGGACCCCGGAGCGATAACAGTAAATCCAATAAGATCTTTGTCGGGGGGATCCCGCACAACTGCGGGGAGACCGAGCTCAGGGAATACTTCAAGAAGTTTGGCGTGGTGAGTCCCGGCCCTGCTCCCCCGGGAGGGCTGCAGGGAGAGCAGGGTTTGGCCTGGCCTGCTGCCCTTCTTTGGGGAGCGCCGGCCCTTGCTAAAGTCTGTCCCATCAGAAGTGGGGTGCTGCCCTGAGACAGGAGCAGATGGGGGGCGGGGCAGGCCTGCAGGCATGTCCTGCATCGGGGTGGCTGATGGGGCTTGGGGTGGGGCGCTTTCTTTCCAAGCCTCTTAAGACCAAGGTTTCAGCAGAGTCCCCCCAAGAAAGCGCAGCCTGCTCGTGGTGTTGGTGGTAGGGGGCGTCTCCGTAGGACTCGCCCTGGCCCCGACTGGTCACTTGCTCTGGGGGCCGGGGATCAACACTGCCAGCTCCCCACCCAGGGACGGGGAGTGCTGGGGGGTCCTGCGCCGTTCCCAACCCCGCGAACCTCCTCTCTCTCAGGTCACAGAGGTTGTCATGATCTACGACGCGGAGAAACAGAGGCCTCGAGGTAAAAGAGATGGAGTTCGGGTGCCCTTCCTCCCCTCAGATGGCAAACTATCTCACACGTTGGGGGGTGGGGTAGTGAGGCGGCTCGACACAGGCGGGTTGGGGGGACAGACCATTCCCACTAGTCTCCGCTGCCCCAGGTCAGACCGCGCCCTCTTGGTTGGTTTTCTTTTGCTTTTGCTTTTGCTTTTCTGGTTCTCTTGGGCCGTTTTACCATCCCTGGGTCCGACTTGGCGCAGTTTTCACACGCTGGGTCCCAGTCGGCCCTCCCCGCCCAGCTGTTTGGTCCCTTCCTTTTTTTTTTTCCTTCCTTTTTGCTGATTTCCTTTTTTCCTAGGCTCGCTCGTGCGTGCGTGTGTGCGTGCGTGTGCGTGCGGGAGGCGGGGATGCGTGGCCTCCGCAGCCCTCCCGGAGGCCCCCAAGCTTCACCCCCTCTGCACCCCACCCTGCACGACCCGAATCAGCTGTGGCCTGGGGCGGCGAGCACCCCGGTTTCCCTGCCCCGTTTTTTTTTTTTCCCCTCTCCCTTTTTCTTTCCTTTTTTTTCCCTTTTTGTGTGTGTGGTTGGTGCTGCTGTCCCCGGCCGGCTGGTTTCGGTTCCTGGACGGCTTCGGTAGGGGCTGTGTGAGCGAACCCGTGGCCTGGCTGCACCGGGCAGGCCCCACCGCGCCCCACCGCGCCCCGGGCGCCGCAGCATGTCGCCATGCTGGAGAATAGTTTGCCATTTGAACTCCCCTCCCTCCCCCCGTTTCTCCTCGTTAAGTAACTGCATTCCTCCCTGCGTGTGGATTTAAGCTTGTTAAGTCTTAGTCTTACTTTTAATTTAGACGTACATGCTTAGAGACGTACTTTTAAGTGTTTCATAGTCGAGTACAGTAACGCTAAGTAAGTTATTTTTTTCCTTTTCTCTCTGTGAATTGTTTGTGATTAACGATCTCTCTTTAGATTTTCTCTTCTCCAGGTGCTAAATTCTATCACACAGGTACAGGCCAGGCCCGCGGTCAGAGGAGGGAACGGGCTTTGCTCCAGTGGGGTGTAAACGAAGTTTCAGTGTGTTTCTGTTCCATTTCCTCAGTGGTGATGTCGCCTCTTGCAGACAGACAGACAGACAGACGCATTCTTAGACGCCCCGCCCCGGGGCAGTTGCCCAGCGGACCCCGGGTTTTCAGGCACCTCTGCCGTTTTGAGAACTGGTCAACTTTTAAATCTGCTCTTCACCCCGCGCTGTGTTCCCCGTTTGCCTGTGAACACCCCAGGACGGGAGGCTGAGGGGCAGCCCTCGGTGCCCCGAGTCGGCCCCTCGGGCCAAGTGGGGCCCCCTGGGGTCCTGGCCCCGTCTGGGTCTGGGCGCCCCTGGGCTGTCCGCGGGCACTGAACCATTCGGCTTGGCCTCTGCCGTCGCCTTCAGCGTGGAGAGGCCTCCAGGGCTAGGCTAGCGGAGGGCAGGGTCTCCCGCCCCGCGCCCCGTCCCCCACCCAAGCAGGGTCTGAACCAGGGGCACCCAGGAAGCAGCCCCTTGAGAGCTTCCCGCCTCCCCCAGGAGAGCCGTCCCACCCACTGTCCCCTCGCTCCGTCCTGCCCTCCCCGCCTCGCCCCAAGTCCTGATCCCCGTCCTCTCCCCTCCTCCAATGGCACCGTTGGTCTCGGCACCCCGGCCCGCGTCCCACGGCCCCTGGCTCCCCACCTTCCCGCCCCAGAGTGTCCCCGCTGCCCCTAGTCTCCAGACCAGGAGGCCCTGGTGGCCGCTCCTGCCAGGGACCCCCACCCCGCCCAGCCCACTCCCTGCATCCCGCCTCCCGCACCGTTGTCCCTGCAGAGCAGATGGGTCCTGGGTCCTGCCGCAGCTGATCCCCCAGACAGAAGGGACATGCCACGGGGGGGCGGGCGCTGGTGCCCTCCAGACCAACCAAACTTCGTTTATACTGCCACTTGCTTGTGTTTGGGAAATGCTAAATTTTCCTCCGTATCTTGGAAACTTACATTTTTTTTTCCGATGTGTTCTGTTTTTCTCCCTTAGTGGGTTTTTTCTTTTTCTTTTTTGTTTTTTTAATTTTTGGTGTTTTTTTTTTTAATTTTTAAATTTTTTGGTAATTTTTTAAAGTTTTTGATTTCGATGACACGGTGCCTCTCGCTCTTGCTGCCAACGGCAGATGTGACCTGCTGGAACCCGTGATGGCCTGTATCTTTGTGTATCTTATTGACGTAGATGTGTACAGATAGAGCCGGTTTCCATACGTCTGTTGCGGACAGGACTCTCGGGCTTCCCCAACCGCGTTGGGCAAGCTTGGCGAGGCACTAACCGTGTAGACACGCGCTTCCGGTTAACGCACTAGAACGGTACCGGCAGCCGCGCCCGCGGCCCAGCCCGTGGCAAGCCGAGGGGGAGAACCCTGGGTTTCAGAGAAGCCGCAGCCCGCGCCCCCCCACCCCCCCGCGGCACGCAGCCGCGCAGAGGCGGAGCTCTCGCCCGGCTCCCTGCGCCCCGCGCCCACACCGTGCCCTGGCACCCCCGCAGCACGGGCCCCGGCCCTGGCTGGCCCTCCCCCACTCTGTGGCGGCGGCTTTGCTGGAACCCTCGGGCGATCCCTCGGCCCGGCCCCAATACTGTTCATCATCGTGTTCTGTGTCACGACACCCCTGCTACCTTGATTCACTCTTCGTCGTTGGCTAGGTTTTGGATTTATTACTTTCGAGGACGAACAATCAGTGGACCAGGCTGTCAACATGCATTTTCACGACATCATGGGCAAAAAAGTGTGTAGTTGTAGTTTTATTTTACCTTAAGACCAAACCAAGTCTTAGGCAACTGAGGGGTTTCACTGGAAACAGACAATCCTTCACCGACAAGCCACGTGGGCCAGGGTGGGGCCAAGCCCCCCTGGATCCTGGGCAGCGGCCCAGCCGCGCCCGGGGGTGTCCCCGGCGGGCGGGGGCGGCGGGGGGCGTCCCGCGGGGCGGGGGCGCGGGCTGGCCTCCAGTGAGATGGCCGGGTTGCCTCAGGCTTGGTTTCTGCCACCACTCCTTCAGATGTGTGTCCCCGATTGTCCCACGCCGCCCACTGTGTGCCGCGCAGCGACCCCCCGAGAACTGAGGCCCCTTTCAAACTGAACGAAACATCCTGAAGGATTGGTTCCTCCGATTGGGTCACTTACTGTGGAACTCGGTCCCGGCCACATTCTGATAGAACTTGAACCATGCAGTCAAGTGACCTCGGTTGTTCATCTTCATACTGTGTTGCTGCCGCGAGGTCGTGGGGCGCAGAGCAGCCCCGACTCGCCCCCACCCCACCCCCTGCCCCTCCCCCCAGCCCCAGGCCAGCCGGGGAGCGCAGCCGGCCAGGGCCTGGGACAGGCCCTTCATCCCCGCCCCGCCCCCCCATTCCTAGGGATCCCCACATGCAGCACGACCTGCTCACGGAGGGCCTCTGCTTGGGCGCCTTTGACTGTGCCAGCCCAAACCACACGCCACTGTTTCTGCCACCTCATGCCACCATTGCCCGTGGGTCCCAGGCCGGGGGCAGCAGACTCCTGCTTTGCAGTGGCCAAGTGCACACCGAGCACTGAGGGACTCTCCCCGTCCAGAGTCAGGCCCCGGTCCCCACTGTCCCCGCTGGCGGACACAGCGCCCAAGGGTGCCCTGTGCAGCCGGCGCCTCCCCTCAGCCCTGCGGCCTCGTCACCCTCCCCGTGTCCTCTGGGCCCAGGGAAGTGGGCAGAGTGCCGGGCTGCCCCCCAACCCCACCAGGTCCCAGTCTGAGAAGGACCCGGCCCAGCCCCCCCCCCCCCCACTCACTCCGGCCACGAGGGCCCCTGGGGGTCAGGCTGTCCCCGCCCAGCGCAGGCTCCTGCTGCCGCAGCCCAGAGATGCCCAGAGCTGCCGGGTCCCTGAGCCGCCGAGCGAACACAGTATGAAGATTGCTTACTGATTCCAATGTCCATTTTCTTGCATGTTTGTTGACTTTTTGTTAGCCGTAATGTAAGGTTCTCTTTTACCACATCCATCCCCTCTGACACTATTTTGAGTTAATGAGATGCTCTGACCCTTAGCCTGGGAAGGTAAGTCCCTGTCTTCCTTAGTTACTGGAATACACGCCTAAGTGACACGTGTTTCTCAGGTATGAGCACCCAGGGCAGGCGGGGGGCGGGCCCCCCCAGACCCCGGGCCCAGGAGGCGGCTGTGCGCTGCCGCGGGAGGGCTTCCCCGGGACCCGGACTGCTGTCCGGGTCACAGCCACCACCCACAGGGTCCCCGGGCGCCCCTGACTTAGAGCCACATTGGTTGTACCTGAGAAACATTTTATTTTTTTAAGCAAAAAAAAAAAGTAAAAAAAAAAAACCAAGACTTTTATTTATTTATTTATTTTTTAAGAAATAAAAGCTACTGACCTTAAAATAAGGTTTATAGTTAAGTATTTAGTTTTTAAGTCGTAATAAGATGCTAAGTGTAGTCGTAAGTTACCTGAGGGTGTTTTTCTGACGGGAAGGGGGTCCCGGACCCACGGCTTTCCCTGAACCCCAGCTCGGTTTGTCTAGGTCGAGGTTAAACGGGCCGAGCCTCGCGACAGCAAGAGCCAAGCGCCGGGCCAGCCAGGTGCCAGCCAGTGGGGCAGCCGGGTCGTGCCCAGCGCTGCCAACGGCTGGGCAGGCCAGCCCCCGCCCACGTGGCAGCAAGGATACGGCCCGCAAGGTAATGCCCACACTGGGCGGGGGGTGAGGGGATCCCTTCGCCCGGAGGCCTCCCAGGCCCCCTGCTATGACAGTGGACACTGACCCTCGCGGGGCACCGCCTTTCCCTGGTGGCGGGTGGGGCGGGCGGGTAGGGGCGGGGCCACCGCCACCCCTTGTCTTACCCTCTTGCTGCCTCTGCTTCCTATTGGGGCCGGCGGGTTTGGGGGGCCTGTGCAGGGGGCCAGCCCCTGACTTGGGGGATGCGTCCTGCCCCGCCGGTCTCATCCCCGGGGGCCCCATGCTGACCGTTCCCCTCCTCTCTGTCCCCCCCCTTTAGGAATGTGGGTGCCAGCAGGACAGGCCATTGGTAAGTCACTGTGCGTTGCGGGGCGGCCGGCGGGGTGGCCGGCAGGGTGGGGACGCCCCTCACGCCGCCCGGTGCTGTTCTGTGTTGCAGGTGGCTATGGCCCCCCGCCCGCGGGCCGAGGAGCGCCCCCGCCGCCCCCGCCGTTCACCTCCTACATCGTGTCCACGCCCCCGGGAGGCTTCCCCCCACCGCAGGGCTTCCCCCAGGGCTATGGCGCCCCCCCGCAGTTCAGTAAGTGGGGACCCCCAAAGCCAGGGTGGCTCCGCCGGCCGCGTACACAGTGGGGAGGGCCCCGGGGGTGCAAGGGTCTGTGAGTCTCTGGCGCCTCCCCCCTCCCCTCCGTCAAATGCTGGAGACGCTTGTCCCAGGCGCAGGGGGCTTCACACTGGGGCCTGGTCCCCTTTTCTGGGCTTGTCTCTGCTTCCGAGACCTTGACCTTGCTTTGCTGGGCCCGGGCACCCATCGTTCCCTCCTGCCCAGGCCTTGCGGTCTGGCTGCCTCACTTGGCACTGTACAGTGGGGGGGAGCAGGGCTCACTGCTGCATGTGGCCTGGACCCTGGTCCTCTGGCTGATAAGCACGCGACCCCTCCTCGGGGAGCCCCTCTCGGGCGGGGCGGGCCCTGGAAGCCACCTGCAGCCCCTGCACACACCTTTCCCGCTCGTGCAGGTTTTGGCTACGGGCCTCCGCCTCCACCACCGGATCAGTTCGCCCCTCCGGGGGTCCCCCCTCCACCTGCCACTCCGGGGGCCGCGCCTTTGGCCTTCCCACCGCCACCATCTCAGGCCGCCCCCGACATGAGTAAACCCCCAACGGCACAGCCAGACTTTCCCTATGGCCAGTACGGTGAGTGCCCGCGCCGCCGCACGGTGGGGGGGCGGGAAGGGGGTGCAGGGGTGCCAGCGGCGCCAACGAGAGGCCCCAGGGGCCTGGTCTGAGCCGGGGGGCTGGGGCAGGCCCCCCAGGACTGGGCTCTGGGAGCCCAGGCGGGTCCTGGCTGCCCAGCACGGCAGCTCTGAGGCTGGCCTCAGCGACGCAGGTGGGGTCGAGCCCTGTGTCGGGGCCTCGGGTGCTGACCCCGCGCTCCCGCGGGCTCTCGTCCAGGCGGACGCTTCGAGACGCTAGTCTCTCTGCAGGGGCCCGCGGGGACCAGCTGTTGGACAGGCCCTTGGCTTGTCCGGGGACGTCGCCCCGCCTTCCCCGGGGACCACTCTCCCCCACCCCCACCCCCAAGTGGGGCGTCAGCCTCCAGAAGCCCCCTCCTCTCCCCGGAAGACAGGTGTGCGCCAGGCCCCCCCGCCCCCCACAGGGTAGTTCCGGGGCCCGGCCCCGCCGGCGGGGGTGCACGTGTGCGCAGCGCGAGCCGCCCCGCCAGGCCCCCCGGGGCAGTCACCCTGTCTATCTCTCGCCAGGCCTGGGTTCCTATTCTCCAGACCCGTCGGGCTTCGGGCCCATACTTTGTTTACAGTCTTATGGTCAGGCTGAGCAGTGATGTGGCCTAGGTAGGTGGCGCCCCCGCACCCACGGTCCCCCGGTCCCCCTCTGCCTGCACCCGGGCCACGGACATGCGTCCTCTGCGGTCCCGGGCGGGGGTGGACCGGCGGTGTCCCTGGGCTGGGCCCTGGGCCGGGCCTTGTCCACTGTGCGGTCCCGGGGCGCCCAGAGCAGGCCGAGCAGAAGCGCTCTCCGTCCCCAGGGTGCCAGGCCTGTGCCACCGCTGCCACCAGGCTCCGCCGGGCCTGTGAGCCCTGCCTGTGCGCCGGGCCTGCAGGGAGCCCGCCTGACCCCGCATCCCCCCGCAGCCGCCGGACGAGCTCCGGCGCACCTGAGGAGCCGGTGGCCGCCACACTGGGCAGCGTGACCCCTCCCCCCGCCCGGCCTCACTGACTCTCTCCCCGCAGGTTACGGACAGGACCTGGCTGGCTTCGGACAGGGCTTCTCCGACCCCAGCCAGCAGCCCCCTTCGTACGGGGGCCCCCCGGTGCCCGGCTCGGGCGGCCCCCCCGCCGGCGGAAGCGGCTTCGGCCGCGGGCAGAACCACAACGTCCAAGGATTCCATCCGTACCGCCGCTAGCCCGGGCAGCGGCCCGCCGAGCCCCAGGCCCCGCACTTGGGAACTCGTGACAATCACAGACTGGGCGGAAGGAGGCGAGGACGGGGGGAGGGGGGGCGTTGGCGCTGGAGGCGGCTGTGGGTGCTGGACTGAAGTTTTTCTATTTCTTTCTCTCAACCCGTCAGCACAATAAAGGAAAAGTCACTGGTTCAACACAGGGTTTAAAAAGGTCTTCAGCTTTGATTCCAAACTTCAGGCTTCTTCTTTTTCTTTTTTTTCTTTTTTTCCTCTTTTTTTCTTTTTGGAAACTTATTTTCCTCGAGCCTTTTGTTTTACCGTATATTGTAAACTTTTATGTTAAAGAAAAAAAATAGACATTTACCAATTGTGAGATTTTTAAGAGAATTTTCTACGACGTGTACTTGGCTTATTTTTTAATTTAAAGCAGGGCTGCGGGGCACTGGGACAGGAGGCCCCTCCCTGCCCTCCGGGATGGGACTCAAGGGCCCAGAAACTCTGGAGCTTCAAGAAGAAATCTACTGGTTGTTTTTTTTCTTTTTTTTTGTTTTGTTTTGTTTGTTTGTTTCTTGCCTGCAGTGCAGGTGCTGGGGGGCCCTGTCTACACCGCAACCCCACGGCACCGGGGCTGGAGGCCAATCTGGCAGGAGCTTCAGGGCCTTTCCCACTGACCAGTCTGACCCTGGTTTGAATAAAGAGAAGTGCGTTTGGATTAGAAACCCACTGTGTCCGTTTATTTCCCCTTGCGTGACCCTGCCCAGGGTTGGGGGGCCTCTCTCCATGCTGGGAGGCTGGGTTGATGTAGGACGCCTAAGCTGGCACCCACAAACAGATTTCTAGGTACAGAAACTGGGCCGCGTGGGGCTGGAGCAATAGTACAGCAGGTAGGGCGTTTGCCTTGCACGCAGCTGACCCGGGTTCGATTCCCAGCATCCCATATGGTCCCCTGAGCACCACCAAGGGTAATATTCCTGAGTGCATGAGCCAGGGGTAACCCCTGTGCATTGCCAGGTAGACCCCAAGAAGCAAATGAGCTGAGCTGCAAACATGGGGTACCTTGGGGCTGGGGTGGGGGCAGCTTACCTGGCTGGTGGCTCTAGTCCTAGAGATCAGGGCCCCCAAACTGCACCCCAGCCAGGCACAGGTGAGATCCCGAGAACAACAAAACACCCAACATAGGAAGGGAAGTGTTGGGGGTAGCAGGGGCGGAGTTATAGTGGGGGGGATAGGATGCCAGCTCTGCACACAGCCAACTTGGGTTCTATGCCTGGCATCCCATATGCAGCCCCTAAGCACCGCCAGGAGTGATTCCTGAGTGCAGAAACAGGAGTGATCCCTGAACACTGTCAGGTACAGCCCAATGGTTCCCTGAGCACTGCCAGAAGTAATTTACTGAGCAACTTCGAGTGTGACCCAAAATCCAAAAAAAAAAAGGGGGGGGCTGAGGAACAGTACAGCAGTGGGGGGAACTTGCCTCAACTTGGTTCCCGGCATCCCTTATGGTTGGTCCCCTAAGCACCACCAGGAGTGATGCCTGAGCAGAGACCCAGGAGTAAGTCCTGAGCTCCCCCGGCTGTGGCCCCAAACAAAACTGGCGCAGGGAATAGCATCCTGACATCAGGCACCCTCCTCGTCCCCCATTTGCAGAAGGACATGAGTGGACAGTGGAGACCACCTCCCATCATCCCATTCGAGATCCTCCTCCTCAGCCAAATGCAGGTCTCTGCCAGCCACGGGGATCACCAGTCGCATTTCTGTCTCCCACGTGTGAGGACCTGGGTCGGATCCCCAACGCCCCAGAAAAGCAAACTCACATGCAGGCCCCCCCACCAAGGCATCTCCTGCAGCATTGGACGCCCCTGAGCCAGACCCCCCCCCCCCCCAGCAGACAGGAGGGACATCTTGGGGCAACACTGGGACTGGGAAGGGGAACTTCCCTGCCTTATCAGTGCCAAAGGATTCTATAGGGTGCTGGGGATTGAACCCCAGGTTGGCTCTGTGCATGGCCAAGACCCTCCACGCTGTCTGTCTCTCTGTCTGTCCCACTCCCTGCCCCCCTTACTGTCTGACCTCTTGTCTATTTCCCCGCCCCCCCCTTTCTTGATTCTTTGTTTTGGGGCCACACGCAGCAGTGCTCAGAGCTTACTCCTGGCTCTCTCAGGGATCCACCCCTGGTGGTGTTTGGAGGACTCTCTAGGATGCCCGGGAATCAAACCAGGGTCAGCTATGGGGAGCCCTTGGAGTGATTTCCTTCCGGGTTATGCTAAAGTCTACTAGGCCTATGTTGTTTATGTTCATTTTGGGCTCCGGGGAAGTTTCGGTGGTAAGGGTCTCCTCCTGAAAGTCTTATATTCTTTTTTTTTTTCTTTTTGGGTCACACCTGGCAATGCACAGGGGTTACTCCTGGCTCTGCACTCAGGAATTCCTCCTGGCGGTGCTCAGGGGACCATATGGGATGCTGGGAATCGAACCCAGGTCGGCCGCGTGCAAGGCAAACGCCCTCCCCGCTGTGCTATCGCTCCAGCCCTAAGTCCTATATTCTTCCCCAAGAGTTGATATTTTTCGAAGTGGGTGGGCGAAGGTCAAGAGGGGCGCACCTGGCACTGTTCAGGGTTTTTCACGGTGTGCTTGGGGAATCATGTCATGCCAAGGATGGAAACCAGGCCTGCTGCCTGAAAAGCTGCACGCCTGTCCTTTGAGGTCCTTTTTAATTAATTATTTTCTGAGATACTTTTTTTAGACTCTCCACTTTGTCAGTCACTGTTGCACCAGCCAATTCGCAAATTATCCGATTTTGTCTCACAGAGGCTGGCGGGTCTTTATCAGGAAGCCCAAGTCACACCCTGTCCCACACCCACCTGTCTGCTCTGATACCTGCTGACAAATATATCTAGTTATCTTTGTACTTTTTTATTTTTTCCATTTTTTTGGGTCACACTTGGTTATGCTAAGGGTTTACTCCTGGCTCTGTGCAAGGAAGGCAAGCACCTTACCTACTGTCCTATACCTCCAGGCCTTTCCTATATTCGATCCGTATGCTTTCTTCATTGTTCTTTGTCGTTTTTTTTTTTTTAAAGCAAGATATGTTTTTGTTTGTTTTTTTGTTTTCAGCTTTTTGGGTCACTCCCAGCGATGCTCAGGGATTACTCCTGGCTCTGTACTCAGGAATTACTCCAGGCAGTGCTCGGGGGACTATGGGATGCTGGGGATGGAACCCAGGTCGGCCACTTATGTGCAAGGCAAACGCCCTCCCCGACCTCCGCCCTCCCCGCTGGACTATCGCCCCACCTGGTTTATTGTTGTTGTTGTTTTTGGGTCACAACTGGCAATACTGAGGCTACTCCAATCTCTGCGTTCAAGGATTACTCCTGGCGGTGCTCGGGGAACCATATGGGATGCTGCGGATGGAACCAGAGTTGGCTGCAGGCAAGGCAAGAAGAACCTACCCCCAAGTCTGTAACTGTGTCTCACGGTGATTCACTAATAAAAAAATTAAAAAATAAAAATAAAATAAATAAATAAAGAAGAACCTAACTCGCTGTATTACTGCTCTGGGCCCCCTCTGCTGGCTCTTATCTCCTCCCTGGAACTCACGACTCCAGTTCCCAGAGAGCACCTGCTGCAAACAGCAGGCGCTCCATAATTGTTAAGTGGGTTGCATTATAGAGATTAAAGAAGTTACAGAATCAGATCAAGCATTCGAACCTCAAGAATTTCTTCATGGGGGCCGGAGTGATAGGACAGCGGGGAGGGTGTTTGTCTTGAATGTGGCCGACCCAGGTTCGATCCCCAGCATCCCATAAATTGCCCCGAGCAACTGTCACTGTCACTGTCACTCTCCTCCCGTTGTTCATTGATTTGGTGCTCCAGCGATTGATTTGGTGCTCCAGCGAGCACCAGTAACGTCTCACAACAACTTGTGAGACTTCCTACTGTTTTTGGCATATCAAATACTTCACGGGTAGCTTGCCAGGTTTTGCCATGCGGGCGGGATACTCTCAGTAGCTCTCCAGGCTCACGGAGAGGGGTGGAGGAATCAAACCCTGGCCGGCCACGTGCAAGGCAAAAGCCCTACCCGCTCCAGCCCACCCGGAGCAACGCCAGGAGTAATTTCTGAGCGCAGAGCCAGGAGTAACCCCTGATCAACGCCGGGTGTGACCCAAAACAAAACAAAACAAGAAATTGAGGGGCAGAAGCCTTGCACGCGGCGGACACGGATTGGATTCCCAGCATCCCATATGGTCCCCTGAAAACCGCCAGGTGTGATTCCTGACTGCAGAGCCCGGAATAACCCCTGTGCATCGCTGGGTGTGACCCAAAAAGCAAAAAAGAAAGAAGGAAGGAAGGAAGGAAGGAAGGAGGAAAAAGAAAGAAAGAAAGAAAGAAAGAAAGAAAGAAAGAAAGAAAGAAAGAAAGAAAGAAAGAAAGAAAGAAAGAAAGAAAGAAAGAAAGAAAGAAAGAAATTGCTTTGAAAAAAGAAAAGAATCTCTTCCTGAAGGACCCGCATCCTGCACTCTGACCTCCGGCCAGCAGGGGACGCGCCTCCTGCGCAAAGCGCGCGCGCAAGCCGCGGGGCGGAGCTCGCGGGCGTCCTCGCGATAACTGCGCAGGCGCGACGCAAGCCGGCCTTTCCGAAGAGCCGACGAGATGGTGAGAGTTGCGGCTCCGGGCCGCGGGGCCGGGACGATCCGGGGCCATCCGCCTTGGGGGCGCGGCAAGGGGACCTGAGGCCACCTGCTCGGCTTCGGCGGCCGCCTTCAGGCCTCCGGGAACACGGGATGAGGGGATGCTGGCGGGGGGGGCCGCCGGGGTGTCGCTTCGGCCCGGCGCGGGGAAGGCCCGGGCGGCCCGACATGTCCCCGCCGAGCTTCCGTAGCGCGGAGCCGCGCGGGCTCCCCGGGTCGGCCTCGCGGTGCTGTGTCGTCGCGGGCTCCCCTAAGGGGGCTCGATCGCGGGCGTGTCCGGGGGGACAGGGGGCTCTCGGGGCCCTTCTCACGCCCGCCCCGGACCCCCGCAGGCGGAAGTCGAGCAGAAGAAGAAGCGGACCTTCCGCAAGTTCACTTACCGCGGCGTGGACCTCGACCAGTTGCTGGACATGTCCTAGTAAGAGCCGTGGGGGGGGCTTCGGGGGGACCTCGACCTTTGACCTTCCGTGGCCGGGTGGGCGGGGCGGCGCGTGCAGGAAACGCGCCTTGTGTGCCTCTGGACTCGATGCCTTGTGCTTATTTTCCCTTTTTTTTTGCTTTTTGGGTCACATCCGGCAATGCACAGGGGTTACTCCTGGCTTTGCACTCAGGAAGTAACTCGGGGGACCGTATGGGATGCTGGGAATCGAACCCGGGTTGGTGGCGTGCAAGGCAAACACCCTGCCCGCTGGACTATCGCTGTAGCCCCCCTTTTCCCTTTTGGGGCTAAGCCCGGCAGTGCTTAGGGCTTCTGGCTCTGTACTCAGTAAAAGTCTCCAGATGGGACTTGGGGGGACCCTAGTGGGTGCCGAGCTCAGGTCAGCCACGTGTCAGGCAACACCAGCTAACGCTCAGGGCTCAAGGACTAGTGGCTTCTGTCTGGGGAACGTGGCGAGGGGTTTTATGGCGCTGGCCTGACATGCCGCCAATCCCAGTTGCATCCCAGGGTCACCACCAGGAGTAACCCCGAGCACCTTTGGGTGGGCCCCTCTCCCCCTGGCCTAGTTACATAGCAAAGCCAGCAGGATTTGACATGTTGGGAGGCGTTGGGGCTTGTCGTCATCTTTGGACTTGGCCGTTGTGGCTGTGATGCTGGGGGTGGACCCTAAAGGCCTTCGCAGTGCTTTGCACCTTGGAACCGCACCCCAGCTTACTGGGTTTTGCAAAAACCTCCCTGGGACAGGGGGGCTGGAACGATAGCACAGCAGGTAGGGCAGTTGCCTTGCGTGCAGCCGACCCGGGTTCAATCCCCAGCATCCCATATATTCTCCTGAGTGCAGATCCAGGAGTGACCCCTGAGCACTGTCGGGTGTGACCAAAAAAAAAAACAAAAACAATAATGATTTTTAAAAACCTGCCTGGGACAGGGTGCGGGTCCTGGCCCCAGGTGGAAGACAGGCTTGCTAATAGGAGGGGTCTTTACTGGGTTCTTTAATTTGGATTTGGGGCCGTGCTCGGGGCTGACTCCTGTGCTCAAGGATCATTCCTGGCAGGGTCCCCGGCCCTACAGGGTTGGAGATCAGACCCTGATTGGCTGAGTGCAAGGCCAGTACCCTGTCCACAGTGCTGTCCTTCGGGCTGGCTTTCTGGGTTCTTGAGTCTGGTGCATGGGACGTCATTTGGTTCTGGGGTGCTGAGATGGAGCCTCTATGGGGAGTGTGTGCCCTGGGGCGTGGTATTTTTCGTCCCTGGGCTTCTGGAGAGCGGTCTGGGTGTCGGCCTATGGGGTGGGGGCTAGCCCACCCACCAGCCCTGTCCCCTCTGTCCTCAGTGAGCAGCTGATGCAGCTCTACAGCGCCCGGCAGCGTCGACGCCTCAACCGCGGCCTGCGCCGGAAGCAGCACTCGCTGCTGAAACGCCTGCGCAAGGCCAAGAAGGAGGCGCCGCCCATGGAGAAGCCCGAGGTGGTGAAGACGCACCTGCGGGACATGATCATCCTGCCCGAGATGGTGGGCAGCATGGTGGGCGTCTACAACGGCAAGACCTTCAACCAGGTGGAGATCAAGGTGCGTGTGCCCGGTGGTGCCGCCCGGAGGGGGTGCTGGGGGGGCCCGGGGGGTGCCTGCGGGCCCCCTCACTGACCTGCGCTCTCTCTCTCCGCAGCCCGAGATGATCGGCCACTACCTGGGCGAGTTCTCCATCACGTACAAGCCCGTCAAGCACGGGCGGCCTGGCATCGGGGCCACCCACTCCTCCCGCTTCATCCCCCTCAAGTAAAGGACGAGTCAAGCCACGCACGGGCCTCCCGCGTCCGTCCCTTCATTCTGGGGAGGGGCGGCAGGACACAAGGCATACAGGGGCACAGTACCAACTTGGGTTCCCGCGACCTGACAGCCTGGCCCCCGCTGGGCCCCCAGTGCCTTGCTTTCTGCGGCCACCCCGGATCCTCGTGTCTGCCCTGTGACCTGGAGGATCTCGTGTGGGGGTTCACACCCAGGGCTCAGGGCTGGCTCTTGGCTGGGCTTGGGACCATACAGGAGTGTCAGGGATTGAACCCTGAGGAAGCACCCTGCTCCAGACAGTCTCATCCTGACTGGTGGAGGATACTGGAGAGGGCAGGCGGTGGCCTCACCTCCTCACCTCTGCTGAGAGTGACCCCAGAGTAGAGACTTGAAGTGCTTCCACAACCCCTTCGGGATTGAAGGCCTGCTTGCCGCAGCTGGGGAGGTCCTGCTCACATCAGGGGACATACGGGGTGGGTCAACTATCCTTGGTGAAGAGGGTGGGGAGAGCAGGCTGTGGCCTGTGAGTCGACCTGCAAAAAAGAAACTTGTCCAGGGGCTGGAGCAATAGCATAGCACAGTGGGGAAGGTGTCAACCCGGGTTTGATTCCTCACATCCCATATGGTCCCCTGAGCGCCACCAAAGCAGCTTGCCCTGTCTTGGGACAAATTGGGGTGGTGGGGGACACAGCACAGTGAGTGGGTCAGGGCCACTTTCTGGCAGGGCCTGCAAACTATCTGGACCTGGGCTACTTCTACTCCTTTACAGACCCAACCCAGACAGGCTGAGACCCACTGGGCTGGTGATGGCCGCTGGGTTTCAGTGAGGCGGCTCAGACCTGGCACTGGAATGAAGGTGCTGTGCAGAACCTGCCGCCAGGGGGCACCACCCCTCTCCTGTGCCACTAGGGACCAGGAGACTTGTGACGCAGGACGTGGGCAATAGGTGCCTTTGGGGTTCAGGTGGGGGTGCACACATGGTTGTCGGGGATTACTGGGGTGCTGGGGATGGAGACGAGTTCAGCTGCTTGCAAGGTAAAACACTTTCTGGGCCTTCAGTCCCAGCTAACAAGACCCTGGGCTCCGCCAGGACATGTGGTTGGTCATGTTGAGGCCCCAACAGTTCCCCAGGATTGTCCCCCACACCCTATGGTCAGTGCCCTTAGCCTAGGCTAGTACTGCGCCCCCTCCCCTCTGCATGGGCCTCCCCATGATCCGCTGCGCAAGGTGATATGGTTACGCATCCCACCAGCCTGCTATGCTCCTGGGCACCCCCAGGCATCTCGACTCTGGCCCAGGAGGCTCAGATACTGCACACCCACTAATAGGAGTGCGAGCAGACCACTTCCCCCGGGGTGACTGCTTATCCTGTACCCCAAACTGCGGTTCGTGCGCCGCCAGGGGCCGCCCGCGAGCCCTGATCACGGCTCCACCGCTGCCAGCTCCGGGGGGCATGGACTTCACTAGCCCGTTCCGGGGACGCTTGGCCAGTACCCCAGGTGCCCCCACTCCCGGGCCCCTGCCATCTCCCATCCTGCCCGTCACCCCGGTTCCTACGCGGGACCATGGGGGCGCCAGACACCGCAGGGAACCGTTCACTGGAGCTGCCGAGCGAGCATTGGCTCAGGGCGCCCCGCACCCGCCAAGCGGGGTGACGCAGGAGCTTGGGCGAGTGGCCGGGCCCGGGCGCTTTCCGAGAGGTGACCCCGCTTCTGCAGGGCCGCTGCGGGTGGCCGGCCCCCTCCCAGAACCAGGTGCCGCCGCCGCCCCCCAAGGGACCACCCCAGTGGTTAGGGCTCGCGAGCCACGCTGGAAACCCTCTGAGACCTCGGGCCACCACCTCCAGGGTGCCCAGCCCCCCTCGACACACCCCTTAGGGGCTCCCGATCACCCACCCCTCGTTCTCCCTTTCCCGGAACAGTCCCCGCCTTGGCCGGGGTGCTGACCCCCTCCTCGCCGCTCCCTCCGCGCAGGCGCAGGGCGTCCCCGGCCGCGGCACCCCCGCACCCCGCGGCGGGCGAGGGGCGGGGCGCGGACCGGTCCGAGGCGCTGCGGCTCCGTATGGGGCTCCCGGGGCTCCGGAACCTGCTCGCGCTCGGCCTTCTTCGGGGATCAGGTAGGGGCGAGGGGCGCGCGGGCCGCAGCCGAGGAGCGGGAGAGGACCCCGGGCGTGGCGGCTGGGGGGCGACGGCCGCGCGCCCCGCGGGCTCCCCGCAGGAGGGGTCCCGGCAAGTCGCCTTCGAGACTGTCGGCTGGGAAACGGCCCCCGGAGATGCGCCGCGCGGGGAGCCCCTCCTCCGCGCCGAGACCCCCCACACCCTCCACGCACACACCCTCCTCCGGTCCGGGTCTACGCAAGCGCGGGTCCATCCCGGGGCCTCTGCGGGAGACCCCCGGTGCCCCGCTCCCTGACGCGGAGACTGGGAGTTGGGGAGGAGATCGGGGGCGCACTGTGCCGTGAGTCCGCCCGGGACAGGCGGAGGTGGCACTTGGGACCCGCGCTCGGCCTCAGTTTCCCTTTCTGGGCCCCGAGCCTAGGGCCTCTGAGGGTGCGCATTAGAACACCCCTCACCGCGCCGGAGCCCCAGAGCCACGATGCCCGCTAATTGGGAGGAAGCTGAGCTTGGGCTGCGGGGGGAGTTCAAGGTCACTGGTCAGGAGGGGCCCGGAGCCAGCGCGCCGGTGGCCGCAGCGTCCCGGCCCGGGAGGCAGCAGGGAGCTCTCCGCGGTGCTGACGAGGCCGCGCGCCCCCCGCTGTCTCTCTGGCCTGTAAACAGGCCGCAGTCTGCTGAGCCACGCCCGGCCCAGGCTCCCCTGGACGAGCCGGCCTGTCCCTCCACCCGTCCTGCCGGGCCCTCCTCCTCTGGCGGGACTCTGTGCTCTCCGCGCGCCACCCCTGCCCTGTGGGGGGCTCGGCAGCCCGCTGTCTCAGCGCTGGCTGTCCTCCACCGCACCCCACACTGCGCGGGTCTGGCCGGCCCCCGCTTCTCTCCCGGTCTCTGGCACTGGCGCAGCGGGGATGGAGGGACGTGACTCTCCATCCCGCTTTGTCCTGGAGATCCAGCAGGGGGAAGGGGTGCAGAGGAGGGAGCCTGGGAAGACGCCCCTCCATTCTAGACCTGGCACCATCTAATGGGATACTGCAGAGGTATCCCCTTTCGAAATCACTCCCTCTGTTCCCTTTGTTTTGGGGGCTACGGCCAACGGTGCTCTGGGCTTGTTCCTGGTGGGGCTTGGGGAACCGTATGTGGGGATTGAAACTCCCCCGACTGTAGCCTTTAGCGCCTGAGATTGGACTTGGGGTTCCTTGTCAAGGACACATGTTGTAACTCACTCCCCTACATTCCCTCAGCCCTAGGATCTCGGGCACATCTTGGATGGCAGCGCAGGGGTGAGTCTCTTAATTTAATTTTAGCAGACTGAGCATCCGTTTGCCCATGGGGAAAACTGGGGACCACTAGAGCCACCCTGTAGCAGAGAGTCGGCCAGCTCTGAGGTTCTGGTTGGTTGGGACCCGGGAAATCAGCATCAGAGGGGCTGGAGCGATAGGACAGTGGAGAGGCTCTAGCCCTGCACCCCACAGGATCCCCTGAACCTGCCAGGAGTAACTCCTGGGCACAGCTGAGTGTGGTCCTGAGTGCAGAGTCAGGAGTCAGCCCGGAGCACTGCCCGATGTGGTTTCCAAAAATACAAAACAAACCAACAAAAATAGGGGCTGGAATAATAGTACAGCAATCAAGGAGCTTGCCTTGCATGAGTCCAGTCTGGGTTCGAGGCCCAGAAACTCACAGGATTCTCGAACTAGTACTGCCAGAAGTGATCCCTGAGCATAGAGCAGGGGTCAGAGCTGAGCACAGCTGCCAGGTGTTGGCCAAACAGTAAAAAACAAAACAAAACAAAAAAAACCTAACATCAAAGAAGACGTGGGGAAAGAAAAGTTACAGACACGGGGGTGGGGGATCATCTGGGTACCACTCTGTGTGCTGGGGGAATCAAACAGAGATGGTTGGAAGCTCCACTCTGGCCCCCAAAAGTCAGGTCAGCCCCATGAGTCCACCACTGGGGCCTTCCCTTCCCTAAAGCCCTCCCCAACACTCATTCTACCCACTGAGTCTGAGCACAAGGTGAGCTCCTATTCACCCGTAAGAGCCCCAGCCACGGTGTGCTGCTCCTCCACGGAGTGCCCCTGTGCCCATCGAACCTTCCTTTTAAAACCCCACAGCAGGGGCTGGAGCGATAGCACAGCGGGTAGGGTGTTTGCCTTGCACGCAGCCAACATGGCTGACCCGGGTTCGATTCCCAGCATCCCATATGGTCCCCTGAGCACCGCCAGGAGTAATTCCTGAGTGCATGAGCCAGGAGGAACCCCTGAGCATCGCCGGGTGTGACCCAAAAAGCAAAAATAAATAAATAAATAAATAAATAAATAAATAAACCCCACAGCAGGGGCTGGAGCAATATCACAGCAGGGAGGGCATTTTCCTTGCAGGCAGCCGACCCGGGTTCGATCCTCAGCATCCTGTATGATCCCCTGAGCACCGCCAGGACTAACCGCCCTGTGCATCGCTGGATGTGACCCCAAAATTTAAAATAATAATAATAAGTAATAAATAAATAAAACCCCCGCAGCAGGGGCTGGAGCAATGACCCGGGTTCGATTCCTAGCATCCTGTATGGTCCCTTGAGCACCACCAGGAGTAATTCCTGAGTGCAGAGTAACCCCTGTGCATTGCCGGGTGTGACCCAAAAAGAAAAAAAAAACCCACAGCAGGGTACAGCAGTATTTGGTTCTGAGTGGGACTCATGTGTGATTCTTCTATTGTGGGTGAGGTGAATGGGGCCCTGGGGCCCTCCCGTTGATCGTCGATTTGCTCGAGCGGGCCCAGTAACGTCTCCATTGGAGACTTTGTTGTTACTGTGTCTGGCATATCCAATACTCTCGGTAGCTTGCCGGGCTCTCCGAGAGGGGCGGAGGAATCGAACTCGGGTCGGCCATGTTGGCCGCTTGTAAGGCGAACGCCCAACCCGCTGTGCTATCGCTCCAGCCCTGGCCAAGAGCCCCAAAGGGAAAGAAGTCGTATCCTTGTGTGTGTGTGTGTGTGTGTGTGTGTGTGTGTGTGTGTGTGATAATTCTAGAAAGAAAAAAAAAGAGCTGTGGGGCTGGAGCGATAGTACTGTGGGTAGGGCATTTGCCTTGCATGTGGCTGACCCAGGTTCGATCCCCAGCATCCCATGTGGTCTCCTGAACACCGCCAGAGGTAATTCTTACGTGCAGAACCAGGTGTAACCCCTGAGCATCGCCAGTTGACCCAAAAAGGAACAAAAAAAAAAGCTGTGTCCTTTATGTACGATTTCCCATTTTGCCGCGGAAAGAATTGGGGTGGGGGCTGGAGCAATAGTACGGCAGCTAGGGCATTTGCCTTGCAAATCCTCGGGATCCCATATGGTCCTTCTGAGCACCGCCAGGATCAGTTTCTGAGTGCAGAGCCAGGAATGACCCCTCAGCATCTCTGGGTGTGACCCAAAAAGCAAACAAACAAAAAAGAATTGGAGCGGAATTGTTGGGGCCTGGAGCGCGAGTACAGCGGGGAAGGCGCTTGCCTTGCAGGGGGTTGACCTGGGCTTATTACCCGGCACCACATAGGGGTCCCCAAGTCCCACCAGGAGTAAGTCCTGGAGACAGCTGAGTGTGGTCTCACCCCTCCCCCCCAAAAAAACAGAATAGTCTGTGAACCCAGGGAGAATCAGGACATGGGGGGCGAGTACCCCTGGAGCCTAACCTCCCCCCCCCCCATAGAATAAATCTTGGAGGGGATGTGTGCATGGAGACCCCAGTGGGAGGCAGGGAACCAGAGACAGGTAGGGGTGCAATCAGAGACAGGGAGAGAGACCCAGGTACATGGGGTCGGGGAATGCAGAATCATGGCCGATGTCCACGGGGGAACTGACCCTTTGCCACGAGGCAGGGAAGAAGGGACTGATTGTCACGGTCCCAGGGGCTTGCCCATCGGGGAGGGCCAGTTTGGATCCCGAGGGTCCCGTCCCGCCCAGACCCACCCTCGAGGCCGGCCCTGAGGGAAACAGCCGGCCTGGCCCCGGCCCCGCCCCGCCGCTGCCCTCCCTCCGCTGATGTAACCTCCCGGGCCGGCCCTTTGATTCGCGCATCCAGCCGACCCGCAAGCTCTCCAAGGTGGTTTCGCCCTAGAACGAGGTGGGCAACATGGGGTTCTAGTCCTCGGGTGTCCCCTTCCCATGGGGGCGTCCCCCCTCAGCCCCTGGCAGCCCGCGGACCCGGGCAAAGCCCCTACGCCCCGCGGCGGGCGCCGGACACCGCCCCGGGCTCTCATTGGCTGTTGCCATAGCACCAGCCCGTCTTCCCGCGCAGCCATTGGCCGCCGCTCCCGCATCCCGCATCCTCCCCCGCGCGCTTGGGTGGTCTCGCCCAGCGCCGCCCAGCCCGGCCCGCACCCGGCTTTGTCCGTCCGGGAGCCCTCGGTGCGCGCCGCCCGCACGCCCCGAGCCCCGCAGCCCGCGCCCCGGGGTCGCCCTGGCCCAAGACGGGCGGGCATCTCGGGCGGGGTTCGCGGAGCCCTGCCCGGGGGAGGAGGACCCAGTCCGGGTGCCCCCGCTGGCCCAACCCTAGGGAGATCAAGTAAGCAGGCGCGGTTCCCCGCCTCCCATTGGGGTCTCCATCCTAATCCCTCTGCCTGAAACTGGAGGAGAAACTGAGTTTCTGGGGCGGGGGTGGGGTCTCACGTACACACCCACTCCAAGGCTCCGACACCCGTGGAGGAGTGGATAGTGGTGTGTGTGTGGGGGGGGGAGGGGGTTACACCTTTCTGTAAAGCGGGGCTTTCCTTTAACGGAGAGGAGCCTCTTTTCCTGAAATACACTGTTTCATCAGAGGGACCCCCAGATATTGGTGTTTTTTCCTTTGATGATGATCTTTAGGGAGATCATCCCCCCCAAAAAATAAAAAACAATCTCACATATCCTGGGGGCGAGGGTCAGATAGGGGGACCTCCCAGAGGAAGGTGGTCAGAAGTGGGGGCTCCCGCGGGGGAGGAGTGCTGGGGAGGTCATGGGGCAGGGATGGAATCTGCCCCAGGACTGTCACAGCCTCGGCATACTGGGCCTGAGCAGTGGGTTGTGGGGTGCGGGGAAGCCAGCCTGGATGGAGGTGTGTGGGGGGCTGTCGGAAATGGGGTTCAGGTGAGCAGAGCTGGGAAGAGGGTCACCAGGCTGAAAGGAGCAAAGCCCGATAGGTGGTCTCCCCCCTGGCCTCGGTGTGATCTGATTTGGGCCCAGCTGTGATATGGGCTGGGCCTAGGCTGGATCATTCTAGAAGGGTCTAGGCCTGGACTGGGCTCCAGGAGAGGCCTGGGTTTGGGGGAGCAGGCAGGAATGGCAGGGGGTGGGTATTATTTTCATGATGGTCTCAGCCAGGACACAAGTCTGCCCCAGGCAGAATCTGGGGCTCCATCTGGAACCCCACCATCCCTTTTGGGCAGGGTCAGTGTCAGGGTGGGGGTCCAAGGCCGTGTTTCCCCCAAGTGCCTGCCCCCCCCAATCTGACAACTTCCCCTCTGCCATGTGCTAGGCGGCCCACTCTGGTCTCACCCTCTTGCCCACCTTCAGCCCATCAGCCGTCCTGGCTCATGGCTTCTCCTAATTAGCCCAGTGGGCACAGAGAGGTAACTGAGGAGACAGGGCACCGCCCAGTCTCCTGAGCACTTCCTGGCACCCCATCAGAGCTCTAGCCATGCTTCTGGACCTCCTCACTGAGGGATCTCTTGAGGGTACACCCCCCAGCCTCAGTTTCCCCCTCTGGAAAAAAAGCAGCTGTACCCTGGGACTCAGGACTATGACAAAGAAACCAAGTGATGAGATTTCCAAGCAGGTTGGGGGGGGGGGTCCCACATCCTGGCTCCCTACCTTTGCTCCAGATTCAGGTGGAAAGGGCAGGAGAGCAGAATGAATGAGTTGGAGAAGGGAGGGAGGCTGGGGGGTGGGGGGGTGGGGAAGGGAGGACCAAGCTGGCGAGCGCCCCCCAGCGGGCAGAGGGCGGCAGGCCTATTTGAGGAGGGGGCTCCCCGGAAGGAGGTGGTGGAGCCGAGGGCTGCCATTGGCGCTGCTCAGACAAAGGCGGAGGGAGGGGTGAGCGTGATGGGAAGGAACAAAGAGGGGAGAGGGGCAGGAGGGGGGCGGGACGGCTCTGGCAGAAAGGCAGCACCAGCCAGCTGGACAGAGGGAGGAGGCTGGACCCCGAGCGGGAAAGGATTGGGGATACACAAAAGAAACTGCGAAGCCAAGAGCCCAGGGGATGGGGTAGGGGCCCCGCCGTCCGGGGTTTCCTAGGGAGCCTCTGGGGATCCGGACCGCTGCCCCACAGGGAATGTGGGGTATCCAGGTAGGAACCCCCCGTGGGGCACAGTGGCCTTGGGTCTGTCTGTCTCTCCTCTGTCGCTGAGCCACGCACTGCTGGGTTGCCACCATTTAGCTTCTAAACGGGAGAGCCACTGGCGGGAGCTGGGAGGGGGGGGGGCATCGTGGGGGGTCTGGACTGTCGTGGCGGCAGCTTGTCCAGTTTGTGTGTTGGTTCAGATTGTCTGTTTATGGGCTGGAGCAATAGCACAGCGGGGAGGGCATTTGCTTTGCACGTGGCCAACCCGGGTTCGATTCCCAGCATCCCATATGGTCCCAGGAGCACCGCCAGGAGTAATTCCTGAGTGCAGAGCCAGGAGACACCCCTGTACATCGCCGGGTGTGACCCTCCCCCAAAAAAAAACCAATCTGTTTGTGGGACTGGCCCCACAAGCTCTCAGCAGGTGTGGCAGGACATGTCTGTCTGTCCACCCAGTCGTGAGGCCTTGGGGTGGTGTGGTTTAAGAGTCATCGCTGGCTCTGTCTCTTTCTCTCATAGTCCCTGCCTATGTCTGTCACTCCATCTGCCACCCCGGCTGTCCCTTGGATCCCCCCCGCCCTGCCATCTAGCATTGTCGCGCCAGCAGGACCCGGGCCCTCCCCGCTGCCCCGCTGAGTCCCCAGGCCCTGTCACTGCTGAGGATGATGAGTTCCGTGGCCCCGTACGAACAGCTGGTGAGGCAGGTGGAGGCCTTGCAGGCCGAGAACAGTCACCTCAGGCAGGAGCTGGAGGATAATTCGAGTCACCTGTCCAAACTGGAGACTGAGACGTCCGGCATGAAGGTGGGCAGAGGACAGGGGCGGGCGTCCAGGGACCAACCCCAGGGTGCTGGGCCCCACGGATGCATGGGGACATGGGGAGGCCAGCACGCCAGCCAGTGACCCCTCTTTCCCGCCCCCACCCCAGGAGGTGCTGAGACACTTACAGGGCAAGCTGGAGCAGGAGGCCCGTGTCCTGCTGTCGTCTGGGCAGACGGAGGTGCTGGAGCAGCTGAAAGGTGAGGCGGTGCCCTGCCCCCCATCCTAAGGCACCGCGGCCATCCCCGACCTGACCTGCCCCAGGGAGAGGTGGGAAGAGGAGAGACAGTGAGGTTCGCTGACCTTTGCCCTCTCGCTTTGCGCCCCCCTAGCTCTACAGATGGATATCACCAGCCTGTACAACCTCAAGTTCCAGCCCCCGGCCCTGGGCCCCGAGCCCGCTGCTCGGACCCCAGAGGAAAGTCCGGTGCACAATTCTGTACCATCCAAAGACAGTTTTGGGGAGCTGAGTCGGGCCACCATCCGGCTGCTGGAGGAATTGGACCGTGAAAGGTAAGTTCTTTGACCAGATAGCCCTGTCCCTACAGGCTTCTGTCCTCTCACTGGTCCAATTACCATAGGCTCCACCCACAAGGCTCCACCCACATTCAAGCCCCGCCCGCATCCATAAGCTCCACCCCCAGCTCTACTTCTGGCCCCACCCACCTTCTGGGCCTCCTGGTCCCTTCCGGGTTTTTATGCAGCTCCTCTGCCCCATTTTCTGACCCAGCTGGCTTCAGCTGGAAGACAAAGAAGAAAGGGGTCGTTCCTGGCAGCTGAGAAGGTTCCTGGGAGACGTCTCCGGGGTCTCCGACATGCAGGCGTTGCCAGGGACAGGGTTGGGTCCAGGGCCCAGGCTGATCAAGCCCCATGCCAAAGGACCTGAAGGCAGCCTTTGTGGAGAGAGGGCTGCGGCCCAAGAGACCTGGACCAAGGCCAGCAGAGGGTGACAAGGTCCGACGCCCAGTTTAGCTTGGATAGATTGTATGAGGCCCAATGGGACCATTCCAGAGTGGCCACCATTAAGTCCAGGCTCATACAAGTCCCCAACAACAGACTTCTGCAGTGGCGAAATGGGAAGAATACTGTCTCATGCCTGGGTGGTGATGGGATTCGCTGTTGCAGCTGGAGCAATCCAACCTGAAGCTTGCCCTGTGTCGGCTGGAGGGAGATTTAGCAAGTATTGGGGAATGTGTCAGACTTAGACCAGACCTTGGGGCTGCAGTGCTAAGTACAGCAGGTAGGGCTCTTGCTTTGTACGTGGCCTACCTAGATTTGATCCCCAGCATCCCACATGGCCCCCTTAAGCACCACCACAGGAGTAATTCTTGAGCACAGAAAAAGGAGTAACCCCTGAGCATTTCCGGGTGTGGCCCTAAACCAAAAGCGAACAAAAAAAGAATTCGAAAGGAGCTTTCAGCCTTTCTCAAAGAATCAGAATTTACAATTCCCTTCTCTCCTGTTAAAGTATTTTTGCAGGGGCTGGAGCGATAGCACAGCGGGTAGGGCGTTTGCCTTGCACACAGCCGACCCAGGTTCGATTCCCAGCATCCCATATGGTCCCCTGAGCACCGCCAGGGATAATTCCTGAATGCAGAGCCAGGAGTGACCCGTGTGCATCACCGGGTGTGACCCAAAAAGCAAAAAATAAATAAATAAAAAATAAAGTATTTTTGCATTCCAGCCCACGTAACCAGTCCTGGCAGTCACCGGACCCCAGTAGTACCCACATACCAGGCAAACATTTTCCCCCTGAGCCACACCTCCAACCTCCACACTGCCCATCAACCTGGCAATAGGCTGCACCCACAGAGAGAGGCCCTCCCGTTGATCGTCGATTTGCTCGAGCGGGCCCAGTAACGTCTCCATTGGAGACTTTGTTGTTACTGTGTCTGGCATATCGAATACTCTCGGTAGCTTGCCGGGCTCTCCGAGAGGGACGGAGGAATCGAACTCGGGTCGGCCATGTTGGCCGCTTGTAAGGCGAACGCCCTACCGCTGTGCTATCGCTCCAGCTCACAAGTGATCATAAACCCCATTGGCACCAAGATTCCCCCTCTGAGAGCCCAAGCCCACCGGCCTGCCCCATCTCTCACAGGTGTTTCCTGCTCAACGAGATCGAGAAGGAAGAGAAGGAGAAATTGTGGTATTACTCACAACTGCAGGGTCTGTCCAAGCGCCTGGACGAGCTCCCGCATGTGGAGACGGTGAGCGAGCAGGGCTGCCTTGGGGGCCCAGGGTGAGGGGAGCAGTGCTGAATCCTGACCCTGGCCCGCCTCATTTTTATTGGTGCCACACTTGGCAGTGCTCAGGGATCACTCCTGATGGCCTTGGGAAACCGTATGGGGTGCTGGGGATCGAACCCGGGTCGGTCGGTTCAGTACAGAGCAAATGCCCGACCCGCTGGACTATCGCTCTTCACTCTGGCCCCACCTGCCCTTCCCAGCAGTTCTCGATGCAAATGGACCTGATTCGGCAGCAATTGGAGTTCGAGGCGCAGCACATCCGGTCGCTCATGGAAGAACGCTTTGGCACCTCGGATGAGATGGTGCAGCGAGCACAGGTGCCCCCTGCGGGGGGAGCCCCAGGGACCTACCAGCCTAGTGGGCAGGGCGACACCTCTTGTACAAATCCGTAGGCCAGGATAGAGTGTAGCGATCCATAGTGGGCGGAGCCTGGGATATGACCTGCCAATGGGTGAACAAGGGGGCGGAAACCTCCGTGGGTGGAGTCACCGGAGTGGGCGGGGCCACATGCTCGTGGGCGAATCCGGGCAGAGGCCATTGTGGGCGGAGTCTGGGCTTCTGTAGGGTGGGGTTAATTTGAGAGCACAGACTGGCTGGACAGAGTGGTCCTGGTGGCGGCTGGTGGGTGGAGCCAGAGAAAGCCAAAGGCAGAGCCTGAGAACTGTGGAGACTGGTGGACAGTGATCTGAACCAAGTCTGAGCAAGCCCTGGAGGTTAACTGAGCCAGGGCTAAACAGGGCGGGCTGATCTAGGCTGGAGTCCGTGTTGGGGTGAGGAGGGACCTCCTCCCGGAACGAAAGCCAGAGAGATCCCAGGGGAGGGCTTCAGTGGTGGGCTAGCTATATAGAAGGGTGGGGCGTGCCCGAGTAGCAGTGTGTTCCTGATCGCAGAGGGATGTGGCCACAGCAGGGAAGGGGGAGTTAGCAGAGGGTGGGGTTCTGGTGTGGGCAAGAGAGGGGAGCAGCTCCGGAAGTGGGTGGGGTCTTCTTCCCCGGGAGGATTTCTAGCATTTTCTTCCTTGCAGATCCGAGCTTCACGCCTGGAGCAAATTGACAAGGAGCTGCTGTCTGCGCAGGATCGGGTCCAGCAGACGGAGCCGCAGGTATTGGAAGAAGCGGAACGAGTCCCCTCGGCGAGGCTGATGACTCTGCCGAGGGTGAAGGAAGCGGCCTTGCAGCCCCCATCCATAGGGTTGTAGGATGCAGTGGCTTTTAGCAGCCAGGGTGCCTTGCGGGGAGGGCTCCCAGAACGGACCCCCAGACCCGACTTCCTCCCCACAGGCTCTACTAGCCGTGAAGCCCATGCCGGTGGATGAGGACCCAGAGCCTGAGGTCCCCACGCACCCCGAGGATGGTGGCCCTCAGCCAGGCAACAGCAAGGTATGGGGGGGGGGGTACAGCGGGGAAGCCGCTTGCCTTGCATGCAGCAATCTGGGTTCACCTCTGGTCCCCCTGAGTCCCACCAGGAATCATCCCTGTGTACAGCCAAAAATAAGCCCTGGGCACTCCCACCCTCCAAAAAACAGTTTAGAGGATATCAAGACGCATGCAGGGTGAAGAAGCCTGCTCCGTTGGGATGCGGGGATGAAGTCATCCTCTCCCCAAACCTTCCTCGGGGTCCCCCAGTCATGGGAGGACCCTGATGACACCTGGCCTGTATGTTTTGGGGGCCACACCTAGGAGTGTCCGTGGGTGCCTGGCTTTTTGGGCTAGGAGGTGGCACAGGGATCCTCCTTGCCCCTCCGTTTTGTGAGAGGTTCGGTGATCGAGCAATGAGAAGGTCTGGGAGGGGGGCTGAGGTCACAGCCCTTCCGCCTGGTTAGGGTCACGCCGATGCCACCTCATGCCCTCTTTTCCCCGCAGGTGGAGGTGGTTTTCTGGTTGCTGTCCATGCTAGCGACGCGGGACCAGGAGGACACAGCCCGCACGCTGCTCGCCATGTCCAGCTCCCCCGAGAGCTGCGTGGCCATGCGCCGCTCGGGGTGTTTGCCGCTGTTGCTGCAGATCCTGCACGGCGCGGAGGCCGGCTCCGGGGGGCGCAACGGGAGCCCCGGGGCGCCGGGCGCTAAGGACGCGCGCATGCGCGCCAACGCCGCGCTGCACAATATCATCTTCTCGCAGCCGGACCAGGGCCTGGCGCGCAAGGAGATGCGGGTCCTGCACGTGCTGGAGCAGATCCGCGCCTACTGCGAGACCTGCTGGGATTGGCTGCAGGCCCGGGAGGCGGGGCCCGAGGGAGGCGGCGGTGCGGGCGGAGGAGGTGAGCAAAGGGTGTGTGTCAGGGCTCCAGCTCTGTGCAATGCAGTGCACGCAACATCCCGCAACATCCCGGGCACTCTGGACCAGGGCTGGGAGCCCCGCCTGAGTCTCCCGTGGTTGAGGCCTTGCTGGGAGCTGGGCTTGACAGCTTGGCCAAGCCACAGGCAGGGCATCCGCTGCCCTGCTGGTACCCGGTGACGGGACTGGAGAAAGTCACTGAATGCAATGGCTGGATTGAGCATAATCAGGGAAAACTGGGGATGGGGGTGGGGAACAGGGGGGGTGCAGGATAGTGAGATGCAGAATTCTCCCAGCTAATTGCAAAGGAAATACGGGGAGGAAAAAACACAAGAATGGGACTGGAACGATAGCAAAGAGGGGCGAGCACTTGCCTTGCACGCGGCTGACCTGGGTTCGATCCCTGGTACCCCGTAGGGTTCCCCAGCCTTTGAGGAGTGAGCCCTAAGTTCAGAGCCCTTGAGCACTGCTGGTGTGGCCCAAACACCAAAAAGAAAGAAAGGAAACCCACAAGCCCCCAAACAAAGACACACACCAAAGGAGGGGCCCTAGGAATAGTACAGGATTTAAGGTGCTGTCCTGGCCTTGCACGGTATTGATCCTGGATTGACCCCCCCCTGAATATTTCCAAGTTTGACCCCCTCCCCCAAAAAAAGATAAAACATAAAGAAAGGCAGAGAGGAGTGGGGATCATTTTATTTCTCGATTTGGGAGGGAGCTGTTTATGGCCAGCTCTGGTCTCTTCTTGGCTCTGTGCTCAGGAGCGACCCCTGGCGGTGCTCGGGGGAACAACATATGCAGTATCGGGGCTAGGAGCAGGTACTGCCCCATGCGAGGCACGCACCTTTATCCCTGTAGTGCCCGTCTCACCCAGGAGGGGGCGTCCTCTCTCCCTCCTGCAGGTTGAGACTCCATCTCTCCTTCTGTGGAGGGAAAGGTGTGGGGGGGGGGAGGAGCCCTGAGCTTTCTTTCTGGTAGCTGCTGCTCTCGTGAAGCAGGGGGGCAGGGTGGGGACTCCTGGGTACAGTGGCTGCCGTGGACAGGCTCGGAATGACGGTCCCTCTGGCTCACAGCTCCTGTCCCCATGGAGCCGCAGATCTGCCAGGCCACCTGCGCTGTGATGAAGCTGTCATTTGACGAAGAGTACCGGCGAGCCATGAATGAGCTGGGTGAGTGACTGCCAGGCCAGGCTCTCAGCTGGCTCCGTATCGGGGCTCTGAGGAGAGGGAACGAGCTGAGAGCATGGAGGTTAGCGTTGGGGACGGGACCTGTGTCATCCAAAAAAGTCAGGACCAAGCTGGAGCCAGAGCACAGTGGGGAGGGCATTTGCTTTGCACACAGATGGCCTGGGTTCAATCCCCAGCATCCTATAGGGTCTCCCAATCACCACCAGGAGTAATTTCTGAGTGCAGAGACACTGAGCATAACCGGGTGTGTCCCTGCCTCCTCACCCCCCGAAAAAAGGAAAACCCCACCCCAAAATAGGTGAGAACCAGGTGAGGCGCTTGCCTTGCAAGTAACATGCCTCATTTTCTCTCGTTTTGGGACCACACCCGGTGCTTCTCAGGGATTACTCCTGGCTCTGTGTTTGGGGATCACTCCTAGCGGAGCCAGGGGACCCTATAGGGTGCGAGAGATCAAACCTCCACCTACGAGGCAAGCGTCCTCCCTGCTGTATGCCCCAGCTCCTGGAGCTGGTCTCTTTGAATTTGGGGAGAGCTGGTGGGGGGGGATTGGTCTGGAGATCATGTGGGTGGGTGGGTCATGGGGACAGCACACATGACCCCAGCGTGTGATGCCTCCCGCCACCCATCAATGCCCTACTGCAGGTGGGCTCCAGGCTGTGGCAGAACTGCTTCAAGTGGACTATGAGATGCACAAGATGACACGGGACCCCCTCAACTTGGCGCTGCGCCGCTATGCGGGCATGACCCTCACCAACCTCACCTTTGGAGACGTGGCTAACAAGGTACCCTGGGGCCCAGCTTGCGGGGATGGGGGTCCCTTAGACTCCACACATAGGCACAAACAGTCCATGGTTGGGGGATCTGGGGAAGACACCCCGTGGGACCACCACCTCTGGAGAATGGAGCAGTGTGGGGGGTGCTGTTGAACCTGTTTCCTCACCTGGGCAGCTGAGTAACTTCTTCCCCTCCCCTGGGCCCAGGGCACCCAGCGCCAAACAGAGACTCAGTGGGACGGGGGGTGTCTGGCCCTTGGGTGATAGTTCCCCTCCACCTTAGGCGACCCTTTGTGCACGTCGGGGCTGCATGGAGGCGATCGTGGCTCAGCTGGCTTCCGAGAGCGAGGAACTGCACCAGGTAAGCGGGGTGCAGGCGGGGTGGAGTGGGGGGGGGATGCTCCAGGATACAGCCTCCTTCTCGCCCCAAGATGCAAGTGTCGGATTGGAGTGATAGCACAGCGGGTAGGGCATTAGCCTTGAATGCGGCCAACCCGGGTTCAATTCCCAGCATCCCATATGGTCCCCTGAGCACCGCCAGGAGTAATTCTTGAGTATATGTATCGTGGTATCACTGTCATCCTGTTGTTCATCGATTTCCTCGAGCAGGTACCAGTAACGTCTCCTTCGTCCTAGCCCTGAGATTTTAGAAAGTGCCATATTCAAGGCTCTTTCAGGATCAGGAGAATGAGACCCATCATTGTTACTGGTTTTTGGCATATTAAGTACACCACAGGGAGTTTGCCAGACTCTGCCGTGTGGGCAGGATACTTTCAGTAGCCTGCTGGGTTCTCCAGAGTAAGAACTAGATAATAAGATGTCGTGCAGCCGCGAATGCGGCCACACGCTTCCAGGAGCTGGGTTTTATAGTCTCTGGGTCTTGGCCAGTGATGGCACCATGGTGCTGGGGGCAGTTGGTGGGTGTGGCGCCTACCTACTGGAAGAGGGGGGATCTGGGTGGAGGAGGCCCAGTCCTGATCCAAGCAGGCTTGGAGATCTCAGCCCTGGGACACGCATGCCTGAGTCCCTCTGCCAGTTCCTTCATGCATGAGGCTTGTCCGAACATGGAGAGTGGTCTCAGCATGGCTGTGGCTGGTTCCAGAGGTCCTCGGCTGCCGGGGCTCTGCTCGGGGTGGGGAGGGAAACTCAACCCGCCCTCCTCCAAGGGGCCCCCGGTGAGGACAGCCAGGCGCGAGGGCAGGAGACTGTTCTCTTCTGGAAGCTGGGTTTTATAGCCTCTGGGTATATGAGCCAGGAATAACCCCTGTGCATTGCTGGGTGTGACCCCCCCCCCAAAAAAATGCAAGTGCCTCCTGGACTTTGCCAGCAGTCCCAACCCCTGAAGGGCACGGAGAAGGGGGATTAGGTTCACCGGGAGCCTGGCTCCCTAAGCCCCCGGTCCCGTCCCCTCATGCCCCCAGGTGGTGTCCAGCATCCTGAGGAACCTGTCCTGGAGGGCGGACATCAACAGCAAAAAGGTGTTGCGGGAAGTGGGCAGCATGACGGCGCTGATGGAGTGTGTGCTGCGGGCCACCAAGGTGGGCTGCGGGGGCGTGGCCGAAAGGGCGGGGCTAGAGGCGGGGCTTGGTGGGCGGGGCCAGGCAAGGGACCCAATAGGAATCCGCCGTGGTGATTTGGTTGGTGCCAGTCACAAGTTGGCTGGACCGAGGCACCCCCAGGCAGGGAGGCGGGAGGGGCAGTGGCGCACGGGCTCCCCAGGCCCTGACCACTGGCTCCATGCTGCCCACGCAGGAGTCCACCCTAAAGAGCGTACTCAGCGCGCTTTGGAACCTGTCGGCGCACAGCACGGAGAACAAGGCGGCCATCTGCCAGGTGGACGGCGCGCTGGGCTTCCTGGTGAGCACATTGAGCTACAAGTGCCAGAGCAACTCGCTGGCCATCATCGAGAGCGGCGGTGGCATCCTGCGTAACGTGTCCAGCCTGGTAGCGACCCGCGAGGACTACAGGTGAGCGCCAGGGGATGAGGGAGGGGGTGGGATGGGGTCACAGCCACAGGGGACCAGGCACAACCTGGAGAGGAATGAGGGAGGTGCAGGACACAGACAGTCCAGGGGCCAAGGCTGTCGCCTTCCGTGCAGCCAACAAGGTCCGGAATAAGCCCTGAGGCATGGCCCCCAAAACGCCCTAATAATAAAAGGAATTCTACTTACGGTTCATTGGTCCTCCCGTTCATCGATTTGCTCCAACGGGCCCAGTAACGTCTCCATTGTGAGACTTGTTACTGTGTTTGGCATATCAAATATGTCACGGGTAGCATGCCAGGCTTTGCCGTGCAGGTGAGATACTCTCGGTAGCTTGCCAGGCTCTTCGAGAGGGTCGGAGGAATCGAACCTGGGTCGGCCAAGTCATCCGCGTGCAAGGCAAATGCCCTACCACTGTGCTGGAGCTATAATTTTTTTTTTTTTTTTACTGTGTGAAAAGACATGACTTCTACTCTTATACTTCTACTCTCATATGTATGGCGTGGGATATTCTGTGCTAATTCTTTTTGGCTTTTTGGGTCATTCTTGGCAATATTCAGGGCTTATTCCTGGCTCTACACCCAGGAATTACTCCTGGCAGTGCTTGGAGACCCTATAAGATCTGGGGATCGAACCTGGGTCAGTTGCATGCACACCCTAACACTGTGCTATCTCTCTGGCCCCCTAAAACTTTTATTTTTCATTTGGGGGGGGTGCTTTGGGGGCTACATCCAGCTTTGTGTACTTCTTGTGGTGCTTGAGGAATCATTTGGTACCGAGTGTCAAACCTGGTCTTTCTGCATAGAAAACTTGCCCTCAGTCTACTGAAATATCTCCTTGGACCTCCAACTTTAATTTTTTGGGGGGACTTGGGCAACACCTGGGAGTGCTCAGGCCTTTCTCCTGGCTTTGTGCTCAAGGATCATTCCTGGCAGGGCTTGGGGGACCTTAGGAGGTGCCAGGGACTGAAGCCCAGTCAGACGCATATAAGACAAATGCTCTCTTTTACTTTCTCTTTGCCTCCCAATTTTGTTTCTTGAATGTCTGGCATATGCAGAGATTTATGACCTCATATCCCCCCTAGCACATCTGGATTGCCCCCTTGGAAAATTATTTTTTTCTTTGGGGGGTGGAGTTGGGGTGGTCTGAAATCAGGTTCTGGGGAAACCACACATGTGGGTGTTAGGGATCCAATCGGGGTCAGCCAGTGTAAGGCAAGCACCTCCCCCCTGTGCTGTCCTTTCTCCCAAGCCCCAGGCCGTTTTGTTTGCAAGGGCAGGTACCTGGACCTTCAGGTTTCTACATAGAGAATGGCACCCAAGAGGTTCCTGAATGGAATCTGAGAAAGGGGCTCATCAGGGTCAGAGAAATGGACCAACAGCTAGAGCATTTGCCTTGCATATGGCCAACCTGAGTTCATTCCCTGGCAACCCATAGGGTCCCCCAAGCACCGCCAGGAGTAATTCCTGAGTGCAGAACCAGGAGTAACCCCTGAGCATTGCCAGGTGTGACCCAAAAATGTCAAAAAAGGAAAGGAGGCGACTGGAGCAATAGTACAGTGGATAGGGCATTTGTCTTGCACACAGCTGACCTGGGTTTGATTCCCAGCATCCCATATGGTCCCTTGAGCACAGCCAGGGAGTAATTTCTTTTTTTTTTTTTTTTGCTTTTTGGGTCACACCCGGCGATGCACAGGGGTTACTCCTGGCTCTGCGCTCAGGAATAACCCCTGGCGGTGCTCAGGGGACCATATGGGATGCTGGGAATCGAACCCGGGTCGGCCGCGTGCAAGGCAAACGCCCTACCCACTGTGCTATTGCTCCAGCCCCCAGGGAGTAATTTCTGAGTGCAAAGCCAGGAGTAACACCTGTGCATTGTTGGGTGTGACCCGGGCTGGAGTGATAGCACAGCGGGTAGGGCGTTCGCCTTACAAGCGGCCAACATGGCCGACCCGAGTTCGATTCCTCCACCCCTCTCGGAGAGCCCGGCAAGCGACCGAGAGTATTCGATATGCCAGACACAGTAACAACAAAGTCTCCAATGGAGACGTTACTGGGCCCGCTCGAGCAAAAAGCAAAAAATAAAATAAAATAAAAATCAAAAAAAGGAAGGAGGAAGGAAGGAAGGGGCTCGTCCTGGCTCGGCGCCTTCCCATGGAGGAGACAGAGCAGGGCAAGGCCAAGGCCAGAGGGTCCCCCAGCTGATGCGCCCCCCTCATCTCCGCCCCCCCAGGCAGATACTCCGGGATCACAACTGTCTGCAGACGCTGCTGCAACACCTCACGTCACACAGCCTGACCATCGTGAGCAATGCCTGTGGCACACTCTGGAACCTGTCAGCCCGCAGCGCGAGGGACCAGGAGCTGCTGTGGGACCTGGGCGCCGTGGGCATGCTGCGGAACCTGGTCCACTCCAAGCACAAGATGATCGCCATGGGCAGCGCCGCCGCCCTGCGCAATCTCCTGGCCCACCGGCCCGCCAAGTACCAGGGGGCCACCACGGCCGTGTCGCCCGGCGCCTGTGCGCCCAGCCTGGCAGTGCGCAAACAGCGGGCTCTGGAAGCCGAGCTGGACGCCCGGCACCTGGCCCAGGCGCTCGACCACCTGGACAAGCAGGGCCGGCCCGAGGCCCAGGCCGAGGTGGTCACCAAGAAGCCCCTGCTGCAGCCGCTGCGCCACCTGGATGGGCTGGCCCAGGACTACGCCTCGGACTCCGGCTGTTTCGATGATGACGATGCCCCCTCCCTGGCCCACGCGTCAGCTGAGCCGCCCAGCCCGGCTGTGCTGTCCCTGTTCCTGGGCAGCCCCTTTCTGCAGGGCCAGGCGCTGGCCCGCACCCCGCCGCCCCGCCGCAGCGGCCCTGAGCCAGACAAGGACAAAGAGGTGGGCGCCGAGTCAGCAGTGGCCGCCAGGGCCAAGGCAAAGCTCGCGCTGGCCGTGGCGCGGATCGACCGGCTGGTGGAGGACATCTCGGCCCTTCACACCTCCTCTGATGACAGTTTCAGCCTCAGCTCTGGGGATCCGGGGCAGGAGGCACCGCGGGAGGGCCGTGCCCAGTCCTGCTCCCCATGCCGGGGCCCTGACGGTGGTGGTCGCAGGGACAGAGCCCACCCGCTGCTCCGGCTCAAGGCGGCTCACGCCAGCCTCTCCAATGACAGCCTCAATAGCAGCAGCGCCAGCGACGGCCACTGTCCCCGTGAGCATGCGCGGCCCTGCCCACTGACCGCGCTGGCCGAACGCCGGGAGGCACCGACACGTGGCCAAGCCCGGCCCAGTCGGCTGGACCTCAAACCCCCGGCTGGCCAGGCTGAGGCAGCCGCCCGGGACCCCTCGGCCGCCGATGCCCAAGTCCGAACCATCAAGCTGTCGCCCACCTACCAGCATGTCCCGCTGCTGGACGGCGCGTCCAGGGTGGTTGCTGGGGGCCTGAACTCCAGTGGGGCCCGGAAGCACGCCTGGCTGCCGGCAGAGAGCCTGAGCCACGTCCCGGAGAAGCTGGTGGCAGAGACGAGGCCTCTCTCTCTGTCCCGCTGCAGTTCCCTCTCCTCGCTGTCTTCTGCCGGCCGTCCAGGACCCAGCGAAGCTGGGGACGTGGAGGACAGCGATTCGTCCTTGGAGGGGCTGGAAGAGGCAGGTCCTGGGGAAGCCGAACTGGACGGGACCTGGCAGGGACAGGGGGCTGCCTCCCTCCCCCTGCCAATCCCCCTGCCCAGACGGGGCCGTGGCCTGGGGCTGGAGGACGCCACCCCTTCCAGCTCCTCGGAGAACTGTGTCCAGGAGACTCCGCTGGTGCTGAGCCGCTGCAGTTCGGTCAGCTCCCTGGGCAGCTTCGAGAGCCGCTCCATCGCCAGCTCCATCCCCAGCGACCCGTGCAGCGGGCTGGGCAGTGGCACGGTCAGCCCCAGCGAACTGCCCGACAGCCCCGGGCAGACCATGCCGCCCAGCCGCAGCAAGACGCCGCCGCTGGCCCCGGCCGCGCCGGCCGCCGCCGAGCGCGAGACCACCCAGTTCAGCCTGCAGTGGGAGAGTTACGTGAAACGCTTCCTGGACATCGCCGACTGCCGGGAGCGCTGCCGGCTGCCCTCCGAGCTGGACGCGGGCAGCGTGCGCTTCACCGTGGAGAAGCCCGATGAGAATTTCTCGTGCGCGTCCAGCCTCAGCGCGCTGGCCCTGCACGAGCATTACGTGCAGAAGGACGTGGAGCTGCGCCTGCTGCCCCCGGCCTGCCCCGAACGTGGCGTTGGCGTTGGCGGCGGCGGGGGCGGCGGGGGAGGAGGCGGCGGTGGGACCCCGGCGCCGCACTTCGCTGGGCACCGCCGGCGGGAGGAGACGCGGAGTCGCCGCGAGGGACACCCGGCCGCCGCCACCGACCAGGAGCTGGAGCTGCTGCGGGAGTGTCTGGGCGCCGCCGTGCCCGCCCGGCTCCGCAAGGTGGCATCGGCGCTGGTGCCCGGCCGCCGCGCGCTGCCGGTGCCCGTCTACATGCTGGTCCCCGCGCCGGCCCGGGAGGACGACTCGGGCAGCGACTCGGCCGAGGGGACCCCCGTCAACTTCTCCAGCGCTGCCTCGCTGAGCGACGAGACGCTGCAAGGGCCCCCCCGGGACGCGCCCAGCCGGCGGGCGGACCGCAAGAAACCCGCCGGCCGCGCCGCCGCCCCGTCCAGGCCGACCTCCGGGCAGCCCCGGCACAAGGCCGGGGACGGGGACGGCGCGGGGGGCCGGAGAGCGGAGCCGTCTGCCCCACGGGGGCCGGGCCGAAGCCGGGCTGGGCTGGAACTGCCGGTGTCCCGGCCCGCGAGCGCCTCTGCCGAGCGCGACGGCGCCCGCGGTGAGCGGCCCAGGGGGGACGGGGGGCTGCAGTCCCTGTGCCTGACGACGCCCACCGAGGAAGCCGTGTACTGCTTCTACGACGACTCGGACGAGGAACCATCGCCCGCGGCGCCACCTCCGCGTCGGGCATCCGCGATTCCCCGGGCAGTGAAGAGGGAGCGCTCGACCCCCAAGAAGGACGCGCCCGCCTCGGCCGCCCCCAAAGCCGCGGCCACCACGGCCCCGGTGCGTGCCCAGCCCAGCCTCATAGCGGACGAGACCCCGCCCTGCTACTCCCTCAGCTCCTCCGCGAGCTCCTTGAGCGAGCCGGAGCCCCCAGGCCGGCCTGGAACCCGCCAGGCCACGGGCCCCCGGGACGCGGGTCCCGGGGACGGACGCGACGACGAGTCCCCCAGCCCGCGGGCCGAGGCCGAGCTGCTGCGGCGCTGCATCGGCTCCGCCCTGCCCCGGCGCCGGGCCCCGGGGTCCGGCCCGCGCCGTCGGAAACCCCGGGCGGCGGCGGGGGCGGCGCGGCCCGAGCAGCAGCGGCGCGCTGAGGCGGCCCGGGACCGGGACGCGGGCGACGAAGCTGCGGGCTCGGACCGCGCGTCCGACCTGGACAGCGTGGACTGGCGCGCCATCCAGGAGGGGGCCAACTCCATCGTCACCTGGTTGCACCAGGCGGCGGCGGCGGCCACCGCGGGCGATGCCTCGTCCGAGTCGGACTCCATCCTGTCCTTCGTGTCCGGCCTCTCGGTGGGTTCCACGCTGCAGCCCTCGCCGCAGAGAAAGGGGCGCCGCCCGCGGGCGGAGGGTCGGGCCAGCGCAGCCCCCCCGAGGCCGGACAAACGGGACACGCCGGCTGCCCCGCGCGCCGCTGCCTCCCCGCGCTCGTCCGGCGGCGCCGAGAAGCCGCGGGGCGCTCCGAAAAACGCGTGCGCCGTGCCGGCTGTCCTTCGGGGCAGGACGGTCATCTACGTGCCTACGACGGCCTCTCGGCCGCAGACCAAGGGGGCGCCGAGCGCCCGACCCACCCAGAAGAAGGGGCCCACGAGCCCAGGGCAGACAACCGCCCCCGCCAAGACCCCCGGGCCCGGCCAGCAACGGTCACGGAGCCTGCACCGGCCCGGCAAGATCTCGGAGCTGGCGGCCCTGAGCCCCCCGCAGAGAAGCGCCACGCCCCCCGCCCGCCTGGCCAAGACGCCGTCCTCCAGCTCCTCCCAGACCTCCCCCGCCTCGCAGCCCCTGCCCCGGAAGTCGCCCCCCGCAGTCCCGGCTGCGGGACCCCTGCCCGGCCCCGCGGCGGCCCCGCTGCCCAAGACACCGGCGCGGGCGCTCGTGTCCAAACAGCATAAGACTCAGAAATCGCCGGTGCGGATCCCCTTCATGCAGAGGCCCGCCCGGCAGGGACCCTCCGCTCTGGCCAGGGCCACCCCGGAGCCGGGTCCCCGGGGCCGCGCGGGGCCCGAAGGCAGCCCCGGCACGCGAGGGGGTCGCCTGGGACTGGTGCGCGTCGCCTCGGCCCGCTCGAGCGGCAGCGAGTCCTCGGACCGCTCGGGCTTCCGACGGCAACTGACGTTCATCAAGGAGTCGCCGGCCCTGCTGCGCCGCCGCCGTTCGGACCTGGCCGCGCCCGCCGCCCCGGCGCCCGCCGCCGCCCCGCAGGGCGGCTCCCCGCGCCGCGGCCGGCCCGCGCTGCCCGCCGTCTTCCTCTGCTCCTCGCGCTGCGACGAGCTGCGGGCGCCCCCGCGGCCCGCGCCCGGCGCGCAGCGCGTCCCCGCCGCCGGCCGCCCGGGCCCCGGCGAGCGGCAGCCCCGACGCACCAGCTCCGAGAGCCCCTCGCGGCTGCCGCTGCGCGCGCCGGGGCCCGAGACGGTGAAGCGCTACGCGTCGCTCCCGCACATCAGCGTGGCCCGCGCGCCCGACGGCGCCGCGCCCCGGGCCGCCGGCGACGCCGTCCGGCGCTGCAGCGACGGCGAGGCGCGCCCGCTGCCCCGGGTGGCGTCGCCCGCCACGACGTGGCGGCGCATCCGGGACGAGGACGTGCCGCACATCCTGCGGAGCACGCTGCCCGCCACCGCGCTGCCCCTGCGGGGCGCCTCGCCCGAGGAGGGCCCGGCCGGCTCGCCGCCGCGCAAGACCAGTGACGCCGTGGTCCAGACGGAGGACTTCGCGGCCGCCAAGACCAACTCCAGCACGTCCCCGAGCCTGGAGAGCCGGGGGCCCCCGCAGGCCCTCCCCGGCGGCCCCGCTGCTCTCCTGGGCAGCGACGTGGACGGGCCGTGCCTGGCCAAGGCGCCCCTCGCCGTCCCCTTCCCGCCCGAGGGCCCCGGGGTGCCTGCGGGGGGCTTCCCCGCCAGCCGCCACGGCTCCCCGAGCCGATCAGCGCGTGTCCCCCCGTTCAACTACGTGCCCAGCCCCATGGCCGCGGCGGCCGCGGACCTCGGCGTCGAGAAGGCCCCCGCCCCCGCCCGCCTGCTGGAGTAGCCGTCGGGCTGGCCTTGCCCACCTGCTCTCAGCTCGGGGTCGCCCCCCGCAACACCGTGCCCCAGGGCCCGCCCTTCCTCCCGGGCCCCGCCCCGGCTGGCATCGGCCTCACATCTCACGCGGATTCGCTTGCTTCGGTGCCCTGGGTGCGGGGATGGGGGGCCCCGCCGCAAGGAAACGGGGACGCGGGGTGCGCCTTCAGGCACGACCTTCTCCCTCTCCTCTCCAGAGCAGCGGGGAGGTGACGGTCCCCGCCCGAGGTGGGGACGAGAGAGAGAGAGAGAGAGAGAGAGAGAGAGAGAGAGAGAGAGAGAGAGAGAGAGAGAGACAGGGGAGAGCTGCCAGCCGAGGGCTGCGGCTTCCACTGGCGCGGGGAACCCGCAATTACCGCGGCCCGGTAATTTGCTAATGAGCGTTTAGCTGCTGTGTCTGCCGGTCCCAGCTGGGGGGAAAGGATGAGGCTGGAAAGACCGCGCCCCCCACCTCCCCTGAGAGCCTGGAACCCTCAGGGCTGGGAGAGGGGAGGAGAAAGCAGAGTCCTCCTCCCCGCTCTGGACCCCTTAGAAGCAACTGCGCAGGTGGGCCTGGGGACCAAGGGTGAGGAACAGCCGCGGCCATGGGGCTGGGCACAGATGTCGCTTCCTGTCCCCAGCTGTCCCAGGGAGATAGATGCTGGCTGCAGAGAACTGGGGGCCGGGGGAATTCCAGAGGTAGGTGGATGAGGTGCAGTGGGGAGAGAGCTGAGTCTGGGTGGCAGGCTAGGGAGCCCCCCTCCTAGGGGTTCGGGACCCCACGCTGCAGAGGGTGGAGGGGGAGCCCTTGACCACTTCATTCTTGCAAGCGCGGTGGTCAGGGGGGTCCTGGCAGGCTCCTTATTTCAGAACACCCTCGGGGGGGGGGCGTGCAAAAGCCGGCAGGGGCTGGAGGAGACGCAGGGATGGAGGCAGACAGGGGGACTGGACGGCCTGGAGAAAGAAGACTTGGGCATGACACCCCTCACTGCGCCCACACACGGGCGGAGGGACCCCGGGATGGTGTCTTCCTGCAGGAAGAGCCAGCGACCTCTTTCCTGCCCAAAGCCACATCCGAGAGAGCCAGTTCTGGGGTCCCTGCATGGGGAGAAGCCGGAGCAGAGCCCCTGGCCCCCGTGGTGCCTCCCACAGGAAGGGGGTGACTCCCCAAGACCAGAAGCGCTTCCTCCAGCAGGACTATGCCTGCCACCTCTCCCACGCTGTGCCAGCTCCCCAAGTTGCATCTACACCCTCCCCCATTCCGGGGCTGCTGGCCGGAGGCCCCTTCCAAGGCCCGGCTGGGGGACCTGCCTTGCACTGTGAGACCCTCGGACGGCACTTTTTTGCCGCTCTGTGCCTCAGTTTCCCCACGGCTGTGGGGAGCATCGCAGAGCTACCTCTCGGGCAGGCCCAGCAGCCTGTGACTGGGGGAGAGGCGGGTGCGGCCACCCCCCCTCCCCGACCGCCTCCGCCTGTCCCTGGGTCAGCCGCAATTCATGCCCAGCAGCTGGTGGGTCACCAGCTCCCGGGACAGAGTCTCCACACGGCCACTGGACAGTCCATTCGAGTGGCAGCTGGACGACCCGTTTGGAGCATCTCAGATGATCTCAGAACATCTCAGCAATGAACATCACAGAACGCTGTGACTCTCTATAGAGGGGACAGGAGACACCCGGGCAATCCACGGCCATCCCCAAATTCTGGACCTTGGCCTGAGGCCGATGGACAAACCCTCCAGCAGGGTGCTGAATTTGGGGCCACGCCCACCTGTAGCTTTACACCACCCCCCCACCAGCCTGTCCATGTCAGGGCCACTGGCCACCCCCGTCGTCCCCTCGTTCTCTCTCAGCACCTCAGTATTACCAGACACCTGTACATAGCGCCACCACGCGCCGGGCCAAGAAAATGCAGAACCCTGAACCTCCATCTGATGGCACCTTTAATAAACGGGGCTGCTGGCGCCCCCCTCTTGGCCTGGGGCTCCGTGTCCAAGTGGGGCTGGAGGGTGGCCGGAGGCAGAGGGTGGGGCTGGTGCCAGCTGTGGGCATGGGGGGCACAGGCAGGCCCTGGAGGTCCAATGGCGTCCTTCCTGGAGGAGACGGTGGGAACTTGTATGTCCAGTCTGGGTTCAGAGGTGCCCGGGCCCTGTTAGTCTGGCTGTGGGTATGCTCGTGCCCCCGGGAGCAAGGTGTGGGGGGCGGGTGGGCCTGGGTTTTGGGGTATGTGGCAGCAGTTGTCTGCTCGCTGGAGCCCCGGGTTCTGCTGTCAGGGGTCTCCGGCTGCAGTGGTTGGTGTCCTGCTGGAGGCGGGGGGTTCCTGTCCTTGCTTTCTCCTGCTGGGTCTCCCCCACCCCGAGAAGCTGCTGATGGTGGCAGTCACGGGGGTCCTGCCCATCTCACTGGGGTCCCAGCAGACACACGTGGGTCCTGCATGCTTGGTCTTCGTAGGTTCCAGGCCAATGGAACATTCTCGGCTCCTCTGCTGCCCTGGTTGCCCCACGCCACAGAGAAGAGGGGCCAAAGCGTGGGGTGGGGGGTCGGGGGTGGGCGCAGCCCCCTCGCCAGGCTTCACAATCAAGCCAGTGGTGGGAAAACACAGGAGGCCAGGCAACCTGGGCCTGGGAGCGCCGGCTGATGGACCCCACTGGGCCCACCCCAGAGGGGCACCCCCAGATCTGGGAGCCAGGAGACTCCGAAGAGCAGCCCCCGCCGAGGCCACATCTCAGATAGAGGCTGTGAGGCCTCAGGGTGGGGGAAGCAAGGGGGGAGACCCCACACTCCCCCATCCCCCCTGGGGGCCCTCAAGATTTGGGGGCGACCCCCCAGCGCTCCAGAGAACGGGGCCTCCCTGGACGAACCTGCACGATGTCCAGTCTGGCTTCCGGGGGTGTCTGGGCCCCGGGAGTCCTGCCGTGGGCTCGCCCGTGCTCTGGAACGGGGTCAGCCCGAAGAGGCGGCCTGGGCGCTGGGCAGGGTCACCTGCTTCACCTCGTCCATCTCCCGCTCCAGTTGGGCGCCAGCTCCCCGCAGCTCCTGGCAGGCCCGCTGCAACTCCGTGCCAGCCTGCTGGAGCCGCTGGTTGGCAGTCACGTAGGTGCGGCTCTGCTGGTACAGCCGCTCGCGCTCGGCTTCCTGGTCCTCGGCGTCGGCCCTCCCTGTGGGCGCAGGGGCGTCTGGGGACAGGATGCAGCACCGTGGGGCATGGGGGGCCGAGGGCGCGGCTGTCTCTCTTTTTCTCTTTTTGGTCACACCCGGCGACACACAGGGGTCACTCCTGGCTCTGCATTCAGGAATCACTCCTGGCAGTGCTCAGGGGATCATATGGGATGCTGGGAATCGAACCCGGATTGGCTGCATGCAAGGCAAACGCCCTCCCCGCTGTGCTATCGCTCCAGCCCCACGGCTGTTTCTCTCACCACCATGAGTCCTAGATTCCCCACCCTCCAAATGCTTGTAGACTGAGCCATATGCTTCTTGTTTTTTGGGGGGTCAAGCCATGCCCTGTGGTGCTTGGGAGACCCTTTGGTGGCAGGGATCCCACATGCAAAGCCCCAGGCTAGTGATTCTCTATGAGGGGGGGGTGACATAGGTCACACCCTATGGTGCTGGGACTATTCTTTTCTGGGGGGGTTTGAGAAACCTCACCAGCATTGCTCAGGGCTTCCTCCTGGCTCTGCACTCGGGGACTATTCCTGGCGGGCCTGGGGGACCCCATGGGGTGCTGGGGATTGAACCCAGTGAGCCCCATGTAAGGCCAGGACCCTATCCGTTGTCTTATCTCTCCCATCTGAGGCTACTTACAGCTCTGTCACAGCACTGCATGTGCTGGGGGTCAAACCCAGGTACCCCACATGCACAACCCTGTGCTCCAGCCCTGCACTGTCTCTCCCGTCCGATGCTTCTGATGGAGAGCTGGGCTGATCCTACTATGTTCTGAGAGAAATACGGTTTTTCTTTTTTGATTTTTTGTTTTATTGGGTCACATCAGAAACGACCAGGAATAACGCTCAGGGGTTACTCCTGGTGACACTCAAGGGAACCATATGGGATGCCAGGGATTGAACCCAGGTTGGCCGCATGCAAGGCAAACTCCCCTCCCCGCTGTACTATCAGTCCAGCTCAGAAATAGTTTTTCTGTTCCTGGGGCCAACCCTGAACTAGGAACTTTCTGTTTGATGCGCATCTTCACCCCGAACTTTCTAAGCCCTTAAAAATGCTTGAACGGGGGCAGGAGATATAGTACAGTGGGTGAGGCGCTGGTTTGATCCCCAGGGTCACCCAGGGTCACCCCTGAAGTCAGAGCCAGATACGTGCCTGAACACCGCGGAGTGTGGCCCAAACAAAACCTTGAGGCTGAAGCAATGGTCTGGTCCCTCTGTCCTGGGCTTTATACTCTTATCATTTGCTGATAAAATATCCCCCAGATGAAAACCTGCCAAGTTTGGGGCTGGAGCCCTGAGCAATGCCGGTGGGGTCCCTCAAACCCCCCAGAAAAGAACAGTCCCAGCACCATAGGGTGTGGCCTATGCCCTCCCCCCCATAGAGAATCCCAGGGAGGGCATCTGCCTTGCACACAGTCAACCTGGGTTCCATCCCTGGCATCCTATATGGTTCCCCTGAGCACTGCCAGGTGTAATTCCTGAGTGCAGAGCCAGGAGTAACGCCAGAGTCTCGCTGGGTGTGAACTCCAAAAGCCAAACCAAAAAGAAAAAGAAAATGGGCCAAGTTCATCTCAGGCTCTGATACAAACAGGCAGCAGAGGGGCTGGAGTGATAGCACAGCGGGTAGGTCGTTTGCCTTGCACGCGGCCGACCTGGGTTCGATTCCCAGCATCCCATATGGTCCCCTGAGCACCGTCGGGAGTGATTCCTGAGTGCAAAGCCAGGAGTAAACCCTGTGCATCGCTGGGTGTGACCCAAAAAGTCAAAAACAAAACAAAAAAAACAGGCAGCAGAGGTGTGGAGCCATAACACCACCCGGAGGGTGCCTGCTTTGCACAGGGCAGATCCGGGTTCCATCCCCAACACCTCACAGGGACCTGAGCCTCACCTGAAGTGATCCCTGAGTGAGTGATCGATCCCTGAGTGCAGAGCCAGGAGTCAACCCTGAGCACCACCAGGCGTGTTCCCAAAACAAAACAACAAAAACAAACAGGCTATCCAACCCAGCCCTGGCCTAACCCACATCTGTTGGGGGCGCCCGTCTGCACGCACACCCCAAGTTCCAGGCAGGAAGAGGAACTTCGGGAGGGTCCGAGCTTTCCCCTTGAATTTCCCAGGTTCACGGGATCTCCTACTCAGGATCTGGGACACTGGGGCAGGAGCTAGAGACGGGAATGTGCCCCCCTCCCCCCGCCACTGCTTCCCGGGGTCCTCATGTCCCTGCTCCCCGTACCTTCAAGGGCCAAGGTGGTGAAGACCGGGTCGTCGGCGGCCGCCCCCCGCACGTCCTCCAGGATCTGCTCCACCGTGGGGGGCGCCGGGCGGGTGGGCAACACCACGCGCTTCTTGGCCTTGGAGCCCATCCCTGGAGGCGGCACGAGGGCGGTTTGCCAGTGCTTCTGCCCGGTGAACTCGTATACACCCGCCAGAACCCATTAACGGGGCACCCCGGCACCCGCCTCTCCCGCGACCCCGCGGCGTCCGGCTGCACCGGGATCAGAGGTTTCAAAGTCCGCCTCGAGTTGGGACTCAAGTCCTGGACCGGAGGGCGCAGAGCAACAGCCCAAACCTCACCTGGAGGCGCTCCCAGCGCCCCGAGTGATCCGGGCAGCCGCTTCCGCTTCCGCACGCAGCGCGCCCCGCCCCCCGACACGTGACATGCACTTCCGGGACTTGGCTCCTCCCGACGCCACGCCCCTTCTTAAAGCGATAGCGCCCGCGCGCGTCTACCACGTGCGAGGCGGCGAGACCCGGCGGAGACACGAGGGCAGCTCTCAACCCGTCCTGGGCTGGCTACGCAAGTGGTGGGCACGGGGCCGAGTTAACTCGCGGAGTTACACGGTATCGCGGCTGAAGGGGGTTCAGTTCCTAACCTGGGAGCCCACCCCACCCCCCCGCCCCCCCCTGCACCAGGCGAACCGGCGCCAAGGGAGTGTCAGCGTTTGATAACTTGTTGTCTGTGGTTTGTGGTTTTATTTTTGGACCGCAACCGTCGGGATGTTCAGGGCTTACCCCTAGTTTTGCACTCAGGGATCGCTCCTGGCGGTGCTGGGAGACCCTATGGGATGCCAGAGATTGAACCCAGGTTAACCACGTGCAAGGCCAGCGCCCTCCCTGCTGTACTATCGCATTCCATGTTTTCTGGAGCCCCCCTCCCCATCTACCTGGACTTTACCTCGGGTCACCCCTCCTGCTAGGGTGCAAAGGCAGATTCGAATTCCAGGGAGGTCCACGTGGAGTTTGCTACAAATCACAGTGATTAAAACTTACAGTGATGACAGTGTGTAAAGACTGCTGACACAGCCGGGAGGGCGTTTGCCTGGCCTGAGACTCATCCGGTTTTGATTCTCAGCACCACCCCATAGGGTCCCCCCGAGCCCGTCAGGAGTGATCACTGAGTGCAGAGCCTGGTGTAAGCCGGCAGCACCGTGGAGTGTGAGACTTCCCCGCCCCCCCAAAAAAATACAGCAGGAAAAGCAGTTTAGCGTTTCATCATCCCACATCAATCCCTTTCGCTTCAGCATCCCCGTCCCCACCACCACCACCACTTCCTGTCTGGAAGGGTCTCCTTTGGTGGCTCTGAATCCTGCTGCGTGGACCCGGGGTGCTGTGAGGACGTTTGTGTAGGTGTGCTGCCGGTGGCATTACGGAGGCAGAGGGGGGCGCTCTAGGACCCTGCAACTGACTGGTCGACTGATCAGTTCTTTCCTATAGTGAGTGCCATCAGCTGGCGTTGGTGACTCCTGGTGGGTGACTTCTGTGCAGGAGGAAAAGACTTAGTTTTGTGTCGTTTTTGTGCTCAGATATCACTCCTGACAGTGCTTCCAGGGACTTTACATAGTGCTGGGGATCAAACCTGGTTCAGTTGCAAGCATTGGCAACGCACTTTAACCCCTGTACTAGCTCTTGATCCAAATGACTTAGGGTTTTTTTTTGCTTTTTAGTTTGTTGGTCTAGTTTGGGGGGCTATGCATGGAGGTGCCAGGAAATAGAGGGCTAGTGGTGGGCATCCAAGCCAGTTCAGCTGTGTGCAAGGCAAGTGCCTTCCCTCTTCCCTGCTGTACTCTCATGAGCCCCTAAACTACTTTTTTTGCTTTGTTTTGTTTATTTGGGGGGGGGGCACACACACCTGAGGATCTTCAGGGATTATTCCTGTCTCTGCACTCAGGAATTACTTCTGGCAGTGCTCAGGGGACCATATGGGATGCCAGGGATTGAACCCAGGTTGGCCGTGTGCAAGGCAAATGCCCTACCCACTGTATTATCACTCTTGCCCCTGGCCCTTAGTCTTTTTTTTTTAATTGCTTTTTGGGGGGCTGGAGCAATAGCACAGCGGGTAGGGCGTTTGCCTTGCACGCGGCCAACCCGGGTTTGATTCCCAGCATCCCATATGATCCCCTGAGCACCACCGGGGTAATTCCTGAGTGCAGAGCCAGGAGTAACCCCTGTGCATTGCCGGATGTGACCCAAAAAGCAAAAAATAAAAAAATAAAAATAAAAGTAAATGAATTGCTTTTTGGGTCTCATCCGGCAATGCACAGGGGTTACTTCTGGCTTTGCACTCTAGAAATGACTCCTGGTGGTGCTCGGGGGACCATATGGGATGCTGGAAACCAGATCCGGGTTGACTGCATGCAAGGCAAACACCCTACCCGCTGTACTACCACTCCAGCCCCCCCAAACTAGTTTTTTTTTTTTTTTTGCTTTTTGGGTCACACCCGGCAATGCACAGGGGTCACTCCTGGCTCTGCACTCAGGAAGTTACTCCTGGTGGTGCTCAGGGGACCATATGGGATGCTGGGAATCGAACCCAGGTCGGCTGCTTGCAAGGCAAACACCCTACCCGCTGTGCTATTGCTCCAACCCCCCAAACTAGTTGTTTCTCAAAAGTATGGAGGGAGGCAGGTACCCATGGAGTGTACTTGGGAGCTCTGAGGGGCGGTCCCAGTTGTCCTGGGGGACATAGCCTAGACTCCAGGGCTGGGTCTGCAGCTGGGGCTTGGCTGGGAAGGGGCAGGACAGGAAGGCACCAGCCGGACGTGTTCCCCCCCACCCCCCGGCTGTGGCTCCTGCTTGGCTTCCCCAGTCCTGCCGGTGGCAGCCCTCCCCTCCACCCATCTTGCTTCAGGCTTTGCAGCTGGCACTACAGAGCCGGTTCAGGGCTGAAGGCATGTATTTGCCTTGAACGCAGCTCTTCCTAGTTTTGTTGAGTTCTGTTGGGCCGCCACACCCGGTGGTGCTCAGGGCTGACTTCTGGCTCTGTGCTCTGGGATCCCTCCTGACAGTGGTTGAAGGATCGAATCAGGAATAGAACCTGATTTGGCCCTGGGGGGGGTGCAAGGCAAGCCTCCTCCCCCCTGTACTATCTCTCCAGCCCCAGTGGCTGATCAAAGCTTGGTCTCTAGGTCTGCATGGTCATCAGCACTTTGCTGGGAGCAGTCCCCAAGCACAGAACTCAGAGCACCACGCAGCACACCTGGGTGTGGTCCAAATCCCCTCCCCGCCATGGGACCAACTTGAGGCTGGGGGAACAAGTGCCTCACTCCCAGGGACCGAGGGCGATGTGGGGGTCTTCTCTGGGTTCTTTGACTAACTGTCCTATCCCCAATACCATCCTCTTTCTGTTCCAGATTCTGGCAGCCCCCCCACTTCCCCGATGCGGATTTCCAGGACTTTTTTGTTCCTGGTGTTGGGGTAACTTGTCTAACAGGATATAAGAGAAAAGCGGGGGAGCTTAGAGACGTTTTTCTTCTTTTTGGGTCACACCAGCGATGCACAGGGGTTACTCCTGGCTCTGTACTCAGGAATTACTCCTGGCGGTGCTCAAGGGACCATATGGGATGCTGGGAATCGAACCCGGGTCGGCCGCGTACAAAGCAAACGCCCTACCCACTGTGCTATCGCTCCAGCCCCCAGCTTAGAGGCTTTGAGAAGAAAGAGGATTCCACCCTGGATGGGGACATTCACAGATGGGGGCACCCCTTCTCCCAAGGTGGGCCTTCCTAGACCCAGCTGTCTTGTTTTCTTTTGTGGACTATTGGGGCCTCCTGAAGCTGATCCCCAGGGCCAGAAAGCAGATTCCATACAGGGCACAGCAAGGAGACGGAAACACTCCCCATTCCTGTGCTCCCCAAAAGAAGAGCAAAGACTTGGGGCTGGAGCGATAGCACAGCGGGTAGGGCGTTTGCCTTGCACGTGGCCAGCCTGGGTTCAATCCCCGGCATCCCATACGGCCCCCCAAGCACCGCCAGGAGTAATTCCTGAGTGCAGAGCCAGGAGGAACCCCTGTGCCTTGCCGCCGGTGTGACCCAAAAAGCAAAAAAAAAAAAAAAAAAAAAAGAGCAAAGACTTGGCATCTGCTATTCCATTCAACCTTTATTTACAAAGTCTGAGGTTCAGCATGGCAGGGGCCTGAGGCTCTGGGCAAGGTCCCCCAAGCCCCTCCATTCTGGAGCCAGGAAGACCATCCATGGTGAAGGCTGGCCTCTGCCTGCCGCCTCCCCTCCCTAAATTATAACTAAACTGTGCTCTCTTTTTCACCTGGACCTGCCAAGTCTGGGGTGAGCGACCCCACGAGGTCCATCCCTGGCCTGTTGGGTGATGGGGTCAAGCCAGGGATTTTAGTGGGGCAAGAGGGACAGGCTCTCATCCCCCCCGGCCCCCACCCACTTGCAGCCTCTGGCCACCAATCTGGAGCCAGTGACCACGGGAGGCTGAGGCTTACTATTCTCCTGTCATGCGTTTCTGGGCCGGAGCCAGCAGCTGGAGCTGGGGGAGGGGGGACCCTCCTGCATTGAGGTGGTCCCCTAACCTGGTGGTAGCCAGCCTACAGAGAGGACGCAGCTGCTGAGCAAGGGACCCCCAAGGGTCACAGCCAGGAGTGCTGGCAGGATGGCCCGGGCCGGGCTGTGGGGGCCCCCGTTGGCGGCGGTCGGAGGCGGGGGGTGGGTGCTGGGCGGGACCACTTTGGTGCAAGAGCCCCAGCGGGCATCCAGGGTGGAGGCCGGGGGACAAGCAGTGCAGTTGTGCGGGGAGCCACCGCGGCAAGTGTAGCAGGACGGGTGGCACCTGGCACACACGCGTGGGGCGGGCACGGTGGTGTGGCCGGGCACGGTGTTCATGGCCTGCTGAGTGTCGCTGAAGTATCGGGGCGGGCAGAACGAGAGGCAGACGTGGCCCAGGAGGTAGGCGGGACTGTGGCATTCTGCGCAGCGGGGGCACACGGGGCAGTGAAGCCGTGCCCGGTCCTGGCCCCTGCCCGCCCACCCGGGGTACACATGCACACCGCTGCCGCCTGCACACACTCACCCTGGCATAGCCCCGCTGGGTCCCGCTGCACGCACGCGCTGCTGGTCACCTGGGGGCCCTTTGGCCGCGCCATCATGTCCTCAGCCGTCCCGTATAGCAGCAGCGTGTAGCGGTACAGCGTCCCTGGGCAGGGGTCACAAGTGGGCATGGAGGGAGGGTTGTAGGCT